TGAAATTCCCTGAAAATATATCGAATATTGTTAGATACATTGGTCAAGAATTAGTCTTACACCTCAATCCATCCTCAATATATCCATTCTTCCGATGATTTTCCAATTACCCATCTGGATCCCCAACAAAAATTGTCTTTTGTTTATTGTATCTTGATAATACCAGATAATACATAATATGATGTATAGGTATAACCAATATTAACTTAGCAGTTACTTTGAAAACTATAATACTAGAAATATTGGATAATCCCTTACATGCAAGAACAGAGCATGCACTCTATGGTTACCAGAATATGTTACATGAACATAATTTTGCCTCATCTTTTTTTAAATATTTGCTATTTTTTAAGTACCTACCTCGTACGTAACAAAAGTGATTAGTTGATAAATAGGATATCTTTATTTTATTTTTAAAAACCATTATTTTGGGCAAATATAGTTATTAAATCTTTAAGGTTAGTTATTACTGGATAAATTACAGTCTTCGCTTTTAAACCACAATCCCTGCAAGTTAGCGACAATAATGCAAACAATTGAAATCTTTACTAAAGAAAAAATTGTTACTAAATTTCATTTAAAGTTTATAAAATTATTAAAAATTAAAATAAAATTATTTATTTTGGTTTAAAATTTAATGGAAAAAATTATATAGTTTTTAAAAAATAGATACTTATTTAAAGAGTTAAAAACTTTACAAATTGTACAATCAATCACAAAGAAATAAGCAAGTAAAGCTCAAGTATTTTTGAACCGTGGGAACATAGCAAATTAAAGAACCCCACAAATTCCTCATTCCTTCAAACATCGAATTTTTTTATATGCGTTCTTCCTTTTATTACCGAGCTTCATTTCAGCAACATCCCTTACAGTTCGCCATTTCACGATAGCATCGGATGGAATTTTATAGCGGATACGTGGGCAATTCTTGGAGGGTTGAACGCTTCATATAGGGTAACTCAGATCTCGGGGTTCGTCCCTGAAGTGATCCTTAATGTCCTTCGGTCCACGTCCGCCAATCGGACGGCGATATGGACCGTTAAACTTTTATTGCAAATGTACACATGGCGTACATAAAGTAGTAAAGTTTTATAGGTCCGGACTATATTGCACTGCAATGTCGTATTTCTCATTTGATAAAACTTTCATTAAATTTATAGTGTATGTAAGTGGAAAATTTATTGCTCGATCGATTGACTTGCGGTTATTTGGGGCCTTCCCAGTAAGTTCGTCTCGGCGTCTCTCGAGAAAATTTTTAATAAAACTGAACGATTAATAAGAGTGAAATCATTTTAATCTACCAAATGTATAGTTTAAATTCATAAAAATTTCAATGAAAATTCTAATTTCAATTAAGCTCTAACAATTTATTTCACTTGCGTTTCATAACTATCTAATGCTTAGCTTTGATGAACATATTAAGAACTGAGGACAAGAAATACCTAATAAGAAGAGAATAATTGGAGGTGAATTGAAGAATAATTAATAAAAAGAATAAAACATAAAAAGTTCTGTCACAACACAAACCACAATGTAAAAATATCTGTGAATAGATGCCATCTTGATATGTGGACTTCATTAGATTTTGTAGAAACTATTTTAAGTTTGGATCACATTTAACATTCTGAAATTTATCCGAATTTCTTTTCAATTCCGAATGATAACAGATCAGATAACAGTACGTAACACAGCAAAATCAATCTTATAAAAGAAGTAACAGACTGATAACTTCAATCCAACTGTCGAAATTTTCAAAGTTTTTGCGGCTATTTAAAAGTGATACTTGATATTTTAATTTTATACCTAATATAATGGAGCAGTTAAATAGAAAGTTTCACGAATTGTTCAATTCATCTTCCGAAGATACTGATAAAAATGGATATTAAATAGATAGAAATATTCCGATATCGAATTCAAAAATAGGTTCAGATTGAAAAAAAGATTCAGTTAGATGGAATAACCGCTGGAATACTGTTATTATATTGTTATTTACTTCTTCAGCAAATATATAAATTTAACATTTACACTAATTTAGTAATATTTTTAACTAAACTGTTTGTTTACTATCAATTACTTCACATATACAGAATATCAAAATATTGTTAACCGAATGTTAAATTTTATCAGACTGTTTAACTTTAGAGTGACTCTAAAGTCGCGTCTTTAACTTGACAGATTTACATTGTTGTTATGGAATAACTAGGGGCTAGAGACGCGTATTTAGAGTCACTCTAAAGTTAAAATGGGTCGCTGAATATGGGCCATTTTTTTATACAATTTTGAAAATAGAGCCCAAGGAATACCCAAGAAATATTTTCTTTGGGATAGTTTATATTAAAGAACACTTTATATTCAATTTTTCAAGCATTCTTAACTTCTGAATGCTCGTTATTTTAATTTGATCTAACTAACTTCTTCCGTTTTGTCATTGATTTACGAGGACGAATCAAATATGAACCGGAATTTTCTTTTACACGATCCCTATGTAAGGTGAGTAATATGACGTCTTGATATATGTATGTTGCATGGGGATGTAAAATAAAGGTGAGTAAATCAGTTTGCCTCGTTAGAGCCGATTGGCTGTTAGTACCATCATGTCTGAGTAAGAGGTGCACAGCTCCGTTAAGCAACGGATTAATATTAAATTTTTATCGCGGGAGAGCGTGAAACTTGCCAAAATTTTGCGTCGAGTAACTACACCAGTTCACTGGAAACATGCTTTCAAGGATCCATGTCCACGATTGGTAAAAAAAAATGTGAAAAACTGGAGGAGCAGAAATTCAACAAGACAAGATTCGTCTTTCTGCTGGGAAAGTTCTTGCAACGATTTATTGGGATTGCAGGGATCATATAGCTCATAAATTTTCTCCATGAATGACGTGCATTTAATGGTGTGTACTCTGCCAACTTTTTGATGAAGTGAAGCTGGACTATCGACGAAAAAGACAGGACAAGCATATTCGAAGTGGGATATTGCTCCATGGCAACGTTTGGCCACACATAGCTGCATTAACTCAAGAAACTTGGACAAAATTCTTTGGAAAATACTCTAGAACAACCGCTCTACAGTCACGATTTATCGCCAAGTGACCATTACATGTTTAGGCCACTTTCAGAAGGACTAGGAGGTCATCACTTCAACGACTACGAAGATGTGGAAACGTTTGTGCGCAATTGACTACAGACACAACCAGATTCATTAAATGATTACGGGATTAAAAAACTTCCGATTCGGTAGGAAATTTGTGGTAATAAAAGAGGAGACTAGACAGAAAAATATGATGAAATTTTTTAAAGCAAAATTCCGGTTAATGTTTGATTAGTCCTCGTAACATTCCTATACAGATTCCAAATTTATTGACGTTAGAAAAACAAAACATGTAAGAACGTAGACTATCTATAAGAAAATACATATTTTATAGAATTCTCAAAGACAGGTTTCAGAAAATATCCAACCAAAATGGCGTCATATTCTTCATTATACGCACACTTACCTACTACATAATAATATTTAATGGTGTTGGTAGGTATATTTTAAAGTAACCATCGTGTCTTCGATGCGGTTATCTCGGTACGTCAAAAAACCTTGATTTATGAACAGTCAAAGGCAGATTTTACGATTGGTTTTGAAAGAAAGCAATGTTGCAAAGAAGGGGATGTAAACCTTTTTTGATTTACGATTTTTTGAGTTTTTTACATGTTTGCCGGTAAACATAAATTTAATCATGAATGAAGCCGTGCAATAAACATGGCCTCAGATGCTTTAATAAATGGACGCTCTTTTACCTTCCTAACTGAGTGTAATAAAACTGATTTTTTAGGTGTAAAGAATATTAAGCAGGTAACTATTTACTGCAACATTCTAAGGCAGAGCTGCAGAAGGCATTATTGTAAGAAAATAAGCATCAATTTTGTTACGCTGTAAAATAAACACAATAGAAAATTGGAAAAAATGATTAGGTATAGGAAATGATAATGAAATATTGTTGGATAAAAATTTTGGAAAATTTGCAAATTACAAATTTTTCAATGTTTTACTACTCTCATAATACCTCCTTATTAAATTTCAAATTTGCAGGAGTCCGAATGTCACAAAGTATACATATAGAAAAATGTAGTATAGTGAATCAAATTAATTTTTGTATATACATTTTTCTATATCTCCAAACTAATTTTTAAAAAATTGTTAAATAATATTTGTAGATGCAGAAATTTAGTTTGAATACGCTCCTGTAAAAAATCAATATTTGCTTCTCTTGCATCCCCAGTATTTCTCCAGGATCTTTCATGGCGTCTTAAGGGCCTGCCCTTTTAGTAGTGGTGAAACAGATGCTCAACCTATCAGAGTCGAGTAAGGGTGAGTTTTGTGGAGGGTGTAAAATCGTATACAGGGTAGAATTTCCGATTAAAAATATGCCGGTATAGGTAATATAAAAATTCGTATAATTAATTTGGATATAAAATTTATAAATATTTATTATGTATAATAACTAGATACTAGTGGACGGATATTGATAAGTAGAAAAAATTGTAGGTTATTTCTACAATATATTTTTCGTTACTATGCTGTAAGGTTATTATGATTTTATAAAAAATTAAAAATAACATAACAATAACATTTTCTTTCAGTCTTTTAGAAAACCGATGAAAACCAATAATCGTTTACTTAACTTCCTACTAACTTATATACGTATAAAAATTATATTAAAATTATTAAATTATTTAAATATTCAATTCGATCTAACCTTATACAATAATGAATTACATACATGAATGATTACGACCTGAAATTACAAAATTATCGAATCAATTAAATAACAGATTATTCTAATTTCAACTCCGATATTTAACGAATGAGATGGGACATTATGTATCCAATATTAAGCTTCCAATTCATATACAACTAAAAAAATAAGTGTTGATTTTAGAACATTCTGCAAATATTTTGTACTTATTAAATACTAGGTAGACACTTCTACATACATGCATAATCTAACAATTCAAAAATCTTCCTTCCTAACAAATGTGAACATGGCATCAATAGTTAAAATGACGACGTTGATAAATGCAAATACAATCGATGTGGTCATCATTGTTAAAAGATGCATATTCGGATGATAAAAATAATGTTTCATGAGGGAAAATCGATCCACGGTCAACAAAATACCTGAAAAAATCCAAAGTATATTCAATATCTTCTATATCTTCTTTAACATACATTTGTATACTATATAATTACCTAATAATAAGAGAAAATTACCTAATAATATTAATACACTGAATAAGAGAAAAGATAGTTAAAAAGAAATGAAGATTTTAAAGAAAATTATAGCATAATGCTGTTTCATTTTAAATAAGAAAAATGAGATATTTATGTTAAACATTTAAAGTGTTATAAAATAATTAATAAAACAAATATTTTGAAAGAAATATACATAGTACACGATAGCCGTTCATTAGAACTTTTATGAGATCCTGAAAAGTTGCGAATGCCAAAATTGCATAATTTTTAAGTTGTTTAATTTTTTTCGATATTTTTTTGGAAAAACGGTTGAATATAAGATATCTCTGTTAACAATGCACCTAGAAGTTTGAAATTTGGTATCGATCATGTCCAGACACAGTACAAAATAAAACTAAACTGGATCTTCATGCTCCATTTACAGGGCGTGTAAAATTGTCTGACTAACTTGGATAACTTAAACTGGCTATTACACTTTTTTATTTCAAATGGATCCTCACGTATTTTTAGACATTGAGCAATGGATATTTTAAGCCCTTTCGATCCATTTGTCTATTTCCTATACTCAAATCCAGTTGTTCTTGCAATAATTAAACTACTGTTAATTATAAGCTATAATAATTTTCTTTTTGAGTTATCTGGATGGCTCTACACGAACTCATAAAAGTCCTTATGAACAGCTACCGTGAAAAACCCTGTATAGACTCATTTAAAATTAGCGAAAGATTGAATACTAAATAATGAAAAGGAATATGATTAACATTATAGCAATCCTGATGTGTCACGCATTAATATTCCATGAATGTTTCTGATTGTCTTACTCTAGTGAAGTTTTAGTAAATTCATTTAAATTGGATGAATAATTTGCTTTACCAGTTGAAATAGAATGGTATTAAAATTGACTAATTTACGATGTACAACTGACTGTTACTGATTTTCTCGATTTTTTATGATTCACTATATTTACGTTCAATTTATACGACAGCAAATTCTTATTTCACACCAATTAAACTTGTACGCTCGTTTAAAAAACAAATTTTATTTATAGTTCGCAGCAGACAGAGACTTTAACATTGTCAATTAAAAAAATGCGTTTAATTTAACCTCGTTCTTCCTATTCTCCTTCCGCTTCTTCAGGGGCTTGCTCTTCACCTGCATCTCCTTTCAGAGACTCCTGATGGACTCGAATTACGATCATACATCCGATGATGATGAGTCCTACGAATAGGGGATTCAACCGGACTCCCCGGATTCGTTTGCATACCATGATTCAATGAGAACATATAATGCTTATACATACATTACTAACAACTTTTCATGTTTTAATTGACGTGACAAAAATACATTCTATGTGACATTTGAAATTGCTTTCGATTATATAACGACCAAAATCGTACCAACCGTTTAGTTGGTACCTTTTTAAATGGTACCTATTTGATATACAGGGTATTAGGAATATCATACTCTCCCATTTTTATCTCTACTGTATGTTAATTTCACCTTTTGACTCATAAACTACCATTTAATGTAACCTAAAGACTCCATGCATTGAAATATATTAGCTTAACGATAAGAAGCAATTAGTGTAGAAGGTACTTAAATATCTATTTTGCTGTTTGTTTTGGTTGTTACGGAAAGTTTTATTTCTAGTTTGAACTACCTGCATGCCTATAGTAATGCCAATTAACTTACAAGTAATGAGAAACAGAGCTGCGCCTACAACCGAAAATAATGATGTTGTTTTGTATGGTATTTTGTCACCCAAGGACCTTCCGATAATTAAGACACAATTAATCACCATGTATCCCGTATACGAGGTGTACATAATTCCAATGTGAACCATATGGCTTTTACCCATGCCGGATGTCTCCGCCGGGTCGTGGATAAAAGCCATGCAAAGGGCACACATCAACTAGTAAACAAAATTAGTTATTTTTGTAGGGTAATAACGGTGATCAAACTCTTTGCTTACCAATTCTAATAGTTTCATTATTAACTGCCAGTTCTCTTGCAAAACCACTTTAAGCGATTTCTCGTGCTCGAGTTCTTTAACATCGTCTTTCTCGTCTATACTTTCCATATCCGACGGTATTGTTACTGTAGGAATTTCATACACGCTGATGTTTTCTGCTAATGTGATGGATTTTTTCATTAATCGGCTGTTAGAATCTCAACTGTATCAAATACCTTAAATAGCATTTTTACAAATATAAGTAACATATGTACAATTTGATTTTGTACATTCTTACCTAAAAATATAAAAACCACAGTTTCATTAACAATCACTCGATAATTCGCGAATCGCCTAAAATATGCATGAAATCTAAAACAATCACTCAACAATTTAACGCTTCTAAACCGACTGTTAACGCTAACAACAACTGAATGAGATGTCCAGTCAGTGAGTTATCCGTGCTACACACCGTGGTTTAATTAACATTGTTAACCCCAGTTTGGATTAAGTAACCTTACACCCACGAAGTGCAGTATAGTCATTTAATTTTTGTCTTTGTAAACGAAAGGCAGTGACGAATCGTTCGTAATAACATGTTAAATTAAGCGTTAAGTGAAATCATTTACTTTTTGTTAATTAGCCGGATTAGGTATACCCTATTGTATGCTTTGACCCAGAAATATTCGATATATTCGTATGCTTCCCGTTTAATTGGTCCCCAATTAATATGAATTGACTCGGTTTGATCAAAAATAAGGTATTTCTTTATCGTTAATTAGGCACCTTCTTTGACCTTGGTCTCGCTCGCTATGCAAGATTAACTTAATCAGCTTTTCCTTTACATATTCAATTTTTTTTCTATATACTCCTGTGTGTCTGTGTGTCTATTTCGATAATCCAATAATAATAATATTTAAAAACTTTTTAGATACGTTGCATTTGTAGTCACCCAACATCAGTGACCACACTTTTATCACAATCACATTTTTCTTCCCATATTACTCTATCGTATTTTAAAAAGTCAATTTCTTTTCTGATAATATTTTAATTAGGTGAATAGAATTTAAGAAGGTACCAATTTAATGAGTGTAAATTCCTTTTAAATTAAAAAGCATTAAGTACTTACTTGATGCGTAATTTTAAACGATTATTCTTAGGCCTTCTTCTAATTCCTATTCGTAACAACTCGATAAATACAGTCACTTTTAGATTTTAATAGATGTAAATATGTCAATTTAGTTATAAAACTTAAATTTGTTACTGTCACGAAAAATGAAATTAACACTCTTTCATCAAAATAAGGAAATTAACATCGATTAAAGGAGAGAAATATTATGATGATGAAATACATAAACCATTAAAACGAATCCATTATAAGACTTCTTCTGCAAAATGTATTGCCAACATAAATCCGAATTAACCTGACACTTTTTTTGCAGTTTTAAACGTCTCACTGCTAACTGCATGTGTCAAAAGTGCTTAAATATAATTATAAATGTCTGAAGACTTAAATTTTAGGAGATAATAAGAAAAATCAATCCCACTAATGTACAGATACTGCCCGCCAACATATTTTTCATGTCTAGTTTGTTGTAAATTTAACTTTTTACGATTTTTTGAATTGGTATGTACCTACCTGTTTAAAATTATTTTTTTATATTTTAAGTTCAATTTTTTAAAGTAATTATAAGGAAAATCACATACTATTTTAATTACCTAATCACATATATATTAATTACTTTAATAACCTACCTAGATTCCAATGAGCAACGTAATGCACACATAATTGGAATGTTTATAAATTTTGTTATTGGAACAAAACTTTGATAGCATATTATAGCTCATTTAAATAATTCTAGTTTCTACATAATGAAGAAACGGTTTTTCATTTCTTTAGACTAATATAGCAAGTTGTGAAATTTGACTTTTACGTGTTTAACGGAGATTTTTTTCAGCTAATTTTAAATCAATATTATTTGAGTATTATCGATTTATATGATATATATATATAACGTTTTTTTTTTATATTTTAGCTATTGTGTGCGGCATGTTTAGTATTAGCCATATATATCACAAGTTCTAATGCACATGCGATAATTAAAACAGCCGTTATAGCTGCTTCTAGCGTAATGGGATTCATAGTTTTATTTGATATCCTAGCCAATAAAATCATGAAACAAATGTATTATTCCACATGGGCAATGATATCCTTGGCATCATTCTACAGTTTTACCTTCTGTTCTGGTTTAACAATGTTTCTTAAAAGAAGAACATCCGAACAGTTATTTACGATAGCATCCCTCGCATTTCTAGTCACCGGGCTATTTTTTCTTTTCGACTTCATTTGGACCGCTGTGTAAGTTACATTAATATTTTTTTTATAATCACACCATTTGTTACCCCTTTGATTTCACTTTCTTTCAGCGAATATTGTATAATACGAGATGTTTGCATGATTTACCCGGGTTGTACAACTTGTCCACCTGGCCCGCCACCGTGTCCGCAACCTTGTCCGCCACCGTGTCCGCAACCTTGTCCGCCACCTTGTCCGCCACCTTGTCCTCCACCTTGTCCTCCACCTTGTCCGCGACCTTGTCCGTTTCCACCGCCGTGTCCACCGCCGTGTCCACCGCCCTGTCCTCGGCCCTGTCCACCGATCTGTCCACCGCCCTGTCCACCGCCCTGTCCACCGCCCTGTCCACCGCCCTGTCCTCGGCCCTGTCCACCGCCCTGTCCACCGCCCTGTCCTCGCCCATGTCCACCGCCCTGTCCACCTCCCTGCCCACCGCCCTGTCAACCGTCCTGTTCTCGACCATGTCCGCCGCCGATTCAAAGACAGTTTACATGCCAACCGTGTTTCACACCTTGTCCACCTTACCCTCCACCTTGTCCACCATCTTGCCCACCAATCTGTGAAGTACTGTGCCCACCACCTTGTCCACTTTCATGCCCGTCACCTTGTTGCAAGCCGTTTCAAGTCCAAGACAGATTCCCCTCAAGTAATATTAATTTTTAATCTGATTTGATAAACGTATTGAATTTCATATATTCCAGACACTTGTCCTCAACCGTTTCCAGTAATGTGTGTTCAACAATGTCCAAAGCCTTGTCCACCGCCTTGCCCGTCGCCATGTCCGCCACCATGCCCGCCGCCTTGCCCACCGCCATGCCCGCCGCCTTGCCCGCCGCAATGCCCGCGACCATGTCCGCCGCCTTGTCCGCCACCATGTCCGCCACCATGTCCTCCGCCTTGCCCGCCGCCATGTCCGCCGCCGTGCCCTCCGCCTTGCCCGCCGAAATGCCCGCCGAAATGCCCGCCGCCTTGCCCGCCGAAATGCCCGCCACCACGTCCGCCGCCTTGTCCGTTACCATGTCCGCCACCATGTCCGCCACCATGTCCTCCACCTTGCCCGCCGCCATGCCCGCCGCCATGCCCGCCGCCTTGTCCGCCGTCTCGCCAACCGTCTCGCCAACCGTCTCGCCAACCTTCTCGCCAACCGTCTCGCCAACCGTCTCGCCAACCTCCTTGTCCACCTTGCCCGCCGCCTCAACCATGTGGAAAACCGGCGTTTATGCAGTGCAAACTACCCACAATTTCGTCTCCTGCGACACCTGCACTTTCGTTTCAACCGCAAGGATTTTCGTGTCCTGTAGACATTTCTAACTTACCTGAAGTACCGCATGCGCCGACAAACCAGTGCAATTGCTATTCGAAGAATTGTACATGTAAGTACCAAACATATTTCGTCCAATTTCAGTACATGGTTTAATGTAGGAGTAAAGTGAGCGATCGTATCGGATTTGTACTTAACTGACCATAGTTGTGTAGAATACAACTAAACATGTATTCATATTTCAAATACGGACGATGCTATGTAAATAGTAACTAGCCCGTGATCAGTGCATTAGAACCACCTTCGTCCATTAACGTTGCGAGAATTGGCAAACACGTGGCCATTATGCACCGTTCACGAGGTAATTGGTGCATTATGCACCGTTCAATCTTGTTTTACATCGTCCGTATTTAGAAATGTTAATTGAATTTAGGTGGAGATCTTAAAAATAGTATGGATTATCTAGTATAGGTATGATTGAAATTATCAATAAGACTGTGGTGCTTCAGTTTTTCATTATATGTATAAGTACAGTAATGATGGTACTGAACGAAATTTGCTAATGAAGCATTCTTATGCCTCCAACAATCGTACCTACTTTATACATGCAAAAGAATGCAGATTAAAAAAAATAATTTCATTATATGCTACATGTGATACTTATAGTATTACATTATAAGTATTATATCGATCGTCCCAGTTCGAGCGGTTCAAGCATTAGAAAGAGAGAATCAGTCGAATTGAGGAAAGACGTGCCTTCGGCGCGATTTTTATGTATTGTGTTTAGATTAGATAAATATATTTCCCACCTTGATTGTCGAAGAAGAAAAATATTAGATTTAAAGGCACATTGGTGGCCCATTTTTTGCCTCCTGACTTCTCTGATTGTACCCAAAAGGCTATAAAAACTTTACCATTTTTGTATAACTCATTTGGCTCTTCAATGTGTGTGGTGCATTTTCGATTAACAACCTTTTTGATGCCATCAGGAATTTAAATCTTATACCAATTCAAAGTTTTTGTTAATTAGGTAATAGTCGTAAACAGACGATTAGTACCTATCACGTCAAAGTCGAATGTAATTCCCCCTTTCCAGCTATAGAAGGAAGTATTCCCGTAGCTTTAGAAGTGAAACAAAGGTAAATATTTTGCTATTGAAATTGTTATTAAAAAAATTATTTATTAAGGACAATTATTAAATAACAACTAATGGGAACTTTTTTTAAATGATATAGTTGTTATTATACTTTTTTATACTTTGCTGATTAATCATGATTATTGTTACATATGCCTATTAGTTTTTGAAATTTGGCTCCTTAGTTCATAATATTTCGAAACCCATTTAATTTAATTTCAAAATTTACCAATTAATTACATTATTATAACAACTGTTTTTTTATACAATAGTATGAAAAGTTCGTCCGCCAAACGGAAAGCAAAATCGGGTAAGGCTAAATAAATAACTTCATTTTGACAATATTAATAGATTTTTGTAGCATTACGGTTACCTTCCATAAATGATGTAATCAGAAAAGAACCAATGAAAGTCGACATAAATAAGAAATTAAATCAATATATTGATGTACCTAATAACGTATTCCACAGAGATTCAAAATCACCTTATAGGTATTTAAATATTTACTCTTAGTACCGACATTTTTAATTATCAGTTGTTAATTTTACGGTTTTATTGTTTAAAAATCTACTTAGTAATTGTTGCAAGGCGTGGATTTTTAATAATGGCCTTATTTTTAACTTTAAAGCTAATTAGATTATATTTTTTGCAGTTCGAGTAGGAAAATTAAAAGCAATGAGGGATACGAAATGTCCACATTCAAAAATAGGATAAAGGACAAAAGGTAAAAACGTTTTATTATAAGGATAATATAATAAAATAAATTAATTTTTCTTTTAGTAGCGAAACGACACATTTTAGTTCAAACAAGGAATTTAAAACTTATAACATGAAGTAAGTTTGATGTTAAAATTTTTTGTGAACGACAAATAAATGATAATCTTTCTTGCATTTTTCATTTTCAGACAGTCAGAGGAAAGAAGGGATTGTTCGATATGTCTTGTAAAATCTATTCCACTAGATTTAAATTCACCACCATCTACTGCCAATCGTAATTATAAAATTATCTCTTTCTTATAAAAAGAGTTCTGCTAAAAAGCCATGGTGGGGAGGTATATGTGTGCCCAATGTTCCTTTAAATCTAATCTAATCTAATCTAAGAATGATCTTACACGAACTGAATAAGTAATAAAATATTTGACACGTTTATCCTTTTAGAATACACGTACATTTAACAATACTCGTTAAAGGCAAAAAACGTTAGCCTACCTTAAAATATAACGCATCTTATTGAATATGTTTCATTTTTTAGATTAGATTCAGATTAAATAATGAACGTGTAAGTACACTGTGCTTCCCCTTGCTTATCAATAGGATTTGTTATATTTTTTAAGACACATTTTAAGACAAAAACGTATTTTTTAAATCTTTTAATATTGTTTTAGGTAATATTATTAGAAACAGCTTTTTAAATGGAGGTGAGTAGTAAAATTCAATATTTTAAAAACTACAGTTTAAGTAACGTAATATGCTCTGCGGATGGAACAAAGACAATTTCTATTAGTTTCATGTAAAGGAAAGAGAAAGAGTGATATCGTGAGATTGCATAACTTTCTTACTCTAACCACTGTTATGTTAATAATCGTTCTTTGTTCAACTCCTAGAATTGACCATATTGCAAACCAATTTGCACTTACATGTATTTCTAAAATTGAAAGATACCGGCAGGTGTTCACCGCCATTTTTAAAACTGAAAATACTTTAAGAAACTTGTTTAATCCATAACAACCAACGAAAATTAAGGGAGTCGTTAATTAAAGAATTGCCAAAAAAAAGGCTGTTGAATAAAGTTGAACTTGTATGTATGTACTTTCTATTTTTTTGATTCACTAATATTTTTTAGATATTAGAAGAAGTAATAAAGTGTATCCTGAAACAGGAAGTAATTTAGAGCCCAAAACAACTCTAGGTAATTGTCTCAATTTCCTTGTTAAGAACGTATTAACTTTCATGCAATGTCTTCTTCAAACGTTTCTTTTTTATTATATTCCGAGCATTTATTATTTTATTTGAGCATTTACCTTTTTTGTAGGAAATGTGACAGCACCCACTCCACTAAACAAGCAGAGTGAAACCAAGTCCAATCCGACGAGTGTTGAGCAACCGGTAATAATCGAGGAACTTGATGAACCGTTGGTCGACCAACCGTCCCGAGCCTTGGAAGTTTTCGATTATCCGACAGAAGCGGCCTCAGTAATATTACCCGCAACCAAATATGCACCCGAACCCTGTAACATAATCACCAAAGAATCGAGGGAACAACCGAAACTTATAGAACCATCGAAACTTGTAGAACCACCGAAACTTGTAGAACCACCGAAACTTGTAGAACCACCGAAACTTGTAGAACCACCGAAACTTGTAGAACCACCGAAACTTGTGGAACCACCGAAACTTGTAGAACAACCGAGTGAACAACAGATGCTCGTACAACAACCGAGTCAACAGAGTCAAGAGAGCCAATTCAGCAACCAATTCAATCTGAAGTACCAACTCGTATGTCAACCGATCAACATTAACCTGAAGGGCCATTTGAAACCTTTGGATAAGATGCAAAATGGGCAAAACCAAATTTCCCAGTCCCCCAAATTAAAGGAACTCCCTCAGCCGATCGAAGTGAAGCAATCCACTCAAATAAAACAGCCCAGTCAACCGTTCGAAGTGAAGCAACCCGCTCAAATAAAACAGTCCAGTCAACTGTTCGAAGTGAAGCAACCCGCTCAAATAAAACAGTCCAGTCAACCGTTCGAAGTGAAGCAACCCTCTCAAATAAAACAGCCCAGTCAGCAGAATCTCGCAAAGCTCGTTTCCCCGTCTCAAGTGAAACCAATTTTCCCGCATAGTAAATCTTCTAATGAGACCACAAGTAAATCTATCAAAGAGAACTGGGTAATGCCGTCGAGTCGATCGATACCGGTTTGTCCTTTGATCCAAAACGATCCAATTAGCCAGACGTCGTACGACCCTTTGGTATGCACTCATTTAACAGATCTAACTTCGCCTAACATGGAGGACCAAAATATTTGCCAGCCGATAGTTCAACCGGACCAGCTGGACTGCGAAGAACCGGTGGCAGTCACTAACTTGGACGATTGCTGTAACACGGGCGGGTTGACCTATAGATTAGTTAATTGGGTAGTACCGCAATATGCAGCCACGTCGAATATACATCAGTCGTATACACCAAGCCCAAGTAAGTGATTTTTTTAAATTATTCGGCAGGTTCTAATGAAATCCACTTTGATAAGACTGCTCCATCCTCCTACTATTACAAACTAAAGGCGCAGGCTAACCTTGACCAAGACAAGGACTCAATGGATGCCTGTTTATGTGTCCAATGACTCCAAAGATTCGCCTCCGCCTTCCTTATAGCTTCCTTCTCTTCCTACTTTGTACTTCTATGGTCATTGAACCAAGGAACAATTTCTTCTGAATGTGATTCTGAATGATTATTATGCAAGTTACTGTCATTATATCATCAACATCATCATCTAGCAGCTCGTCTCGTCCACTGCTGGACATAAGCCTCTCTTAATCTAATACATTTTTCTCTGCCTGGGTCGTCTTCCATCCAGTTTGTACTTATCCTCAAGTCAAGAATAGAGCAATAGCTGATTATTATAAAAATCGCACTTTACTACTGTTGGTTCGGAAATGAGTAAATATTAATGTTAATATTTTTGGATTTTCCGTAGTTTCTGTAAGAAAACGAAGGCGAAAAAGATTTAAAACAACCGAATGTTTGGGTAAGCTTCCTCTGAAAGATAATTTTTAGTTTAATTGTATTGAAGATAATAATCTTATCTACATAGCAAAGATGTAGTAAAGTAAGATATTCTCTATTGGAAGAAAAGCTTACTATGTCTTTGGGTCACCGTAATTTTGGTTTTACAAATGTATTTAATTCAATATATTATCTATTTAGTGCAAATTATGCCTACACGACGATTAAATAAAACAAATTATTTCAGAGACAAGATTTTCAGTTAATAGCAAAGAGAGCCCGGAAGAATATAATTCAGTAAGATTTATATCTTTATTTTTTTTTTTTTTTTTTTTTTTTTTTTTTTTTTTTTTTTTTTTTTTTTTTTTTTTTTTTTTTTTTTTTTTTTTTTTTTTTTTTTTGTTAAAGTATACCAGGTAAGTTTTGTAACACTGGCATACTTTCTGTTAAATGGGTTATCTACCCTGTAGATCTTGCCAATGTTCCAAAAATGACCCTGCAGGGCGGTAGTTTAAACGAAAACTATTATTTTTAATTGTTTCTAGGGCGCATCAACGAGTAAAACGTACGTTACCTCAAGACCATCGTCTTCTAGTTTTTATTTACATCCGAAAAAGAAAAATGACCTAAAGGAAGGTTTGTCTTACATTTGTTGCACTTGTGCCAAGACCACCGATTTTAAACGTGCGAAGAAAGACGGAGGTGTTCACATATATTGTACTTGCGGCAAATGTAAATAATTGAATAAACTTGCAAATAATAAGGTCTGTGATGAGCGAATGGCGTCTGCGACAAAACATACTGTATTATATAATATTTGAGATTTTATTTTTTAAAGGCTCTCATTTTGCATGAATCCACTTAATTACTAAGATTAATTTATATTTTGTATTGTTTTTTTTTACATTTCCCTAGTGTTAAAATTGTAAAATATTTTTTAGGTTATTCGATTTTAAATCATTTGATTTCGCAACACAGATTTTATATTTTTTCGAATTTTAAAAAATAAATACCGAAAATAATTTGGATTTTATTTAGCTCTGAGCCACTCTTATCGAAACACATTGTATATTTTATTTCGTGACCCGTCAAACTAGCCCAAATACAAAATAGCCTGAGACGATACAGTTCCAGTAAAATTAAAAGCATTGCTTGATAAAAATTAGGTTTCTAGAGTTGTGATATGTTTTTCTCCAAAGCGATTTTGTTTTTGGGCTATTTTATCATTGGGCGATTTTGTCTTTGGGCTATTTTACCTTAGGCTATTTTGCCTTGGATGATTTTGTCTCTGAACGATTTTCTCTTGTGCTATTTTGCCGGGGTACCATTTCATTTGGTAGAGAACACTCCTTTCTACGAAAGCAAAAAAACTACAGTAAGTAACTGAAAAATAATTTATTTCGTTAACTTAAATTAACAAAATGTATACGGAAATCGTCTAAACCTATAAGATATCACAAAAAACCAAAATGGTGCAGCCCAACTAATTACCCGATATAAACGCATCGCGTTCGATTTTTTTTTTCATTTTACAACGTTAGCAGATCTACCATATTTATCGCATTTACTCAATACAAAAAAATGCGCTTGTCATTTTTGCAGGTGTTTGTAAAAACGCTCGGCTTACACGGGGCAATGTGAACTAGGTCATTTGCAAAGCCTTTGCAACATCAATTGAAAAATATCCTAAAATACACGACTAAAGGAATACACACCTGTAAATGGTAAATTAATTATATTATCACAATACCAACAGCCTTAATAATTCAAAAACTTTAAATCTAAAACTCGGGAAAAACTATTGATTTACTGGAGAAAAGCTAAAGCGACTACTACTACGTACATTCTAAAGTTCTAAACGTTTCATTTCAACGGTAAAATTAAAATTATTGTGATTTTTGATCACTAACAAATTGTTCGGCGGGAATAAAACTCGCAGGATGATACAAAATAAATTACTGCCAGCAAAAATAACAATATTCAAATCCTTTGAGTTTCATTACAACGTTTCCTAACAATTTATAACAATAGTACATTTCAAAAAAATAATAAATGCCGCAAGAGCAGAAATATTGCATCAGTAAACTTGTCACAGAACTCCGATATATAAAACAAAGTTCTTTTCATCAATTGAGTTAAATGAAATTACCTAGAGGAAAATGTTCTATTCGCTAATGTAAACATCGATGTTGTATCAACTATTACTCGTTCTAACAATTTCGACTAAGCTGAATCATCAAGACTCTCGAGATTATCCAAGCACAACAGTATTAAAAATAATCACAGTGGTTTACACGAATAAATGCAATGGATGACATGGGGTAGCAATTAAAATTCCGGCAATTCTTCTACGGTTGGGATGGGATCTCGCCAGTAAACGTTTTGCGAATAATCGTTGGCCGCTTCGAGACGAGACGGGAACAACTGATCCACTATGATGCTCATGTTTGAGTAACTGCAAAGAAACAGAAAGGGTTATTTAGAAAACAAAATGATAATATGAATAAGAAGATTTGAATGAATGATTTAATGCTGTACGCGGTGACAAAAAAGTGCCCGGGAAATTGGAATAAAACTCAAAATTCGTAATGTTAATTAATTTTTCTTGAGAACCTTCAAAATATGCTCCATTTGAAGCGATACACATAGTCAAGCATCTTGACTGCAAAAAAAATGTCGCAGGAGGCTAAATCTGGTGAGTAACGTGGCTGGTATACTTCACAAGAACCAGCATGTCTGTATCGACCAGTTGACGATATCGTTTTCAAAGGAAACTCAGCTCTATCGGAACGAGTCGAGCCTCAATTCGCAGCATGTAGCAGATTGATTGATTGAGCAAAATCAAGCGAGCGATTTCACTAGACATGTTGAGGCCACGTGCTACTTCTCTGATACTAGCATGATGATTTTCGAACTCAATTTCCTTCATTTTCTCGTCATTATCAATGGTTGAAGAGGTCGAAGACCGTCCGGAACAAGGCAAGTCTTTAGCGATCTCCAGACTGTCTTTAAAAGTTTTGTACCATTCGTAAATATGGGTTTTCGATAAAACAGAGTCACCTTAAGGATTTGGATCCATTCTCAAAACTCCAAAATATGAGTCTTTGTTCATTACTTTTGTCTATTGCAAAATTCGCAGAGTACTATTGAGATGAACCGATTCAATCAGCTGCTACAACCAAACTGGTTGAGAAATCTCTCAAATTTTTTGTATGCTAATTAAGAATAGTGTTACCTACATACAGAAACTTGAAATAGTTAAAATTATTAAGTGCAGGTAAATTTAAATCAGAATTCCCGGGTACTTTTTTGTCACAGGGTACAATTGGTTTTAAGCTCCAGCTCTGTTCTTTAATTTGGTTTCTATTTACAGCCTAAAAAGTGAAAAGCTTATGCAATTATCGAGGTCTCATGTAAAGAGGCATCTTGTATTAATACTTGCCCAAGTTGTGCAGAAATTAAGTATTATACAGGGTGTCCCGCACAAGAACTGACACAGGGCGGGGCATGTAGGGAAGCCTAAAATATGTTGTTTAACCCAACATTAACTTTTTGAATAATGAACCCTTTAAAATACATCAATTCATCTCTCCTAACTATCGATTAATGCACTAAGTACACTCATATTTCATAAAGTATACCAAATGTTGTTGTTTTAAGTTATTATTACTGAGTAATATTTTTTTTAATTGTAACTCCACTTGGGGGCCTATAACTTTTCAGGAATGTAACTTTGTATTTTGGTAACAACATATTTTGGTCTCTCCTATATTCCTTTGCTCTGTGTCCGTTCTACGGGACACCCTGTATATGTATTTAGTTACTTTGTAATTTTGCACTTTTTTCAATTACGATCATAAAAACCCGCATTAAATCAAATTAGCAACAAAAAATAGCAAGTCACCCAATAAATATTATTAATAATTGTTAATAATTATTATTGAAAAACCCTTTAGTTAAATAATAGTGTTAATAATGTTATCACAAATGAGACTGGAATTGTTAGAACTGAAACGATCCTGTCCGTCCAATAAGAGATAAATGAGCCATGATTGATTTCAAGCACTTCTTGCTTACCATTTAAACAAAAAGTTGTACCGGCGTCGACTGGAAATGCTTTGAAGAAGACCGACACGCATAATACAGTAATGGATATTCCGAATTTATATACTATTTTGTACTTTCATTAGTTTCAACTAAATCCTTAGGTTCTAATAATTTATAAATATGTGTTTTGTTGATATACTACGATAATAAAATTTACCTAATAATAAAATGCAACAAGACTTTATAAAAGCCTGTGCACCGTTTAAAAAGCATCAACTACAACACATAAATTTGTGTTAATTAACGAATCGCTATTTACAAGAGAGCCCTACTATCTCCATAATAATTACAAATACCACAACAAAATCACAGATCGTCTCTTTCGTAAATAAATAAATATTTTTCTATCCTACAATTAAAGCGATTCAGTATCTGAATCTTCAACGTAATCCGAATCGAAATCGGAAAACGAGCAAATTTTGTTTAAAATCGGAGGAAATACGTCATTGACCACCAGACTCTGTCCCGAGTAACTGTAAAAATGAAATAAAAAAAATAGGAATCAACAACATGATAAACTTAACGACAACTAATAAAAGCCCCCAGCCGAAAGCACCAAAGCTTATATTTATTAAAAAATAATACAAGACGCTTACCTAGACTGGAACGTTTGCGTCAATTCGTGCTTCAATTCACCTTTGGGATTAATGGTGAATATTCTCACGATCGGTATTCCTACGGCTCTGTACGCCCAAACATCCTAATGAAACATTTTTTATTAATAAGAAATCAAACTAAATATTTTCTATATCGTTTAACTCACATTAATCCTGTTTCCATAACCAGCGTAGAAAGGATTAGATTCCGTGGGAAAGAGAGCTTTGATATCCGACATACAAGAAATCTTGAATTGCTCCGGTTTTTTCTCAATAACTTCCCTAAAAAGAGTCAGAAATAGTGTGTAAATACAGGGTGTTTCTTAATAACATGTTAATATTTAAGGAGGTGATTCTTGGACTTATTTTAAGAAATAAACTTGCATGATATAAAGGTATAAATAAAAGGCTATTCAGCCGAATAATCAAGAAATTAGAAATATTTGCGTAGGTATCTTTTCCACATGTTTGAAATGACACAATTTGAGCTCTAAATAATTCAGATTAAGAAGTTTTCTCAGAAATTTTACTCTTTTAAGGTGTCAATTGTACACTAAATATTTTACTCACACTGTTAAATATATTTCAGATGATAAAGGAATTTGATGATTAATTATAGTGAGCCCCTGAATACGTCCCCCGTTTAGAAACGTGAAACAGGCACATCTAATTTTCAATTTGTTCTCGTCATTTTGCCCTTTGACAATTTTAGAAAAATTCTTAGATTTTGTAAACTCTATAACAGTTTGGCGACACCGCCTACTTTTAACGTAGTAAATTATAGGTGACGTGCATTGATATATTTGTTTTGCACCGGCTATACAATAAATTAAAATGTAAAATTACCTGTGGAAAGCCGTAATTAGAGAAGTCGGATTCAACAGTATGGGCCCGTCAGGCATGCTCAAATCGCCCTGTTTGATAGACTTCAAATAATCCCTGGTAATCCTGGCTTGGCCGATGGCCCTGGCGCTGAGGTACAGTAGCTTGTAACCGTTGTCTTCGATTTTGTTGAACAATTGAGCCACGCCGGTTTGCGCCCAATCCTTACCGACTATCGGTAGAATGTGGCCCAACACGTCCGATTTCGTTATGGTACCGTCTATGTCGGAGACGACGATTTTATCGTCCCATTTCCACTTGTACAAGTGACACTGGCACCTGGTGGTGCCCTGATACGCCGTCGTAACGCTGAATTCTACTTCGTTCATTCCGTCGCGCAAGTTCAGACTCGTCTGTAGTAAAGAAAATTAGTAATTAGTACTTGTGGAGAACGAAGTTTCATTTACAATATGTGCTAGAAATGAAGCTTCTATATGAAGCGGTTCCGGAGTTCTAGTTCTGGTCGAACAAAATATAAACTTAGGTGTAAATGATCTTATATAAGACTTTATAAATTTATAACAGTAAACTTACAATTTGCTTAGATGTCAGTCTCAAAGTTTTACGGTACTTGTCCGAACTGGTACTCGGAGATCGTGGAGCATCATCTTGCTGACTGTTATCTACAATACAAATTTCGTTTAAAGAAACTATAAAAAATAACACTACTTTACAAATTTTACGCTTTTTTTAGTGTACGACATAAAAAAATCAACAAAATCAGTTCTAAATGGTTCTAGGCAGTTCGGAATAGTTCTATAGACAGTTCTAATTGGTTCTGGAGCGTTCTAAATAGTCCAGGAGCGTTCTAAATGGTCCAGAAGCGTTATAAATGATTCTGGAGCGTTCCTAAATAATTCTAAACAGTTCTAAGTGATTCTGGAGCATTATAAATGATTCTGGAGCGTTATAACCGATTCTGGGGCATTATAAATGAATCTGGAGCGTTATAACCGATTGTGGAGCGTTCTAAATGATTCTGGAGCATTTTAAATGGTTCTAGACAATTCTAAATAATTCTGGAGCGTTCGGTTTTATGTAGTTTTAAATGGTTCTATAAAGTTCTAAATCATTCTAAAGCATTATAAATAAATCTTTGGAGAGTTCTAAATGATTCTCAAGCTTTCCTAAATGGTTCTAGACAGTTCTAAATGAATCTGAAGCGTTCTAGATGATTTTGGAACTTTCTAAATGGTTCATGACGAGTCAGATTTTTTACTACCAATTTTAACCAAGTTTTTTTGCACGTAACCTTGTAAACTAGTGTAATCGTTTCAAAACATCACTAACCTTTTTCCTTCTCTTCGGCAATGTCTATCACGACGTTGTTCTTGCTCTCCTCCGCCTTGACGGCGTCGGCGGGACTCTCCGGAGCCGGAGTGGCCTCCCTGGAGGTGCCGCTGCGCCGCCAGCTCCACCAACTCCTCCTCGCCTCCTGCTTGGGGCCCTCCTTTTCCTCCTGGCTGCCCCTCGACGGCATGTGAATGTTGACCAGCTGGTCGACGGACGACTGCACCAGCGGCCTTCCGTACACCATGATGCTGGTGAGAATGGGCGCCGCCACCTTCCACGTGTAGTACTTGTCTTTGATTCTGACCACCAAATTGGGGTTCTCGACGAGCGTGGGATTGTTGCACAAGTCGCTGAATTTGACGACGTTCTCGAGGAACCGTTCGCAGCTCGGTTCCGGATCCCAGCCGCACAACGACAGGGATATATCTTGGGAGAACGCTTGAGCGCTGGAGACAAATCGCGTTGTTTAGTTACCGTATTAAATTTAAATTAGCGGAAGGCTTACAGTTTCTGTTGCTCTTCGAAATCGGAATCGATGCTCTTGCAACCGTCGGCGCTGTGGGGGCTTTGCGTCAGCGAAGGACCATTTCCTGATTCACAATCCACTTCGACGTCTAAATATTGTATTACAACACTCATATCATTACGAAAAAAAAGAGCAAGCACTAATTCTACTGATTCGAGCGATGAGACGAAACTATCGGTAATGGAAGAGTAGATCTTATTTTTATTTTAAACGCATTTATTGCTAATCTAAGGTGCCCTTCTTGAAGAGGATGAGTCTAATAAATTGTAGCAATCTTCTATTAAAGTTATAATACTACATTATTTGACGAATAATAGTCGAGCATTAAATATAGAAGCATTTATACATAAATGCTAACTAATTTAAGTTCAATTTGCAATTTAATAAATTACTTGTTTTGTAATTTAAATAAAATTGTATGTTACTTTCGTCGCAAACTATCGGTTACATGAGCAATAATGGAGTGAATAAAAATAAGTTCTAATGCGAAATGATTTGAAAAACGACAATTAACGAAATTTTCGTAATTAAAATCCCTAAAGGTAGATTTATCAAAGCACTCTTAATCAATTAATTAACGTCCATATTCACCAGTTTCGGCTTATTAACCTGATAATTGTCTGATAAAATTTAACAGTCAGTTTCCATTTTTTTTGTTATTCACCACGATATTTGAAGTAACTGATAGTAAATAGTTTTCTTAAAAATAACCAAGATTAAGTTGGTATTACGATATAGTTCCTAATTTCATCCGAATCTTTCTTCAATTTGTACCTATTTTTAAAATTATATTTCGGAATATTTCTATCTATTTAATAACTATTTTTATCACTTTCTTCGGAAGATGAATTAAACAATTCGTGAAACTCTATTCTATTTAAATGCTTCATTCTATTAGGTATAAAATTAAAATGTTATATGTCACTGTTAAATAGTCGTAAACACTTTGACAAATTCCAAATTTGGATTGAAGTTATCAGTCTGTTAATTCTTTTATAAGTTCGATTTTGCTCGGTTACTTTTATCTGACTGTTAAATATTAACTGACATTGGTGAATGCTAAAATATGACGATATCAGATTGACAAGAACTTATATCTCTGTTAGCTATTTAACAGACATTGGTAAATACGACCGTTTTACTCGTGCTCTAATATTTCCACCTGTAATAATAATTCAATATAACACTACTTACTCTTCTTGTCTTTGGTAGTGTTGAAATAAATTTCAGCGACGCCTTGATCGACGGTGCCGGATGTGATATCCGACAGATACATTCCGCCCTCCAATGGATTTTGCGTGCCGTGTTTCTGTTTCATGAAGGAAAACATGCCGCTCAGCATCGATCTGTGATCCTCTTGTCTCGCAATGTCGCTGGTGGGCGACGTCGTTTGGGAAACGCTCGGAAATCCGCCCCATTCCCAACTCTTCGTACCGTCTACCGGATCACCTGGAAATCGTTAGTAGGTTAGAACTGCTGAGGTGCAGCTATTAAACTGCCAAGGAGTAGGTTTAAAAAAGATAGCAGGGCTTCTAACAGGGAACTGGTGCCTCTAGTACTAGGTAGTGGTTAATAGAGAGGAATTGTCGAGAAATTTGTCTGTTTACAAATCAGGTAAACGACCAGGCTTCCAATACTTCCGGTAATTAGAAAACTCGTTGAATGGAATAAATGAATATTACCCACGTAATAATAAATTTGAATATTCATTATTTTTTTTGTAACTAGGGTATTTATCACTTGATTATTTCAATTAAACGGGTTTTTTTGAATTTAATTTGTTTTTACAATGAGTCGAAATATAAAAAAATATATAGTTTATAGGTGTGCGTTATAAAATTGCGCATCTAATGACATTCATAAAATATGTCCCCCAACTATAATCAAAACGAGTATAATTTAAAATCGTATTAAAATTTTAAGCAAACATTTACCTTGCAAAACAACTGAGTGGAAATTACCATAACAATAATTAGTTACGATAACATTCGAATATGAAATCATATTAATACATAACTAACCTTTGCGACCTTTCACTTCGAATTCGGAGTCCGATTGAACTAATTCGATGTTAACGGGAGAACTCGTCCTGGATTCCATATTACCGCTGTTCGTTAACTCGGTGTCGCTGAAGAAATGAAAATCCGCGTCGATTTTCTTGATATTCGACTTATCCGCACGGATGACTCCGTCTTCATCCTTCAAGTCTTTTTTAGATGGTTTACTAAAAGTAAAAAAAGTACTTATATTAGTTTGGGCGGTTTTGCCTTTGGGCTATTTTGTCTTGGGCTATTTTGTCTTTGGGTTATTTTGACGAGTCACACGGTACATTAGTTATTAAGAATTAAGATTATCTAACACTCACCTTTGGAGCTCCTTAATGTCCGGATCGGAGCCGTTGCTGTCCAACGAGCTTCTATCGGTGATGGTATCGTTAGTTTCCAGATTTTCGGAGGTCGTGCTCGAAGTTAGCTGGCTGATACTCGACGATTTCTTCGTCGGGTTCTTCCGACGCACCCGTTTTCTGCGCTTTTTGCTGCTCTTGGTCTCCGCGACCGGCTCCTCCTGCGACTTGACCGGCGCCGCAACAGCAGCAACATTTTCAGATTTCAGTTCTTCGGCCTTGCTGTTATCAACATCCAAACTATCCATTTTAAATATGGTCTCGGAAATGTCGTTGTGACTTTTGCTCAGGTCCTCGCTGCTGTGTTTACCGGACATCATCGATAGCGTCATTTCTTCGGCGGAGTTTTCGCCGATTTCCAAATTTCCCAGCACCAGTTGTCGTCTAATGAAATTGCGTTCTCTCATTTTGGTACTCTCATTGTCCGCCGTGTTTCTTCTTTTAATGTATTCGTTTTCCTGATTTTCTAGTTCTATTTTAGTCAAATCTTCGAAACTGAGTCGTCTTCCCTGAAAAAAATCGTGAATTAATCTCGTGTACCTAAACGGACGTTGAAATCCACCTACTTGACTTTTGAAAATACTTTCAAATTCTGAAACTGGTATAGGGGAAGTGGCGAGATGTTCAGGAATTTCGTCATCGTCTTCCTCTATTTCTTCCACGAAAAACGCTTCCCCGCTCTCCCCCAACTTCATGTGGATCTCCTGCGGCTCCCCATTAATTTCTATATCTACCTGTAATTCGAATGAAAAAAATAACTAACATTACTTAAATAAAGTAATTAGGCTAATAAACGTATAATTAAACACATTCAAATAAAGGAGCAATGTTCAAAAGCTGTACTTTATTGTAAAAAAATATGAGAAGCGGATTGGTTTAATTCAATTGGTTATTTTTGTAAATGAAATCATCGAAAATTTCACATTAATTACTTTCAAAAGTTTGTTTATCTAATATTAAAAATTACATTACAATCAAAAGATGTACAATCATCAGATATGATAAGAGATCTCATAACCGAGAGAATACTAATTTTATACAGATTGATTCATTTTAGTTTGCAATATAGGCTATGGGTACACGATAAAGACACTTAGAGCGTTTTCACACGGTGCGATATATTGCAGCAATTTATTGTTGCAATATTGCATTGCAGTTAAAATACAAGTGTTTAAATGCGTAGTTTTCACACGTATGCGATACGATAATTTTTATTAACGCTTGTGTAAAAAGTGCAAAGCAATATTGGAACAATAAATTGCTGCAATATATCGCACCGTGTGAAAACGCTCTTATAAAGGAATCTTTCTTTATTCAACTCATAGAAATGACCATATTGCAAACTAAAATGCACCAAGTTGAATAATAATTAATGCAACAACAAAATACGAAATTTGAAACGGTTCTATTCGCAAAATATGGCCTCAAGTGTGTGTAATACTGGCAAACATAAGTTTTAATGGACGTTGAACAATTTCTTGAAATTGGATAGCTAGCTTTAAAAATTCCGAGAAAACGTAAATACAAATAAATATTAGCAGTGAATTGTGCATGTCGTTTTCAATGTGCATTCTAAAATGAATTGCAAATACGAATAATCTAAGCAAATAAAATGATTCTCGCATTCGGTACATTAACAGCCAAATTGACGCCGGTTAAATAAACGAGATAACTGTTGTTTTTAATGATATTTATCAGTGTAAACCTTTGTTTACGCTTATCGAATAAAATTATAGGAAGTCTCGTGTTTTCTTTTATAATAACGGTATCTTGACGCTTTCGTTTCTACTCATTCTTTGTCTTTTTTAACTTTCGATTTAGTGTGTAAACAGGTCACCAATGCGCTGGTTAATTCAACCTTTTCCGTAATATTTTACGTTACTTGGCGCTACCAAAACGAGAAAAACGATTGTAGAAAATTCCTTAAAAACTGCACATTCATGTAACATTTAGCTTCACTAGCCACGACCTTGAAACACGTTATAAAAGGTAAATAGGCATTTTACTGGTAATAGGAATTGATGTAAAATATATTTGTGAACAATAGATGAACATATTAAGTGCGGACGAAGTTCACCAAAAAAATTTTAATCAAATATTTATCTTAGATTAATTTTATAAAAAGCACTCATAGTATGTTCTAAAAAAAAATACACTTAATACGATACATAATCATATTATTTGATACACATATCATATGATTGTCTCGTTTCCGGAGAAGATCCCGGACAAGTCCCGTAAAAGTTACATGAAAAAGCCCAATTTGTAATTCACATATAATAACGGATGGTAAAATTAATGAATTATTTCCTTACCACTTTTTCCTTACTCCTAAGCACGCCCAACTTTCCAAATCTAACGTGGAATGGGGAGCAATTGTAAGTACCATCTGGCTGTTCGACGACTATTACGTCTATAGCACCGGTCAATGTCGCACCATTTATGTCATTATAAAAATCCTTAAAATTGGAAAAAAACTTGAACATGCCGTGCATCTTGGCGATTTAATGTCTTCGATATGGATCGTTCAGAAGCTGAAACGAAGGAAACTGTTAGATACCGGCGAACATAACATAATATTAAATTAATTTGAATACTTAATCTCTAAAAGTTTTAATGAGTTTTGTCAACAAACACGATATAGGAAAATTTATGAATATGAAATCATTCAAAACAAAATTACCATTTGGATTTTAGGAACGATTTATTGCTGTGTAAAAAATTTAATACATATTTAGTATTTAGAGAAAAGTGGATATAACATAATAAACACCAGAAACAAGGAAATAAACCAGGAAACATTATTTGTAGGTAGTCAACCTTTAAAAAGTGATAATTGTTTATAAAGTGTTTTTATAAACTATTTAATTTGGTTTTAAATATTAAACACAAGAGTTAAATAAAATATAGTTATGCTGGTTAGCAATAAATATAAGCATTGAAGGAAACTAAAAATCCTACAAGCAAATGATTGCTAATAAACAAACATCCAAATTGGCTAAAACAAAGCATATTCTTTTAATTGCGCAATTGCAAATTATTCAGTAACCTCCTACACATACTCAAATATAATAAACAGAAATTAAAATTAGTTCACAGCATATGTAAATCATATGCTCTATTAAAAAAAGAATAAATAGTAGCAAATGTCAACAAGTAAATGGCATGGTGCATAAGTTAAGTAGTACCATTTAGCGGAATTCCTTACAAGTTAAACCGTTGAAAAAATAAATCGATCACTTTTACATTCGATCAAACAAGCTCTCTCTTAATTACGTAAACGAGCAGCACACATACGTTAAACCGCGTTAAAAAAAACATCCAATAAGTTACTAAGTAAAATTTATTCCTTGCCATTTAATCAAAGTTAATTAATTATTGATTGAATTTGTCCATTGTATTTATCGAATTTCGTTTTGTGTGGGATTTCTATTAATTAGGGGAACAAAATGTTTTCGATTAAATTTTACTGTTAACTGCAATTTATTGGTTATTGTAAACTAGTTTATGGGTTCGTCACAAGCACTTATAACGAGAGTATTTAACACTAATATTACTAATAATGCAATTCCTCTAATAAATTAAATTTTAATATACACAGTTTTAAAACTGGAGTGAATTGGTCCAAACTTTGAACTTGAGCTTTCAAACATTTCCAAAAATTGAGTAGTACTTATTTTGATCATTTTTATTTAAAGAGAAAGTACACAAGAAACAAGGGAAGATTACAAAACAATTTCCACTTGTTTTTCAAAACGCTTTCTTAAAACCTATTTTCATAAATAAGGCATGCTTTTATAGTAGGTAATAATAGAAATAGTAAAACAACCAATTATAAAATTGATACCTCATTAAAAGCAAACATTGTTATAATGATGATTAAAAACTATGACCTATCTGCAAATGCATAAAATATTACGAATAGCTCGAAAATAAATGTATAAAAACAGCCATTATTTTAATATAATATCGCCTTAAAATATTCAAACGTATTTTTATATCAGTAATGAAATACTTTCACCGAGCGCAAGAATTAAATCCACGTTACCTCTAACCTCGCAGATTGGACGATTTATAATCCAATAATTTTCAAAATCATTGGAATCCGGCTACAAAAATATCACGACTGTCCTTTTCGGAGGCTGACAAAATATTTTTTTTTCTCATCCGCACTATATTAATAAATTTCAAGCACTGTCCGTACCGCGAATTGACTGTTCGATTGCCAACTATTTGCGAATACGATACGAAAACGAAATAAATAATAAATAATAAAAAATGTTAACGTATTGAAGATCGTTACGTTCGCGCTATTTAAAGTTGAATGAGCGCTAACATGTCGCGGTTTTGGTTTATAAAGCGCGGAATAACGCGCATATGCTGACGATTTAAGTAGCTGTTGATATTACCGGCTCGGGTTCACGTTTGTTTTGAACTGTTGTGTATTTCGTTTTGTTACATAATGGCATTTTGATATTTAAATTTAATAATCTTGATAAACCGTTCTATTTATGTAATACTAATAATATTAGGTATAATAAATAATAAGATACACACATCTTGTTACAAAGTAGTGTATTCAAATACCTACACTTGCCTTTTAATCTTTCGCAATTGCTTGGTTTTTGTTATTGCTGTAATTATACATAAAATGTACATTATTGTAAAAATAAATAAATTTACAAATATCAACAAGGCAATCAGGACAACAATATCCAGAAATAACTGTAAAATAATATATAAAATGTAATAAGTTATAGAAACAAAGAAAACAGTTTATGGCCATAAAATGCATTGCTTGAATCATTGACCTCTACGATTGCCAAGGAACAAATAGAGCAAATTAATACGAGATAAAAAGAAGGAAGTGCTTTTGGACGTTATGTTAATTCTACTGATAAATACTAAAATTAATGTGAGGGGTAAAATTTTAGATAGGTGAATTTGTATCTAAAAATTCTAATACAATGAACATTTGAAAAAAAAATAGTAGAAGGAAATAGAATCATCATATTTTCTTGTGAAAAGCATTTTATTCGTGAGTACCTGATAGACCAAGTTTTATGCGCAGTCACTTCTCGCACTGAAACAAGAACATTAATACTACTAATGAAATATTTACCAACACTCGTTTATCTGTTGCTTAAAGGAGATTTCTAAGGTAGATAATTCCGTCCTGTATTTAATTTGGGAGTTGTCTTTATGGCACATAAACGAAATGTATACGTTTCCTGTTTAAACAAAACGAAATTTCGAAAGAGGAAGCATATGTTATTCAAATTTATTTTATTAAGGGGAATTATAAAAATAGAGTATTACTGTGTGTAACCACAAATGTAATACACAATACAGAACCACAAAAAATAGTAAACAAATTATATAATATTAACCATATTTTCAAATGCATAATCCTTAAACAAAATTAATAAGGAGAATCATTCAATTGACAAATTCTGGTGAACTGTTCAATTTATATTTAGAATTTTAATTGAAAATCTGTTCCATCATTGTTTCCGATACGTTTTCAAAAATAACTCCTCAAACTATGCCAAGATCAGTGGGATACCAACTTTCTACCGATTTTCATTTAGAAAATCGAACCGAAGCCAAAAAGCTTCATCGACTTTCCCGCATTAGTAATTTCTATTTATCATTATATGCGCATAATTTTTTTCCCGAAACTTTTGAAGTACGCGCACGCGAAGGCGGCTTTATCGAATCAATCGCAAATTAGATAAGATTTATTAAAGTGCAAATATTTTCGGACAAAAAGCACCGGCAGCTCGTAAACAAAAATACCGTATCCTACACGTGTCGGCAATCCGGTGAATTGTTTAAGCATTTTCATCGCGAAATGTGCGAATTACGACTCGAACAAGGTCACGGGTAAACGTATTATTTATGCACAATTTTTTTCGCGTTTTAACCTCTTTAATAAACAATTAATTATGTCCTATTGTGCATAACCTAATAGATATTTTTCATGGTTTGTTTTCCATACGAAGACTGTTTGATTATAGGCTAAATGAATTCTTCCTGTAATATTATAGAGGTCCTAAAACTACCTATAATATGATAGGAGATTACTATTACAATTAAATTATGTTTAATACAGAACCCCTGAGGCAAAAGTATATCAAATTATGTATACCTAATATACTGCTCCACAAAAGTTAAGGAAGTTTACAAATATTGCGATTAATTTAAAAGTTTCAGGTTTTTTGATCGCCAAATTTAGTATGAGTTGTAGAGGTAGGAGCAAAAATTCCTCTTAGATATGAGAGAAAACATTTAATTTCGCATATTTGAAAAATTTGGTGATCAAAAAGTCTGTAACTTTTAAAATAATCGCAAAATTTGCGAACTTCCTTAACTTTTGTGGAGCAGGTTTAGTTGAATTCGACAGAATTTTTTAATAAAAATAATGGCATTTAGCAAATTAAATGCAGCAAATTTATGGAGTGAAGAAACAGTAATAATCAAAGAATGATAGATCTTTATGAATCAAATTATGAAAAATAACGATTATTTCATTGCCACTAATCAACAAATAATTACAACAGAAAAGTCTTTGTGATTTGTAGTAGGTAATTGTGAAAAAATCATTCGGGCAATATTTTTTAATTGCCCATTAAGCGAATTTGAATTAACACTTGTAATAATTATTTTTTTAAAATTATCACTCAATAAACAAGCAATGTTCTGTACACAATGCTTCAACAGAACATTTTTTTTTCAAATAGAAAATCAATTCAAGATGAAGACTCAAATGAAAATTTGAAACTTTGATACCTTCCTTCTTAGGAAAACCATTCATTTTCCTTTCGTTCCTTTAATAAGAAAATAAAATTTAAAAAGTAAAATAGATTATTATTTTACCTTTTACTATGCCAACATAAATTTATGTAAATTTATTAATCGTACGACGATCGCGCGATTTTGCTATTGGTCGATTTTGGAGGCTCGCATGCTCGCAATTCTATTATGTGCTTGCGACGTAGATACTGTAGCAGCAGAGATGTAAACTTGTAAACGCAATTTTTCAGGGTCAACAATCAACAAACAAAATTCTCGAGAATCGCAAGTACTTACGTGAAAGTCGAGCGCATTTACACGTGCCCAACGTTTCAATGAATTGTTTTTGTAAGTCGCAATTTAAGCCTAACCTACCTTTTTGCTTTCGAATTGTCTCTACTTAAATATCTACCTTGATATTTTAGATACCTAGGTAGTGGGTATAGAATATGGAATATATCCTTAGTAAAAATGCAAGAATGATGGTGCATATTAGACGTAAATAGAATTTTAATTCATAATACGAATCAAGTTGCAGGCAGTGTTCTCTCGCATACATATGAATCTAATGAACACAATGCAAACAGTGATGATAATAATTGGAAATGTTCAACGAACAATTAAGATGATTTGTCTAATGTGTTCGTGGTAATACCTTGATAAAGTAAGTTACACGAATGAGTAAAAAAATGTAACGACTTATCCTGACAGAATTAATTCAAATGGTCGTAAATTATTTCTACGAAATTCAACGAATGAATGAAAGCGTTCAAAGCTAAAATGGAATAAGTTCAAAAGTATAAAAAATTCTGGTAGTCGATTAACATTTTTAATATATTTCTAGATGAAAAATAAACATAATCCCTGCTAATATTAATGAATATCTTAGAACTTAATACAAATAACAATAGTTTAGTCTAGCTACGAGTATATGTAAGTGTTAACAAACATTATAACTTTTATTATATCTCAAAACTATGATTTATGGACTTGATTAGATACCTCAATATACCTGGATTATAAAAGTTCATACCAAGGATGAATTATAAATAAAAAAGGTTTATGATACTGTAGGTTTATGTACTTTCAAAATATAGTTATTAGAACATATGTACATAATGAACAAAATCTCCAACTGCCAATAAAGCATATACACAGACACAAACGAATTATTTAGGAATTATGACAAATCATTCTAAAAATAGTGAAGACTTTGAGTGCCAAATTTTTAATCAAATAAGACTCAAATTTGGCAATTTTGCAGTAATGCTTTCATTTTTGTTGTTTTAATATCTGCCAAAAATTATTTCGTCTGGTAAAAGTTCCTAATGTGAACAGGTCACTGTTTTAAAACATGGAAATATACCAATCTACGTAAAACATGAAACACGCAAAACTCAAGTAGACTCGATAATTGTAGAGTTCAATTACCCAACCGTTCAATCCAGTCGACTTATTAAAAAACAAAAGAATTTGTTTCAAAACATAGCCTTGAAACCCCATTTTTTCCGAAAACAACGCTCCAGAAAAAATATTTAATCAAAAAAAAAACGTTATCATTAATTATTTATCGCACAAAGATATCGTCACATTTATCCTAATCACATGCAAATAACAACATGTCATTGCCTGGAAACAAAGAAATGCCTGCTCAAAGAAAAACATTGCATAAAAAATTATAATCCCTTTACTTAGGCCCTATTATCTTTATTTGACCTCCTTTATTCGATTTTCTCGTCTCCAAAAAAAAATAAACCAAATATTACAATCAATTATTGCTACAAACTATTTATATAAATTAAAGATAAAGACCAACGTTTTTAAGTAGCACTTAATTAACGTAATAACGCTTTCATAATAGCACGTAATTGCAATAAATTATATTATTTTTTAATAAACCAGAACGATTAGCGTACGAAATCGTGAAATAGAATAAAACAAATACGCAAACTGATTTATTTCGGACGTAATGTAATTATATAATTTACTACTAAATTAATTGCGCAAATTTATAAAAAAAGCCTCATTAGATTTTGTAACGCAACATTAGAAGCTGGGATGAGCTGGGTCAAATTAAATACATATAATTAAGGGGAGTTAAATTAATTAAATTAGGAGTAATTATACTTAAAATATGTAGGTATATTGCAAGAGGAAGAGCTATAATAATGTACAACAGGTTTTTAGAGCAATAGAGTACAGAAAAAAAGCAGTTTCTGAGAAATATTAAAATGGTGCAACAAAGAAATATTTACAACTTTTCATACATTTCTTAGTAATTAGTTATTATTTTATTGCACTATTAACATTAATATAATACTTTAACTAATATAATCATTATTTTAAATTAAATATACAAATCTATAAATAAATATGTAATAATGATGAAAATAAAGATGGAACAATGTACCAATTTCTCGCCCTCGTTGAATATTATTTCGAGGCATAAATAACCTTCCTTAGACTAATTAGATATTTTACTAAAAATATTTTATATTATGTGTCTTCTAAATATAGCATAAATTAGGGAACTACCGGCTTTTTATAAGAGCTTTTTTATAAATTTTTATAAGACAAGACACATTTATTATACACAATAAAAATATTCCACACAGAATTTCACGATACGATATGATAAAGCTATTAGCGTATTTAAATGAACAAGAAATCGGTTGAAATGGAAAATTTCTAAGTAAAGTTGATATTGATTTTTGTTACTAATCATAATTTATCATCCCTTTGACTGAATTTACTGTTTATAAAATGTTAAAGAGACTCACCTCAACGTATATTTTACCTCGATCATGTAGTAACTAATCTATTTTATTGCTTCACACCAATACAAAGGATTACCTTTGATCACACCACTCTCACCTCACTTCTTAAAGTTACCCATACAAATCGTACGATCGATATACAACAAACAGCTGATAGGTGACAGGTGAATTGACAGCAACTGAAAGCCGACTCGATTGATATGCTGCGTTGCCAAATCATCTACATATTGAAATATTTATGTGTTACAATTATTCCTCTCTTAAACGTTTACTAAATTCTTATGTAAACTTTTTGTTAGCATAATAATTGATGACTGAAAATAGCGATTAAGCAATAGAAATAAAACAAAGTGTGTGTTAAATATTAGAGTTGGCAACATGGATACAAAAATATGTAGTGAATTTTTACTTTTAGGTGTTGGATGCACTGCGGTCATGATTCATTCTAGAACGTCAATTGTCATTTCAAACGTCAAATCCTTCATTTTATTCGTTCCGTCACTTGCAAAAAGACCGATGTTCAGGTGAAATTTACAATTGTAATTCGTTTCAACTCAACTCGTTACCGTTATTTACAACTGTGATTGTGTGTTTTAAAAACGTTCGTTAAAGTTATATGCTGTAAGAAACATTCAGAAGCGCCCCAAGATGGGGGACTCCCTAGAAGCCTCGGAAACGGCCCACGAAACTCAAAATGTGGCGTTAGTGGATTTTACTGCGTTTACAAATTTTATTTTGAAAGCGGCTACTGTACTTTTGCCAGAAGATGATAGCCAAGCGGAACCGGCGAACCTCATAGCAGCAATAGATGACAAAACCAATCAGGAATGTATAAAAAAATTCATAAGCGATCCCCAAATTGTGATATTGTACGTCCAAAGGAACTCTTCAAAAGGTAAATATGACTCATACGTTTGCATATTATGCAGTGATTATTATTAGCCGATTGAATAGTTGCGATATTTTGCAGGTGCTAAACGAAAATAATAAAAAGTAGTATAATTAGTTTTTTATCTGATAAGTACTTCAAAGTATGTTTTTATCAAATAGTGTTATTGGCTTTAAAATGAATTGGCAGATTGATAATAATTTATTGGAGTACTTCAATTTTATTTGTTCCTGAAGCAGGATTCTTAAGGATTAAACATCTGGATTTGATCCTGCTGATTTTGTCGAGAATAACCGTGATTATCCAGACAATTTTGTTGATTAGGGCATCCGGATAATCAAAATTCCAAATAATTGATGGATACTTTTAAAATTTACCCGTCTGTTCTGGATAATAGAGATTCTTCTGTATTTACCTGTACCTAATGCTTCCACTTTTCATCAGATGACGACAATGTCCAGCCTCCGGAAGGAGAAGAAGAAAAAGAACCAGTTACATACTACATTAGCAACGAAGTGCACTATTCCAACTCGAAAATGTCCAGCTTGGTGTGCATCAAAAGGGGCCCGGTGATAGAGGCCGATAAGAGCATTAGGGCTCAGGTTCGTTTGATGAACTTCAGCGAGGGTTCCCCTTATGAAATTCTGCACGATTACGTCAGCAGAACCGTCGCCCCTTACTTCAAATCCTACGTAAAAGAGTCGGGCAGAGCTGACCGGTAAGTAGCTTCTATTAGCTTTTATTGCAACATTCAAATTTTGAAAATTTTATATTAGCGACGGTGATAAAATGGCGCCTGCGGTTGAAAAAACAATCGCCGAATTAGAAATGGGGCTTCTGCATTTACAACAAAATATCGATATTCCGGAAATTACGCTTCAAGTGCATCCGTACGTCGCCAGTCTTATAAAGCAATGCGCCGATGAAGGAAGGAAGCCGAAAGTCGCCGATTTCAGTGACAAAGTGGACGACTCGAACTTTCTCAACCAACTCCAACACGGAGTAAATCGTTGGATCAAAGAAATTCAAAAAGTTAGTCTAGATTTTATTATGATCTACAATAACATATTAGTATCATGAGTGTGAATAATATGAGCAATGATTAATACCAATACGCAATTAATAAGTACCTTTGGCTTTAAAAAATATTAGCAGTATAGGATTATTCACTTGTAAAAAATTAGAATCCTATGAAGTTACTTCACTAAAATGATAATTTTATTTATATCATATGAAACATTCCATTCTTCTTATAGGTAACAAAATTAGACAGAGACCCCTCTTCTGGCACGGCTCTTCAAGAAATTAGTTTTTGGCTGAATCTGGAAAGGGCCCTTCACCGCATCCAGGAAAAACGCGAAAGCATGGAGGTCGCTCTAACATTGGACATTCTGAAGCACGGCAAACGTTTTCACGCCACGGTGTCGTTCGATACCGATACCGGCCTAAAGCAAGCCATAGCTACGGTTAACGATTACAATCCGCTGATGAAGGATTTCCCCATTAACGATTTGTTAGCTGCAACGGAGCTGGAGAGAATTCGCGCGGCGGTTCAATTGATTTTTTCCCATCTAAGGAAGGTCCGATCGACCAAATATCCCATTACGAGGTGCCTAAGACTAGTCGAGGCCATTTCGAGAGACTTGGGCATGCAGTTGTTGAAAGTACTGGGTACCCGCCGTTTAATGCACATTCCATTCGACGAATTCGAGAAAGTCATGACCCAATGTTTCGAAGTGTTTTCGATTTGGGATGACGAATACGAGAAATTGCAAGGTCTTCTCAGGTAATACAATAACACTCGAATAATCTGTAATAATGTATTTAAAACGAATTTGTTATGTTTAGAGATATCATGAAGAAGAAGCGAGACGAACACATGAAAATGGTCTGGCGGATTTCGCCGCAACATAAAAAACTCCAAAGCCGTATGGATCAGATGCGCAAATTTCGCAGGCAGCACGAACAGCTGCGCACGGTCATAGTGCGCGTATTGAGACCGAGTGTCAAAGAGAGCGCAGCGCCCGTCGAAGGAAGCGATATCGAACCTCCTAAACCGACGTTTTCCCTTGATGCTGCAGATGCCAACGCTATTGAGGTACAATACAGGGTGTATTTGAAATAAGTGGTCGAATTTTGGGAGCCAATAGAGAACCTTAAAATAGGACAAAAACGGTATAGGGGGTGTTAAAGATGGATTCTCGAAGAGGTATTTTTATTAATAATTTTAATAATAACAAAGGTAAAATGATGAAATTTGATACACGTACTAAGCAAATGAAATGTCTTACGGCACTATTCAATCGGGTTAAAAATGTTTTCGTCATATTTTGAGGTTCTCTACTTGCTCCCTAAGTTTGACCACTTATTTTAGAAACACCTTGTATATCCTAGAGTTCGTTTACATGCGGAGTTGAACCTAGGTTCAACCCGAGTTGAGTTTTGTGTATAAACGAGTCCAAAACTCAACCCAATTTCGACTCGATCTTTCAACTCTGCATGTAAACATACTACTAGTCTACTTTGCAATACTTCACCACTAACTTCGATATGTCCTTTAATGAACTTACTATAATTTCGTATGAATTTAGGAAGTAAATTTGGCTTACGAGAACGTAAAAGAAGTCGACTGTCTGGACATTACCAAGGAAGGCCAAGACGCTTGGGATGCCGCTGTACAGAGGTACGAAGAGCGAATCGATAGAGTCGAAACGAGGATCACCGCACATCTACGCGATCAATTGGGAACGGCCAAAAACGCGAACGAGATGTTTAGGATTTTCTCGCGTTTTAACGCCCTATTCGTCAGACCTCACATTAGAGGGGCTATAAGGGAATACCAAACGCATCTGATTCAAAGAGTGAAAGACGATATCGAAGCCCTACATGAAAAATTTAAAGTAGGATAAACTGTTTACTGATAGACGGATTATTTTTTTAATTGTGTATATTTTTTAGGTTCAATATCCGCAAAGTAACAGCGCTAAAATTAGCAAAGTGAGAGATTTGCCGCCTGTAGCCGGTTCTATAGTGTGGGCCAAGCAAATCGATCATCAACTAACGACATATTTAAGGCGTGTCGAAGATGTGCTAGGTAAGTTTTCAAGGACCTTTACAAAATTTCATAAAAATATCTGGAGTAATAAGACAATTATAATAGAAAAGTTATTTTTTTCTAATATTGCAACACCCTATAGCTCGAAAACTAAAAAGTTTATCTTCTTAAAATCATTCAAATTAACACTCTGTATAAAAAACATTGCTCTACCTTATAGAACCTGTATAAATCCTCATAAATGCTTTTAAATTATTAGGAAAAGGATGGGAGAACCACATCGAAGGACAAAAACTCAAAGCCGACGGGGACAGTTTCCGTTTGAAGCTAAATACCCAGGAAATATTCGATGATTGGGCGCGAAACGTGCAACAACGTAATCTCGGCGTGTCCGGCAGAATATTTACCATCGAAGCCGTGAGATCGAGGAGCGGTCGCGGTAACGTTCTCAAATTGAAAGTCAACTTTCTACCGGAGATCATTACGCTGGCCAAGGAAGTACGTAATTTAAAGTGCCTGGGATTCAGAGTACCTTTGGCTATCGTCAATAAGGCACACCAAGCGAATCAACTTTATCCGTTCGCCATATCGCTCATCGAAAGCATTCGAACATACGAGATGACTTTGGAAAAGGTAATTGTAATTCGTCAATCTAAATCATGTTGTTGTTAGTTAGAATTATTAACATTTCAATAACAATATAGCAGAAATTTCGTTGATAAATTGATGTTTTTTAACTACCTGTATTAGCAATATTTACATAATTTCTTTAATAATAGCTAACAAACAGGATTAGTTCAACAAGCGGTACCAAGGTAGATTATTGGTAGATGTTCAGTGTTTATGGGAAGCATGGGACCATCTTAAACTGTTCTTGCATGCGTCTCCTCTATATAGATCAATTTCTTTTACCTTCGTTATTTATTGAGCGAATTTATGAACTATTGGCATGAGTTAAATACGACCTATTATGTTTTATAATATCAAGAACTACTGTAGTTCAATCTTCTTACTATCTTTTTTAATTATGATCAGGAAACTTTAAGGAATGTTAGGGAAGCTTTTTATGTGTTTTGCGGCTCATGGTTTGATGAAAGTGTAGAATTTTTATTACCCCGTAGGGTTATCCTATTAATATTTTCCCAAAGTATATTTTTTTTATAAAATGCTGATAATTGTCATTGCTTCTCCAATGGATGTTTTTTAAACTACTTTTATACATTTTTGTAGATTTTTATGGAATATTAGTTTATTTTTTGGTCATAAATTAAAAAATATCCTTCCTCCTTGACTAATTTTTACTTTTAATTAAGTGTATACGATTGTATTCTTACCGCTTTCTCTTAACTAAAATCTTTATATATTCTTCGTGTAATAAAATGCAACAAATTCCAGATCGAGGACAAGGCCAGCATCATTCCGCTCGTCGCTGGCATGAGAAAAGAAGTCCAACTGGTCCTGGCCGAAGGAATCCAACTGGTATGGGAAAGCTACAAACTGGACCTCTACGTACAGCGACTCTCAGACCTAGTGGTGGGTTTCCAAGAGCGCGTCGAAGAGCTCGTATTCGTCGGCGAGCAATTAGAAGTCGACGTCAGATCGTTGGAAACCTGCCCTTACTCGGCCAACACCTTCGCCGACATCCTGTCGAAGATCCAACACGCCGTCGACGATCTGTCGCTGAAGCAATTCTCGAACCTGCACATTTGGGTGTTGCGATTGGACGAAGAGGTCGAGAAGAACCTCGCCAGGCGGCTGCAAGCCGGCATCGAAGCCTGGACGGAGACGCTGAGCGGCCAGAAGAAGGAAATCGATCACAGCATGGACACCGACGCGCCGGCCCAGCCCACCCACAAACCCGGCGGCGATCCGCAAATCCAAACGATGATACACGAAGTGCGCATAACCAATCAGACAATGTACTTGTTTCCGAGCATCGAAGAGGCCAGGTTCCTGATTATGCAGCAACTGTTCGCTTGGCAGGCGATCGTGACGTGCCAGCAACGCCTTCAAAGCAGTCGCTATCAAGTCGGCGTGGATAAGCCGGTCGTGGAGACTTACCGGAATATTTTGACTAGACTACCGGCTGGCGCGCAACCGTTGATCAACGCTTACAGCGCTATTTCTTCGAAAATTAAGGAGGTGAATATTTGATGTTCGAATGTTCGAAAAATGATACGAATTTGTTATGTTTTATTATTTTTTTTTTGCGCAGGTTCAAAATTATGTAAACGAGTGGTTAACTTACCAATCTCTGTGGGATCTGCAAGCAGATAATCTTTACGGGAAACTGGGTGAAGATATTAGTAAATGGATGGAATGTCTGAATGACATAAAGTAAGTAAATTAGGAATATTATATACAGTTGGTGCAAAACAAATATCAATGCACGTCACCTATGATTTACTACTTCACAAGCAGGCGGTGTTGCCGAACTTTCATAGAGTTTACAAAATCTAAGAATTTTCTAAATTTGTCAAATGTGTGTATTTATTTTAAAAAATTTGGCATAATGCTTGGCAAGTATGACAACAGTAGTGACGTGCATTGATATTTGTTTTGCACCAACTGTATGTGAAATCTCGTAAACATGAAAAACCCTAGAATGGTCGAACACTCATTAAAAATAGTACCTGACTTCTATTTTTAATAATAGAATTAATAGAATTCTATTTTCTCCTGAAGATCTATAACGAGACTGAGAAATTAAAAGAATATGGAAAATGAGATGCGAGGAACAGTCATGAAACTAATCAAACTCGCGAAAGTCAACCAAAATCAAATTGCTAGTTCGTTATAGAAATTTGACAAATTTTATTTAATTTTCAGGAAAACTCGAACTACATTCGACACGTCGGACACCCGTCGCGAATTCGGCCCAATAGTCATAGACTTCGCCAAAGTCCAGAGCAAAGTTTCCCTTAAATACGACTCTTGGCACAAAGAAACCTTGAGCAAATTCGGAAGTCTCTTGAGCAACGAAATGACCTCGTTCCACGCCAACGTATCCAAATCCAGATCCGATCTGGAGTTGCAAAGCATCGAGGCGGCCAGCACATCCGACGCCGTCAGCTTTATAACGTACGTCCAGCAATTGAAACGGAACATGAAAGCTTGGGAGAAGCAGGTGGACATCTACAAAGAAGGCCAAAGGATCCTGGAGCGCCAGCGATTCCAGTTCCCGACGAACTGGTTGCACGTGGAGAACCTGGAGGGCGAATGGGGAGCATTCAACGAAATCATCAAGAGGAAGGATTCGAGCATCCAAACTCAAGTCGCTAGTCTTCAGCAGAAGATCGTTTCGGAAGATAAGGCGGTCGAAAGTCGCACGAACGATTTCTTGGTAGATTGGGAGAGGAGCAAGCCGGTCGAAGGCCATCTCAGACCGGACGACGCCCTCTCTCAGCTGCAATTATTCGAAAGCAAATTTTCGCGTCTCAAGGAAGAACGCGACAACGTCGCCAAAGCCAAAGAAGCTTTGGACTTGCAAGACCCGGGCGGCATAAGTACCAGCGAAGACAAAATGCAAGTCGTTTACGAGGAATTGCAAGATCTGAGAGGCGTCTGGTCCGAACTGTCCAGAATCTGGCAGCAAATCGACGAAACCCGAGAGAAACCTTGGCTCTCCATCCAACCGAGGAAGCTGCGGCAACAATTAGACCAACTCTCGACGCAACTCCGAGAATTACCGGCCCGTCTGAGGCAATACGCTTCGTACGAATACGTCAAGAAGACCCTACAAACCTACACCAAAGTCAACATGCTGATAGTCGAATTAAAATCCGACGCCCTCAAGGAACGCCACTGGAAGCAGCTCATGAAGCAACTGCGAGTCAACTGGGTGCTCTCCGATCTAACGCTCGGCCAAGTCTGGGACGTCAATCTCCAGAAAAACGAGGCCATCGTCAAAGACGTCATACTGGTAGCCCAAGGCGAAATGGCGCTCGAAGAGTTCCTGAAGCAAGTGCGCGAATCCTGGCAAAACTACGAACTGGACCTGATCAACTACCAAAACAAATGCAAACTGATCAGAGGATGGGACGATCTGTTCAACAAAGTCAAAGAACACATCAATTCCGTCGCCGCCATGAAGCTGTCGCCGTACTACAAGGTGTTCGAAGAGGAAGCCTCGACTTGGGAGGAAAAGTTGAATCGCATCAACGCGCTGTTCGACGTGTGGATCGACGTGCAAAGGCGCTGGGTGTATTTAGAAGGGATATTCTCCGGCAGCGCGGACATCAAAACGCTCCTGCCGGTGGAAACGTCGCGTTTCCAAAGCATCAGCTCCGACTTCTTGGGGCTGATGAAGAAAGTGAGCAAGAGCCCGATGGTGATGGACATCGTGAATATTCTAGGCGTGCAACGCGTATTGGAACGACTCGCCGATTTATTGGGTAAAATCCAGAAAGCGCTCGGCGAATATCTGGAAAGAGAACGCACGTCTTTCCCTCGATTCTACTTCGTGGGCGACGAAGATCTCCTGGAGATAATCGGCAACAGCAAAAACGTGGCGAGATTGCAAAAGCATTTCAAGAAAATGTTCGCCGGCGTGGCTTCCATATTACTCAACGACAACAATACTGTCATCACCGGTATAGCTTCGCGAGAAGGCGAAGAAGTCGTGTTCAAATCGCCGGTTTCCACCGTAGAGCATCCCAAGATCAACGAGTGGCTGAGTTTGGTCGAAAAGGAAATGCGCGTGACGCTGGCCTCGAATCTAACGCAAGCCGTGCAGGACATCAAGCAATTCAAAGACGAAATCGACTCGAAATCCTACATGGAATGGGTGGACAAATACCAAGCGCAGATCGTGGTGTTGGCGGCCCAGATTCTCTGGAGCGAGGACGTCGAAGCGGCGCTGGTGAAAATGAACAGCGAACCGCAGAAGGGCGTGCTGGAAAAGGTCCTGCAACAGGTCGAGAACACCCTCAACGTGCTGGCGGATTCCGTTTTGCAGGAGCAACCGCAGTTGAGAAGGAAGAAGCTGGAGCACTTGATCAACGAGTTTGTGCACAAGAGAACGGTGACCAGGAGGCTCATCGCCAACGGGGTTTGTAGTAACAAGGCGTTCGAATGGCTGTGCGAAATGAGGTTCTACTTCGATCCGAGACAAACCGAAGTGCTCAAACAATTAACGATTCATATGGCGAACGCTAGGTTCTATTACGGATTTGAATACTTGGGTGTGCAGGATAGATTAGTGCAAACTCCTCTAACTGACAGATGTTACTTGACTATGACTCAAGCTTTGGAAGCCCGTCTCGGAGGATCGCCTTTCGGTAAGCATAAATATTTCAAACTTTTTTTTAATAAGTTAGCAATAATAGTTATAGTCGATGCTAAACAAATGTCTAAATGACAAGAACAAATTGAAAATTAGGGACCTGGATTAGGGATTAGGGAAAATTAGGGTACCTGTTTCACGTTTCTAAACGGCGGAAACGTTGAATTTTGACAATATATGTCTTTTGGGATGATTTATTTCTGCTTTTTAACATTTTCTATCATCCCTTGTTAATATTAAATTAAATTCTGCAGGTGCCTATTCTTGATCTATTTTGTGTATTTATTTTTAAAAGGTGGGCAGAATGCTCGGCAAATATGACGACAGTTCATTGATATTTGTTTTGCACCTACTGTATAAATATTTTTCATTCGTCCTTTATAATCGCCTCTCTATAATCGAGTGTGTTATAGGGCTGGAATGCAAATGATAAAATCTAATCTTGTGTTTAGGACCCGCCGGAACTGGTAAGACCGAATCGGTCAAAGCGCTCGGAAACCAGCTGGGTCGTTTCGTGCTCGTGTTCAATTGCGACGAAACGTTCGATTTCCAAGCCATGGGCAGGATATTCGTGGGTTTGTGTCAAGTGGGCGCTTGGGGTTGTTTCGACGAATTCAACAGATTAGAAGAAAGAATGCTGTCGGCCGTTTCGCAGCAAATACAAACTATACAAGAAGCTCTGAAGTCGCAGAAGGAAGCTGCCGCCGAAGGAGTCGCCACCGGCAGTGCGTATTTCGAAAAATACTCGATCGATTTGCTATTGAATGTTCGATTTAATTTTTAGGTATAAGCGTCGAACTGGTGGGAAAACAAGTAAAAGTGTCGCCCGATATGGCCATCTTTATTACGATGAATCCCGGCTACGCGGGTCGTTCGAATTTGCCGGATAATTTGAAGAAATTGTTCAGATCGTTAGCCATGACTACGCCCGACAGACAACTGATCGCTGAAGTCATGTTGTTCTCTCAAGGATTCAGGCAGGCCGAGAAATTGGCATCGAAAATCGTACCGTTCTTTAGGTAATATTCCCCAAAATAATTCTTTTCGATTCCACTCATCTTATCGCTGAAAATTTTCAGATTATGCGACGAACAACTGTCCAATCAATCCCATTACGACTTCGGTTTGAGAGCTTTGAAATCCGTACTGATATCGGCGGGAAATGTGAAAAGAGATAGAATCCAAAGGATAAAAGAAGGTATGACCCAACGAGGCGAAACTAACATAGACGAAGCAAACATAGCCGAGAATTTGCCCGAACAAGAAATATTGATTCAATCGGTTTGCGAGACTATGGTTCCCAAATTGGTCGCTGAAGATATCCCGTTGCTGTTCAGCTTGTTGAACGACGTGTTTCCCAACGTGCAATACACCAGAGCCGAAATGGAAGGTAAATCGTTATTATTAGAAACTTATAATCTTCTCCAACGTTGTCATGTTTTCAGGTCTTAAGGACGAAATTAGAAAAGTGTGCACGGAAGAATACCTCGTTTGCGGAGAAGGCGATGAAAGGGGTTCGGCTTGGATGGAAAAAGTAAAAATATTATATGTTTACTTGGATACTAATTCATTTATCTCGAGCATTCCTCTGCTTTGTGCTTAAATAATATCAAAAAGAGCGTAGCTAACCAAAACCTTTTAAATATTAGACCCCCGGTACTTTCAGCTTTAGAAACGAGACAAATATCAGTAACGTATGAATTTCAATTATCTTTAAATTAGTACGATTGAATGGATGATTGTAAAAAGGATAAAATTCCAAAAATATAGCGAATTAATATGATATATCCATTATAAACTGTTCAAACTTTGGCATTAAACTTACTTTGTTATAGTGTATAATTGGTCAATAGTAATGATTAGTTATTTTTTGATTTCCCAAAAATACGATTCACTGGAATTATATCTTTTTTCCAATCACTCTTTCAATTATACTAAGTAGATAATTATCCCGTTCGTATTTAGAATTGAAATTACCGAAACTTAAAAATTAACCAGAGCTCTATTTCTATGGGGCAATGTAAATATAGGTAAATATTCAATACTCAGTAATATATGCCCCTTTAATAAATTATGCTAATTTGGTGAATAGACTTTCAATTAGTTTCACTAATACACATTTCATATTTTCACGCTGCACAGAGAGACACATGGCTATCAAAGGTACTTTTTTATCATCATAATTTATATGTTTGCATTTGTGTTTGCATGCGTGTTAACGTCTGGATTTCATAAACAATAGATCGGGTTTTTCTTTTCATTAGCTAATTATTAACATTACAGGTATTACAATTATACCAAATTTCGAACCTCAACCACGGTCTAATGATGGTCGGCCCGAGTGGTTCGGGCAAGAGTTCAGCATGGCGAGTTCTGCTCAAAGCCCTCGAACGATTCGAAGGAATAGAAGGCGTAGCCCACGTAATCGATCCGAAAGCGATCAGCAAAGAGACTTTATACGGTGTGTTGGATCCCAATACCAGAGAATGGACCGATGGTCTGTTCACCCATATTCTAAGGTAACTTCAAATATCATCGAACAATTTTGCTTCGATACAAAACGAAGCTTTGTAAACTTTCGGTTCGTTAATAGCTTTATAAACATACTGTTTTGTTAATTTTTTTATAGAAAAATTATAGACAACGTGAGAGGTGAAATTAACAAACGCCAATGGATTATCTTCGACGGTGACGTCGATCCAGAATGGGTGGAAAACTTGAACTCTGTTCTCGACGATAACAAATTGTTGACTCTTCCCAACGGAGAACGTCTATCCCTACCGCCTAACATTAGAGTCATGTTTGAGGTATGTACACCTGATCTAATCCTTTACACTCTTTAAAATTGAATTTGGTACGATTTAACATTCCCTCTACCCTCTATCTCTAGGTACAAGATCTAAAATATGCCACGTTAGCTACAGTGTCGCGTTGTGGTATGGTGTGGTTCTCTGAAGACGTTTTATCCACCGAAATGATATTCGAAAATTACATTCTCCGATTGAAGAACATTCCGCTCGAAGAAAGCGAAGAGGGCTTCGGGAAGAAATCGGACCTCAAAGACGACTTGTTGTCTCCGACCCTCCAACTGCAAGTCGACGTCGTGAATCTACTCCAGCCGTTTTTGGGACCCGACGGTCTCGTCGTACGCTGTTTGGAGTACGCCATGGAACAGGAACACATAATGGACTTCACGCGACTCAGAGCTCTCAGCTCTCTCTTCTCCATGCTGAATCAAGCCGTGAGAAACGTCTTGCAGTTCAATCACATGCATCCCGATTTTCCTCTCTCCAGCGAAGCCCTCGACAAATACATACCGAAATGTTTGATATATTCGATCTTGTGGAGCTTCGCCGGCGATGCCAAGCTTAAAGTTAGATCGGAATTGGGCGATTTTATCAGATCAGTCACCACCGTACCCCTGCCTTCCGATCGCAATTTGCCTATTATCGATTACGAAGTTACCATCGAAGGAGAATGGTCGCTTTGGTCGAACAAAGTGCCGCAAATCGAGGTCGAAACTCACAAAGTCGCCACGCCCGACATTGTGGTGCCCACGTTGGACACAGTCAGACACGAATCGTTGTTGTACACCTGGTTGGCGGAGCACAAACCGATAGGTTAGTTACATTTATGAGCACCGGAGGATCAGGAAGTTTTACTGATTCTTTACCTTATTTTTTTGTTGTTTTTAAGTGTTGTGTGGTCCACCTGGTTCCGGTAAAACGATGACATTATTCTCCGCATTGAGAGCATTACCTGACATGGAAGTCGTCGGTTTGAACTTCTCATCGGCTACAACTCCAGAGTTGCTGTTAAAAACCTTTGATCATTACTGCGAATACAGAAAAACACCGAATGGCGTCATTCTATCGCCCATACAGGTACCTAATTATTTATCTATTCATTAGTTCGATTGTACGATCGAATATTCTACACTATAACCCATGTTCATAACGTTAATTAATTATGTAAAGAGTCTCTTTAACTCGACATTTGTACACCATTGCTGTTATAGAGTAACTCTTGACTTTGGATACCTTAAAGAGACTCTTTAAACGATTGAATAGCGTTAAAAAGAAGCGCTGAATACATTATGCTTCTTAAAACCCTATTTTTTCAATAACCCCTTCAAATATTGGATACTTTTCAAACATAACCTTCGACTATCAACTAAATCTCATGAAATCAAATTATACAGAATGTTTTTTAATAATATGCTAATACTAAAGAAGGTGATTCTTGGGCCCATTTAACGAAAAAAATGTATATGACACATACTCATATGAAGTTAATCCTAGTCTTAAAATGGGCCCAAAATACCCCCCAGTATTAGCATGTTATTAAAAAACACCTGTATATTTCCAGTTAGGCAAATGGCTCGTCCTCTTCTGCGACGAAATCAACTTACCGGACATGGACAATTACGGCACCCAGCGCGTCATCATGTTCCTGCGTCAAATAGTCGAACAAAAGGGCTTCTATCGCGCTTCGGACCAAACCTGGGTATCGTTGGAACGCATTCAATTCGTGGGCGCTTGTAATCCCCCGACGGACCCCGGAAGGAAGCCCCTTTCTCACCGTTTCCTCAGGCACGTGCCCGTCGTTTACGTCGACTACCCGGGAGAGACGTCGCTCAAGCAAATTTACGGCACCTTCACCAGAGCGATGCTGCGACTGGCCCCGGGACTGAAGGGCTACGCCGAGCCGCTGACCAACTCCATGGTGGAATTCTACTTGTCGTCGCAGGACAGGTTCACTCAAGACATGCAACCTCACTACGTGTATTCCCCTCGCGAGATGACGAGATGGGTGAGAGGCATATGCGAAGCCATCAGACCTCTGGACAATCTGTCCGTGGAAGGTTTGGTCAGGTTGTGGGCGCACGAAGCGCTTCGACTGTTCCAAGACAGGTTAGTGGAGGACGCCGAAAGGCGATGGACGAACGAAAACATCGACGCCGTCGCTTTGAAGCACTTCCCGTCGGCGAATTGCGAGAAGGCCTTGGAACGGCCCATCCTATACAGCAACTGGTTGTCCAAGGATTACGTACCGGTAGGCAGGGAGCAGCTGAGAGAATACGTCAAGGCTAGGTTGAAAGTGTTCTACGAAGAGGAACTCGACGTTCCTTTGGTGCTCTTCGATGAGGTACTGGATCACGTGCTCAGGATCGACAGGATTTTCAGGCAACCGCAAGGTCATTTGCTCCTGATTGGCGTGTCCGGAGCGGGGAAAACGACCCTGTCGAGGTTCGTGGCTTGGATGAACGGATTGTCCATTTTCCAAATCAAAGTTCACAACAAATACACCGCCGATGATTTCGACGAAGACTTGCGATCGGTTCTGAGAAGGAGCGGTTGCAAACACGAAAAGATCGCCTTCATTTTGGACGAGTCGAACATGCTGGACTCGAGTTTCTTGGAAAGAATGAATACTCTTCTAGCCAACGGCGAAGTTCCCGGATTGTTCGAAGGAGACGAATACACCACTCTAATGACGCAGTGCAAAGAAGGAGCTCAAAGAGAAGGTATATTTCATACAAAAAAATTAAAATTTGTCATTACTGTAATTTTGTAACGGTTTATTGTAGGATTAATGTTGGATTCGAACGATGAACTCTACAAGTGGTTCACGCAACAAGTCATGCGAAATTTGCACGTAGTTTTTACGATGAATCCTTCGACGGATGGTTTGAAGGATAGGGCCGCTACTTCTCCTGCTTTATTCAACAGATGCGTGTTGAATTGGTTCGGAGATTGGTCCGATGGAGCTCTATTCCAGGTACGTAGAAACTATATTTATTGGCATGACATAAATTGATCTACAGTTGATGCAAAACAAATATCAATGAACGTCACTACTGTCGTCATACTTGCCAAGCATTGTGCCCAACTTTTAAAAATAAATGTACAAAATAGATTAAGCTTAATACCTGCAGAATTTAATTTAATATTAACAAGGGATGATAGAAAATGTTAAAAAGCAGAATTAAATCGTACAAAAAATATGTATTGTCAAAATTCAATGTTTGTATATAAAATAATTATTATTTTCTTATAGTAGGTGGCACTGACTGTCAAGTTGCATAGTTGCCGTTGTCATCCGATCGGTACTTTTAATTTTCATTTTCTTCCTATTTTTTTCTAGTTTACTAACCTCAACTATTAAAGGCTATTCAGCCGAATAATCGAGAAATAAGAATTTTTTCGTAGTTATCTTATCCACGTGTTAGAAATGACACAATTTGAGCTCTAAATAATTCAGATTCAGAAGTTTTCTCAGAAATTTCACTATGTACTCTTTTAAGGGTCAATTGTATACACTATTTTTTTACTCGCATTGTTAAATATATTTCAGATGATAAAGGAATTTGATGATTAATTATAGTGAGCCCCTGAATACGTTTAGAAACGTGAAACAGGTACTCCTAATTACCATTTTTTTCTTGTCATTTTGCCATTTGACAATTTTAGAAATTTCTTAGATTTTGTAAACTCTATAAAAGTTCGGCAACACTGCCTACCTGTGACGTAGCAAATCATAGGTGACGTGCATTGACATTTGTTTTGCACCAACTGTATTGTCCTTCTTTTATTTATCAACTATCTACATGATTGAACATCGTTTTAGGTGGGAAAAGAATTCACGAATCGCTTGGATCTCGACAAACAAAGTTGGAAATGTCCAGATTTCTTCCCCGCTTCTTGCAACCGCATTTCCGCGACGCCCAATCACAGAGAGGCCGTCATCAACGCCTGCGTTTACGTCCATCAGACCCTTCACAAAGCCAACGGCAGATTGACAAAGAGAGGAAGTCGCACGATGGCCATCACCCCTAGACACTACTTGGATTTCATACACCATCTCGTCAAATTGTACAACGAAAAACGGTCCGATTTAGAAGAGCAACAGCTCCATCTTAACGTCGGTTTGAACAAGATCGCAGAAACCGTTGAACAGGTAAAATATATAAATAATTTAGGACAGTATTGTAATCTATCGGGTTAAAACATTCGAACATTAATTCGAATTGATTTGCGTTTTAGGTGGAAGAGATGCAAAAGAGTTTGGCCGTAAAATCGCAAGAATTGCAAGCGAAAAACGACGCCGCCAACGCCAAGCTCAGGCAAATGGTGAAAGATCAGCAGGAGGCCGAAAAGAAGAAAGTTCAAAGTCAAGAAATCCAACAGCAGCTCGCCCAGCAAACGGTGCACATCAAGCAGAAAAAATCCGAAGTAATGGCCGATTTGGAACAAGTAGAACCGGCCGTCATCGAAGCTCAGCAAGGTACGTTTTCGTTTTGTTGTAGCCTTTTAAAATACTGATAAAAACATTTTTTGTTTAGCTGTGAAATCCATCAAGAAACAACAATTAGTAGAAATCCGTACCATGTCGAATCCTCCGGCTCTGGTAAAACTGGCGCTGGAATCGATTTGCTTGCTGCTAGGAGAAAACGCCAGCGATTGGAAATCCATTCGAGCTGTGATTATGAGAGACAATTTCATCAACAGCGTGGTCAATTTCAACACCGAAGATATCGGGTAAATAGCAAATTTATAAGAAAACTTTTGCTTTCGAAAAATGAAGGAATTACTTCAAGGTATATGGATAGAAAGATGTGAAGGAAGAGGTTTTGCTTCGAGCACCCTGTTGTTGCTTTAAAATTTTAAATAATTTTCAAATTTTTGTGTATTTTGACTGCGTTTTCCCAGTTACAAACTGGCTGACAGGGTGCATTTACATTAGAACTGTTTAGAACCATTTAGAACGCCCCAGAATCATCTAGAACGCTCCAGACTCATTTAGAACTCTCTAGAATAATTTAGATCTGTCTAGATCAAATCTAGAACTGTTTAGAATCAATTAGAACGCTCCAGAATCCTTTAGAACTGTCTAGATCAATCTAAAACGCTCCAGAGTCATCTAGAACTGTCCGGAATCATTTAGAACTGTTTAGAACCATTTAGGCTCGTTTCGACTAGTTTGACGACATCGCTAATCTCTGTACCATTTACTTTATGAATATGGATCAGAGCAAAACCTTTTCCCCTTACCTTTTACCTTCTACCTTTTACTTCAAAGTAAATGCTTCTTTTTTAATTCATTTATCTTGAAAGTACAAAATTTTACGCGACTCTTTATTTTTCCAGCGACGACGTCAGAGAAAAAATGAAAAGCCGCTATTTGAGCAACCCCGATTACAACATCGACAAAATCTACCACGCCAGCAACGCCTGCGGTCCGCTGGTGAAGTGGGCCTGCGCCCAAGTCGAGTACGCCGACATGCTGAAGAAGGTCGAGCCGCTGCGCGAGGAGCTCAACTCACTGGAAACGCAAGCCGAAACGAACCAGAAGCGCGGCGAAGACGTGAAAGTTCTCATCGGCCAGCTGGAGCAAAGCATCGCCTCCTACAAGGAGGAATACGCGCAGCTGATCGCCCAAGCGCAAGCCATCAAAACCGATTTGGAGAACGTCCAAGCCAAGGTCGATCGATCGATAGCCCTTCTCAAATCGCTCGTCATCGAAAGGGAACGATGGGAGGCCAGCAGCGAGACGTTCAGATCGCAAATGTCCACCATCATCGGGGACGTTCTGCTATCGGCCGCGTTCATCGCGTACGGAGGTTACTTCGACCAACATTACCGTCAAAATCTCTTCAGCACTTGGTGTCAACATTTAACGCTAGCTAACATCCAATACAGGGCCGATATAGCTCGAACGGAGTACTTGTCGAATCCCGACGAACGGCTCAGATGGCAAGCCAACGCTTTGCCTTCGGACGATCTGTGCACGGAAAACGCCATCATGCTGAAGAGATTCAACAGATACCCGCTCATTATCGATCCGTCGGGCCAAGCCACCGAATTCATAATGAACGAATTCAAAGACAAGAAGATCACCAAGACGAGCTTCTTGGACGATTCGTTCAGGAAGAACTTGGAATCGGCGCTGCGTTTCGGCAATCCCCTTCTCGTCCAAGACGTCGAGAACTACGACGCCATATTGAACCCCGTGCTCAACCGGGAGCTGCGAAGGACCGGCGGGCGCGTGTTGATAACGCTCGGCGACCAAGACATCGATTTGTCGCCGTCGTTCGTGATATTCCTATCCACGCGAGACCCGACCGTGGAATTCCCGCCGGACATTTGCTCGAGAGTCACATTCGTCAACTTCACGGTGACCAGGAGCTCGTTGCAGAGCCAATGCTTGAATCAAGTGCTCAAGGCCGAGCGGCCCGACATCGACGCCAAGCGATCCGATCTGCTGAAGCTGCAGGGCGAGTTCCACCTGCGATTGAGGCAGCTCGAGAAGTCGCTGTTGCAAGCCCTCAACGACGCCAAGGGTAAGATTCTCGACGACGACAGCGTCATTACGACGTTGGAAACGCTGAAGCAGGAGGCCGCCGAAATCGGACAGAAAGTCGAAGAGACCGATAAGGTCATTTCGGAAATCGAGACGGTGTCGCAGCAGTACTTGCCGTTATCGCAGGCGTGCAGTAACACTTACTTTACTATGGATAGTTTGAACCAAGTGCACTTCCTCTACCAATACTCTTTGAAGATGTTTTTGGACGTATTCGCTACGGTGTTGCACAATAACGTGAAGTTAGATGGAATCACTGATTATCAAGCTAGATTGAACGTCATCACCAGTAATTTGTTTTCGGTATGTATTTAAAGTCTTATACACAGATTGCTTCAATTCAGACCGCAACATGGTCGTTTCTATGAGTTGAACAAAGAAAGATTAATAAAATAACAGTTGCCAAAGCCAATGATCTATCTCTTCCTAAGCGAGCTGGACTTGATCAACAGTTTGTTTTTGGTACAAATTATAAAAATAGATATCTTTCAGGTTGTTTATGAGCGAGTAGCTAGAGGAATGCTTCACAACGACCGCATGACGTTCGCCATACTACTATGCAGAATCCATCTAAAAGGACGACCGACGGAACCCAATCTAGACCAAGAGTTCAACTTCTTCCTCAGAGGCAAAGAGGGCGTCTTCAGCAGCACCAATTCGGCCATCGTCGACGGTTTGAACAGCGATCAACAGGAAGCCATCACGAGACTGTCGACCAAGCTACCGGCGTTCAAGAAACTACCGGAACAAATCAAAGACATGCCGGAGTTCGGCGCGTGGTTGCAGCAGAGCAGCCCCGAACAGGCGGTGCCGCAGCTGTGGATCGAAGAGAAGCAGCTGAGCGCCGTCGGCAGGGGCATGTACCAGATGCTGGTGATCCAGGCCTTTAGGCCCGATCGCGTGATCGCGGCGGCGCAGAACTTCGTCGCCGCCGTGCTCGGCGCCGATTTCATGTACCTGGCCGAGAAGGAGCTGGACTTTGCGACGTGCGTCGAAAAGGAGATCAGATCGAACGTGCCGGCGCTGTTGTGCTCGGTGCCCGGCTTCGACGCTTCCGGTCGCGTCGACGATCTGGCCGCCGAGCTCAACAAGCAGATATCCAGCATCGCCATCGGTTCCGCCGAAGGTTTCAACCAGGCCGACAGGGCTATTAACATGGCCTGCAAAACTGGAAGGTTCGTTGATCTTGTTATTATTGCTCCCGAGTCTTTGACACGCTCCTCCAGGCTCATGTAGTTTCCCCGCTGTTTCTGCCAGAAGTTACAAATACTTGCATTCACTTAGAATTGTTATCTCCGGGTCTAGACCCATCCTGCCCAGGTTTCAATCTCTTCACACATTTTCTGCTCTACTATTTTGAGTCAGTGTGTGTGCTCTGAATGCTAGAGGTGTGAGAAGTCCCAGTGATTTGCTCAGATTGTGTAAACTATACATAATTGATTTAACCACATCCCCAACCAGTTAGTCTTTCATAAATTCAAAAATTTTTGACGCTAACATTGAAAATTATCTTCCTATTTTCTGTTAGACTGTGACCTATTGTTGGTACCCTAACTATTTAGTTATAGTTGGTAACCCTATTTAATTTTAAATTCAATATTTCAGATGGGTGATGCTTAAAAACGTCCATCTGGCGCCTCAGTGGCTGGTGCAACTCGAAAAGAAACTTCACTCGCTTCAGCCGCACGCCAATTTCCGGCTGTTCCTCACGATGGAGATAAATCCCAAGTTGCCGTTCAACTTGCTGAGAGCGGGAAGAATATTCGTGTTCGAACCGCCGCCGGGTATCCGAGCGAACTTATTGAGAACATTCAGCACTGTAAGCGTTTGATGCTCTTATTGGATCTTTACGTTTGATTGTATATGCTTTTTTTAGGTTCCGGCGAGCAGAATGATGAAAGCGCCCAACGAAAGAGCGAGATTGTACTTCCTGTTAGCTTGGTTCCATGCGATCGTGCAGGAAAGACTGCGGTACTGTCCGTTAGGTTGGGCCAAGTACTACGAATTCAGCGAATCGGATTTGCGCGTCGCCTGCGATACTTTAGACACGTGGATCGACGCAACGGCGATGGTTCGTTATTCTCTCTCTGTGCGATTGTGCATATAGAAAATTTTAATCGTAATGGCGTTTTAGGGAAGGACCAATTTGCCGCCGGAGAAAGTGCCGTGGGACGCGCTCGTCACGCTTCTCTCTCAATCGATCTACGGCGGTAAGATCGACAACGATTTCGATCAGAGGCTGTTGCATTCGTTCTTGAACAAATTGTTCACGCCGAAGAGCTTCGACAGCGATTTCGCGTTGGTGGCGAACATAGACAATGGGCCCGGTGGAAATCGACACATAACCATGCCGGACGGTACTCGAAGGGATCACTTCTTGAAGTGGATCGAAAGTCTCGCCGACAGGCAAACGCCCGCTTGGTTGGGACTACCTAATAACGCGGAAAAGGTAGATAAATTTTAACGTTTTTAGCAACAATTATTAAATTCGAGTCGTACATAAGCCAGTCGGTGATTGGCGTAATAAAGTTCGTACGTTTTAAAATGACAATGACGTCAAGAGACAGCCTGTTGCAACGTTGCCGTGTTGTAATTGAAATCCTTTATGACGGATACGTTTAAGGTTTTAACATACTTGAGGGTTATGTTTACTTTCGATGTTTACTAATTAAAAAGATCACAAATTAATAGTAGAATTTAGACATGAACATCGGGATGAAATACGAACTCGCGAGTATTAATTTAACTGAATATGATAATGCACACGCACGAAAATTACACCAAAAACTCACTAAAAACACATAGAAAAACGCTGGATAAACTGATAAATGTACAGAAACTGCAAGAAAAACTATCTAAAACGGAGGAAAAACACAAAAACTACTCGTAAATTTATATAAAAAAACAGGACAAAGGCAAAAATCGCCGAGAATCATTTAGAACGGTCTAGAATGATTTAGGAACACTTCTGAACCACTTAGAACGCTCCAGAACCATTTAGAAACGGTCTAGAATCAATTAAAACGTTCCAAAATCATTTAGAACTGTCTAGAACTATTTCGAACACTAGAACAATTTAGAACGCTCTAGAAACATTTAGAACTGCCTAGAGTCATTTAGAAGGATCCAGAACCAAGCAGAACTCTCCAGAAATAGACAAATCTTTAGGAGAGTAACAAAAACAACAAATTGTAATCAAAATCTGACAACTGCAAACAGCGGAATTTTGAGACTAACTATATGACAACAACGCATCGGCAATTCTACCGCGCAATGTAAAATTCCCCTAGCCAAACGGCAGAATTAACATCGGTACTGGGGAAATTGTTACTGCGTGGAAATTAATAAAAACGATGTCATTATCATTTTAAAACGTACGAACAGTAGAAACTTCTAGTGTGCAACTCTAGAGCAGAACTGGCCTAGATTGGTGTTTTTTATTTCATCGGCTCTTATTAGAACAAACTTATCTTTTTTTTTCTGGATTTAATTTGTATTATTCCATAGGTACTTTTAACCACAAGAGGTACCGACCTCATAGCGAAGCTACTCAAAATGCAGCAATTGGAAGACGACGACGAATTGGCGTATTCGCTCGACGACAGCTCACCGTCCGATCCGGCCGCTCAAATCGACGGGCGTCCGTCGTGGATGAAAACTCTGCACAACAGCGCCGCCACCTGGGTCAATTTGTTGCCCACGTCGTTGCAGACACTTAGAAGAACGGTCGATAACATCAAGGATCCTCTGTACAGATATTTCGAGCGAGAAGTCAATTCCGCGTCTAAATTGCTGACGGACGTTTTGCACGATCTTCACGATGTACTTTTTATCTGTCAAGTGAGTAATTTAACGAATATTCGTTCGTTTATCTTGGATAAATATACAGGGTATTTCAAAATTGACGGCCGTCCTTTCGGATTATTAATCAGGAGACTCGTGTATACTTAACAAATGTAATGGAAAGAAAAAAAATGTTTTGTTCTTGGTTACAGAGTTATTGATAAAAAAACAAAGATATAAAATTCAATCTGTACATTTTAAGACACCCTGTATGCGCTTTCTATTCTAAAGAAGGTGCGATAAACGACGAAATGTTTTTGATTTGTGACCAATTATTTTTAGGGAGAAAAGAAACAAACGAACTACCATCGTACGATGTTGTCTGAATTAGTTAGAGGAATTATTCCGAAGAACTGGCATCGGTACACAATACCCAAAGGTTGTACGGTTATGCAATGGATCACCGACTTTAGTCAGCGCGTTAAGCAATTGCAGAACGTATCGCAAGTGGTCTCGTCTGCGGGTGCTAAAGAATTACAGGTAAATCAATGGATGGCGGAAAATTTAGCGGTGTTAACGTTTTTAAAATCGTTTTTAGAGTTTTCCGGTTTGGTTGGGAGGACTCTTGAACCCGGAAGCTTACATAACGGCTACGAGACAGTGCGTGGCACAAGCTAATAGCTGGCCTCTCGAAGAACTCCACTTAGACGTGACTATTACGGATTCCAATGATAGAAATTCCATTCCTCACGACTGCTTCGCTGTCGTCGGTAAGTTTGGAAAAGCACTCTTCATTAAAACACTGTTTTTCTTATGCATTTTCTTTACTCAGGAATCAAATTGCAAGGAGCCCAATGCAGAAACAATCAACTCCTCCTCACCTCGAGCATCATGATCGAACTTCCCATCACACTCTTCCGTTGGGTGAGAGTAACGGGCGATGAGAAATTAAAGGAAGGGAAATTATCTTTACCGCTTTATTTGAATTCAACTAGAACCGAGCTTCTGTACACTATCGAACTTAATATTGCAGCAGGGCAAGACCCTCACAGCTTCTATGAACGTGGTGTAGCTGTTTTAACTTCTACTTCTTTAAACTAATAGCTATATCGTACTATTTATTCAAGCTTTAAAAGTGTATCGTTCATGTATTTATTGTTTACTATTGGTGATTACTTTATTATAAAATATAAAGCTAGTTATATCTAATTTTTATTAATAAATGCGTTAGGAATATTAATTATAAGTAAGTCTTTACTTTTAAACAATTCGAAATATACAACCTCACGAAAAACAAACAAAATTTTCTCACTACTTTTGTAAAATAATTTTTCTCTACTTTTATGCATAATATTTTCTGCCTACTTTTATGCACAAAATTTTCTCTGTACTTTCATGAAAATTTAATCTCCATTTTAAATGAAGCACTTCGTATATTTTGATATTTTTAGAATTATCAAGAGGAGCTGATTTTAACGATATGTCACACTTACTAGTTATTATCTAGAATAAAAGGATCCACGACAACTTGAAAATTGATTTTTTTCACTTTAGGCGGAATTTATTTTATGAAAGTAAATTTTTAAATACTGGTCGACCATTGTAACTTGTCACTGTTATGAAATGTTTCCCAGAAAATTACTCCATCACGCTTTGTATACAATTTTTTTCTAAATCTTTTATTAAGAACGGTTCGGTATTGAATCTAAATGGAAAAAAATACATTAAATATTTTATTTATATTTTAGTACATCATCAGAGAAATAGGTACATCAGAGTACAACACATTGATACTACAATATGAATTTAAACAATAAAATATTCGAGTGAGTTCTGAAATAATCCTGTGCAAACGACCAGCAGAAATGGGATATGGTTTGGCACAACACTGTATAAGCCGAACGAAAACAACTTTTATCTATCAATCTTCACTTTGAAACGGGATATAATTTCTAAATGAAAACTACTCCATCTTACTACAAATATAACAGAACCTTAAGAATATCGAACAGAATGATTCTAATAGTGAACAATTTTACATAAAATTTTTGTTATAAAGCAAAGCGACAAATAATAAACTACTTTGTAGTAATTAGGTGATAATTTGTATCTCTGATCTGTTGGATTTTTAACAGCCTAGTTCTAACATAGACCTGTGATACATAGATCTAAACATTTACTAATTGTAGCAGGTTATTTATCTTTTTCTCATATTTTCACTACTCTAAGCTCACATTAATAAATATCTAAAACATTACATAATTTTAACAATATATACATTTCTTTGAAATGTATTTGAATGTCGATTTACAGAATCTGGCAGATTTTTTAAAAGTACAAAATAAATAAAATTAACATATTTAAACATATAACAAAAAATAATACTTAACTTCCGTCCACATATTATCACATTCATCCCATCAACTCGCATCGTGTTTAGGAGCTACAATAATTAACAATAAAGTGTAGGAATTAAATTCAGCTATAACTTGTAATGTACTCATCTACTATTTATAACTTAGGCAAGCTTTAGGTATCTGTAAATTTCCTAAACACTCGCAAAATATCTCTTAATCAAAACACTCAATATAAATTTTATACTATATATAAAAACACATGCAACAACTCAATGTTATACCCAGTTAGTATTTTTCCTAAAAGCCACATAGAAAACAAATAAGTAATGAAATAAAAATATTAACTAGTAAGTAACATCATAACAAGTCGAGTTGTTCATTTGACACATTAAAATAATAAATAAATTCTTTGGTAAAATCAACAATATTAAGCTTTATATGTATATGCACAATTCCTAAGTTATGTCACAATGAATTTTCAACCGTTTCACATAAAAATTTGTTCACGTTATCACAACATAACTATAAAACGATTAGTATTATACCTAGAAAGGAAACGATTCTATTTCAATACCATTAAACTACATTACGCTTCAATACCAAATGCAGAATCAATTTTTTTTATCAAGTCCAATCGTCGTTTAGAATGATTTTTCAATTCCTCATATTCATTTTTTCAAATGGGAAATTGACCTCAAATATAGTTTTTTAGTTTCTATACTATATTTCGATATTTCTTTGCATTAAACTAAAATAACATTTACTAATTATACAAAACGATTATTTTAATGACATTTCTAGGTCATTTTCCCATTAGAGCTGTCTCGAATGAGACGCATTCAAAACTGAAATTACTTCAAGAGGCAAAATAAAAAGGTTTATAATCAGGAAAAAAATTCATAAATAACTTGTGTAATTAGAATAAATAAACACACAAGTCATAAAAGAATGTAGGCAACAACAGTTAATACTAGCATAATAAAATTTAGTAAATGACAAAAATGAATATCGAATAGAAATTATTAAAGTGTGAATCAAAAACGTGCAAAATCGGGGTGATGGAACATCTAATAATGACTAGTTTGCAGTTTTGTGGGCAATAAATTTAGTTTGATGGTATTTACCCTAATGTAATATAAATGTAATGCAGCCTAGAGTTTAAAGGTCCTTAAGGCTCAAAGTAACCCGAATCCTAAAACAACGTCTTTATTGCGTAAATTCTGCGATAGAACAAAAATAGTTGTGTAGATCAGTTGTCGTTGATTTAGGATTCCGTTGATTAAATTTGTCAAATTAACAATTTTACTAGAACTGCATTAACTACAATGACATACACACGCGTAATGTCACATTTATGTGTATACGTAGGCCATAATGACTTGACTAGATTAACCGGTGATTTCATATCTATTTGTTTAAAAATTGTTTATATTAGAAATCACAGCAACAGAACAAATGTAGTTAGATCTAAAATGTACGTTTTACCAACCAAAACGTTTTACGTAGCACGCTTCGAAATTCGAACGGAAATGTTTTACAAAAATACTCGCTTTCTTTAATAATAATAATTAACGTACTGAGGTAATACTAATGAAACGTAATTTATGAACCTTAAATGCTTTTAAGTATTTAACGTGCCAACGTTTACAGTTGGTGTAAATAATGTACCGATAAGTTCAATACAGATCACATCTATTTTTTTACAATTAGATTGAATAAGCAATGAAATTAACCGAGAAATCATTTTGTATAACCGTATTTACAGAATATTATCGACTATTAAATTTCACATGTTTTTATTTGGCTTTGGATTTAATCATGACCATATTGAACTTTTATATACAAATAAAATACTGATTTTTACACGTAAAATATTAATAAATTAATGAGCGTTTCAGCGATTCAAAAATATAACTTTTAATTTTACATTTGTGCGAAAATCACAATCTTAAGCTGAGAAAGAAATTTACTAATTCGCTAAAGAATTAAACGGGTCAATTCTACTCGATCATTTATCGACTAATATTTTTATTGCACCGAAGAATAAAATCGCCTTCGAATTGACCAATAAATTAACAACTTTCACATATACAGGACGTCCCTAAGGTAGGTTACGAATAGTACTTTTTTAAACCATTTTACAACTGTTGTAGAAAAATAAAAATATGACAATAAAAATAAACAGATTCGATAGCCTAATTGCACAAAAACTTGCATTAAAATAACTCAAAAAATCTTCCATATAGTTAGTGTGTAATTGCGGGACACCCTGTATACCAGTACTTAAGGCGAGCGTAAATAATTTGAAACGGGTTCTCGTAACTAAATAATTTAAAATTTAGCCTTAAGTTTTGTTCGAGTCGGTTTCCGAAACGAAGTTGTGAAAATACCATGATAATTATAATAATTAAAACCCGGACGATTTTAAAATCTACTCGGCTACGAATCGCGATGGATTGAAATCCCTATTGAGAATCGTGAAACCTCTAAACTCTTCCTGATTTATGGATTGCAACACCTCGTTACTGATGGGCGATAAAATTGGTTCTTCTCTTGTAAATTCGGCGTCGAAGTTCGTCACGTCTTTTCTGCCTTTCTGCAAAACAAAATGGATTGACTTTTAGTAAATTAATTTTACTTTCGATCAAATGAAAGAATAAACAAAGGATCGATAAAGGAATAGTCTGAAATTGTAAGTCTTATATACAAAGTTTTACAATGTTTCAGACCAAACTTGCTTATTTTGATGCCAGGTTTCCGAATCTTCAATAAAAAATAAGGATTTCCATTGAAATTTTTAAAGCTAGTAGCTATTTAATATTGATATCAATGGATAGCCCTTGAAAAATTATTGGATACGTGTTTTTTCAATTTTTCATTCGGACCTTAATTTGCCAGAAAATCGACCGTTTCCATACTTTTTGTAACCTCTTAGTTTTCGTTAAAATTTAAGAAAAAAATATCTTTTCTAACATAATTTTCTTATCACACCAGATAGTTTTATGAAATTTTGTACACACTTTAGAATTATTAAGGAGCACATTTTGAGGCGAAAGATTCTTTAAATTTTTTACCAGTGACGTCCGTAAGGGGTTTGAACTGAATATGTCTGAAGAAAAAATTGTGCGCCACTGATTTTTCTAAAAACCAAATTTATTTTTAAAATCCTCATTTACTTTGTAGCAAATTCGGTCCAAAGACTTACTTTCGTACGAAGCACCATTTTCGCGTAAAAAACTAAAAACAAAAACAATTTTGTCCATGGAAACTATAATGCAGCATGGAAACTATTTTTTGGGGGATCAAAATTAATTTTCAACTATTACCAGCGACGTCCACGTCCCGAATTTCATAAAAATAACCGGAGTAATAAGAAAATTATGATAGAAAAGTTATTCTTTTTCTAAAACTATCACCCTGTAGCTCGAAAACTAAGAGGTTTAGGACATATATTGATATAAACTTTTCTTCTTAAAATCAACCAAATATTCACATCCTGAAATATCGGCACTCAATGTACCACCATTAATGCACCATGTGAAAAAGCCCTTAGGTACCATTAGATTTAAAAAAATATATCTTACTATTCTCGGTCTAAAAGGCGGCTTGACTCTCCTCTGTTCTAACGCCGTCCAGTCGATTTCCTTGAAGAACGCATGCGCCTGAATGGCCGCCTCGCCGCCGTGCGCCACCACGCACCCCAATCGCCGGCTCGGATTCTTCGTCATGAAACCCTTCAATATGCTAACGGCCTCCTTGCTCAGCCACACCGGATACAGCACGTCGTCGTGCAAAATCGATTCGAACAAATCGTCCTCGTTATCGGCCTCGAACGGCGGCTGGCCGGCCATCATTTCGTACATCAGCACCCCTAACGCCCACCAGTCCACGCTCGCTCCGTATTCCAGTTCCTTAAAATCAAAAAAAATATCGTTTAATAAAAAAACTGTTAATTGATACGGTTAACAAACGATTTTTAATTACTATCTACAGTTGGTGCAAAACCAATATCGATGTACGCCACAAGTAGCCAGTGTTGCCGAACTTTTATGGAGTTTACAAAATCTATGAAATTTCTAAAATTGTCAAAAGGCAAAATTGCAAGAACAAATTGAAAATTAGGGGTACCGTTTTACGTTTCTAAACGGTGGGAAGTGTTCAGGGGCTCACTATAATTAATCATTACCCTAGAATACATAGTGAAATTTTTAAAATATTTAACAGTGCGAGTTAAAAATTTAGTGTACAATTGACCCTTAACCGAGTACATAGTGAAATTTCTGAGAAAACTTCTGAATCTGAATTATTTAGAGCTCAAACTGTGTCATTTCTAACACGTGGAAAAGATAACTACGCAAAAAAATCTTATTTCTTGATTATTCGACCGAATTGCGTAAACTAAATTAAAAGTACCGATCGGATGACAACGGCAACTATGCAACTTGACAGTCAGTGCCTTTTTAACTTTATCTATCATCCCTTGTTAACATTAAATTAAATTCTGCAGGTATTAAGCCTTATCTATTTTGTGTATTTATTTCTAAAAGTTGGACACAATGCTTGGCAAGTATAACGACAGTACATTTGCATTGATATTTGTTTTGCACCAACTGTATTCTTAATATGATAGCTAAAGCTGCTAGATAAGCAAATAACGTTGTAGAGCAGTGATAAAATGTACCTGCAATATTTCGGGAGCGATATAATCGGGCGTGCCGCAAAAGGTCGAAGTCGTCACACCGTCGACGATGCCTTCTTTGCACATACCGAAATCGGCCAATTTGCAATGCCCCTCGGCGTCCAACAGGATATTATCCAATTTGAGATCCCTGTAGATGACGCCGTGCTTGTGCAAAAACTGCAACGCCAACGTCACCTCGGCGGCGTAGAAGCGCGCGCGCGGCTCGTCGAATTTTTTGGCACGTTGTATCTGAAACATCAAATCGCCGCCGTTGACGTACTCCATGACGAAGAACAGGCGCTCGTTGGTCTGGAAACACGAGTGCAACGCCGTGAGGAAGGGATGGTTGGCGGCCAGCGCCAAGATCCGTTTCTCCGTCATCGTGCAATCGACGTCGTCGTCTTGGATTATGACGTCCTTTTTCAATACTTTCACGGCGTACACTTCGTCGGTGTTCTTCTTCTCGGCCAGCATCACCTTGCCGAAGCTCCCTTTGCCCAGCACCTTCACGAACAGGAAATCGTTCAGACCGATGGTTTTCTTGGTGGCGCCACCTTCGTCTGTTAAATAACGATTTTATAAATACCTAAGAGATATTTGCTGAGAAACTGTCCTGAATAAGAATGAATAGCAAGGGGATCTTTTGAACTACTCGTATAAGAGATAGAGCAACGTTTAAAGTAGGTAGAACCGACGCAATCGGGAAGGCGTTAAACTATCTGGTGCAAACATATTTTGAATATCTAATTTGTTTTTGAGAGATTTAAAAAAAATGAATGCAAAATTGTGCGTTTTTCAAATTTGCATTTTTGTTCACCTCAAGTAATGCAGCCACTATTTACTAGGTGGCAATAAATAAATAAATTAAGGACAGAAAATTTCATTAAAATTCATTAAAAGAAACGTTTGAGAAGAGAAAATATAATGACCCGTATTCAGCGCACCTTTGTAACGCTTTAATCTAAGTTTCACAAAAAATAAACCTATTTACTGAAGAAATAGCTATGCATATTCCAAATAAAAGTTGTATGTTCTTATTCAGGGCGATTGTAATTTTTCTCGAGAGGGAGAATAACTGAAGCGTATGTGCTCGTGTTTTCAAAATTTTCTGGCCATTTTAAGAATTATTTAGTACTGTTCAAAACCACCTAGAACTGTCCAAAATCATTTAGAGCCAATTTGAAATTGACTAAGACCATTTGAAACACCTCAGAAAATCTTAAAACAATTTAGAGCTGTCCAAAATCATTAAACAACAAGCTCCAATAATCACTAGGTATTGTATTCAATGAGTGTCCATACTTATTCCATAACAACAATGTATAACTATCAAGTTAAAGAGACTCTTTAAAGGATTGATTAATTATCGTTAAATAGGAGCGCTAAATACGAGTCAATGCCATCTTCAAGCCTATTAAAAGTGACAATGACCAAATGGTAAAATGTTTTCACTACCAAACACGTACCATTATTAGTTAATTTTTCTTCCATGGTCTTTGATAAATCTTCACCGGTCGGATCGCTTCCGGATGTATTTTCGGCGTCCTGTTGACCGCCGTTGCCGCCAGATATTGTTAGGGTTTTTCGTTTGGGCGTTTTATCCGGTGAAACGCCTAAAAATTCCTTATTATTAACCAAAATCCTCGTTGCGATCGATCGAAAACTTACCGATTTGTGTGAGGATCTCAGCCATTTGCTTTGGATTGATACCGCAATTATTGGCGACATTTTTTTGACAACGTTTGTGCACATTTATACAACAGGCCTCGCATTGGAGCCCTTGCCTAATCAGTCCGTATAACAGCGATCCACAATGATCACAGAATGTAAACCGTTTGTAGTTGTGTACTACAAATCGATGTGGTACGTTTACGTTGAAACCCGTACTCTGGTGTTGATTAGACTGGAAACCACAACACTATATGAGTTTTACTTGCATTATAATGTGTTATGTTCAGCACAAAATAGTGGGGTTTTGATGGACGCAATTATACAGGGTGTTCCTAAAGATCGTGCACATCCAAAAGGGAGTAATTCTTTGGTTTATTTCATAACTTAAAGTTCATATAAACATAGGAAAAAAAATCTTGAAATTCCAACACCCTGCAGATCGGTAACGAAGCATTTGCATATGGCTATGTTTATATGAACTTTTAGTCATGAAATAAACCAAAGAACTATCCCTTTTTGGATGTGCACGATGTTTAGGAACACCCTGTACACATGTTTAAACCACCCTGTAGGATTCGATATTAAAAAATAACATTACCTCATCTTGCATTCCGGGACATTTCGTAACGACTGCATGATGACATCGTTTGTGAACGACACAGGTGCAAACTGTAAAATAAGTTAAAATCGCTAGAAATTCCTTAAAATATCCGGAAACCATCACCTAATTATTAGTCTTATTTACAGTAAAAATAATAATAACGGAAAAAAGGAGCTTTCACTGTCCACGTTGTCCTCCAGAATTGCAAATAAAAATTATATTCGACGAAAACAGTAAAAGTTGGTACAGATTAAAAATGCGAATTATAATTAAAAAAAAAGTAGCGTAAAAAAGTGAGTAAATAAACTTACAACAAAATTAAAAGCTTTAAGAAGAGCCATGCCATTGGTGCTGCAAATCAAAAAAAATAAAATAATAAATACTTAATTATAATTAGGAGCATTAGTTTAATTATGTGTAGCCCGCATGCAATTTCCAAATACCAAATGAAAACTCGAGAATCCATCACACACAAAAACTATTGGAAAAATAAAAAAGATAAATAAAGAGTAAAATAAACAAAAATTACAATTGTGAATTTGCAACCAAATGAACTTTAATGTATAAAAATACGACTCTGATTTGAAATTTTTCGAGAGATTGGCAACGCTGCAATTTTCTAGTTGATAAAATTGAATGTAGCTACAAAATTTATATCAAATTTTCAAATGAACAAATAGTCAATTTTACCCGAGTCCAATCAAGAATCAATTACCTTCCTATGCGTCATTTATTCCAACTAAAAGAGTAATATGTGTACCCAAAAATGTTAATAATCTCCTCAAGAGCTGTGATCAATAGTGTCCATCAAAAAGAGCCATTTATATACATAAAAAAGCTACTTACCCCACTATAATTCAAAATTGAGTTGTATAAAGATTTAAATAAAACTTTTAAAATAAAATTGAAAACAAAAATTAGCATTGCCAATAAATATAACTTATAGCAAACTTCTCAAGAGAAGAACCAATTTCATAGTCATTCAGTATAATACTTCGAACTACTTCTCTTTGATTGAACACACAAGATTGAAACAATATGGTATCGAATTTTGAATGTTTATAAAAACTACACTCTGGTTGGGTATTCGAATCATTTGGTTATTTATGATGGTACCCTTATGGCCATCACCATCAGTTCTCTTCCTGGTTAAATTACACATTACCATTAGTATTCATTGGTCGCAAAACCCACAATATGTTGAGTGATTTCCAAAAAATATAAATAAATAATAGGTATATAATACAATAAACATAATCAGAAAGCAAAGCGTCAGCTAAAAATGTACAGTGATACATTGAACATGCCTCGATGTAAATCATACCTTGACATTGATAGCCTTGCTTGCCCAAACCCCTGAAAATAAAACCACCATTATCTAAGTTAGTGCAACCCTGAGTGCGAGTATCACAAATAAGTAACATTTATGTACGGTTGCACAAACGCTCATCAAAATCGATGGTTCGTTCATCATCTGCGTTATCTAAGATGCATATAGGTTGATGAATGGTTCTTCAATTTTGAAGAACACGTTTGTGCAACCACGCGAATCATCTAAATTTAAATGAATCGCATAGAACAAATTTGGAATGCCTAGATGAATAATTAATGAGCGTATTTAACGGATTGTATAACGTAATGTTCGATTAATTTCAACAAACAATCAATCAAGCAAAGCAACTGGTTGCACACATTGTAATGTAACCGTAAGCTTCTTTAGTGTAATTAATCAATCAAAGAAATGCTTATATTTAATAAATCAATTTACTACAGTAACTATTTGTTACTAAACAATAAACCAAAATTTCCTATTTGATATGGCTCGCTAAATTAAATGCAAAAATAACGTTATTTTTAAATCGGATAAAATCTCCTCTATTTATTTACTTTTCGTCACATAATAAAATGAATCGTCACCTATATAGTGTGACCTTAATTCAATATGCAGGAAGCATACATTCGCCCAATTTAAATCATTTTCGACTAAAAATATTTTTCAGCTATAAACCGAAAATATTAGAAACAAAGTACCAATAAAATATTATATTAGAATCGCGAATAGTAAAAAAAAGAATCGAATTTATACAATAATACCGAAAAGTAATTTTGGATTATCTCCAGATCCTAATGCGAAAATATTATCACAAAATATAATTTAAATAATTACAAAATATAAAGTAAACTGCTCATTTTAAATCTACTGGGTGAATTAGTTCTATTTTTAAGACCGTTGGAAATTTATACATCATTTTATTTGCATTCCGTTTTAAAATAAAAAAGATAGTTATAAACGCAACTATTACACTACAAAACAAAATATTATATTAGAAACATCAGTTAGGTATAGTAGTTTACAAAAAAATACAGTATATTAAACCACAACTTCTACATTAGAAGTAGTAAATTTTTCACACCATCTTCAAATGATATTAAAACCAATTTCGAAGCAAAAGCAATAAATGATATCAAACTATTTGGAACAAGAATTTAAAGAGTACAAAACAGTAATTATAAAAATTGATAATTTAGGGTAATACTGAGGAAACCACGTATAATATAGTATTTTTGTGAATATTATTTATTTGATAAATTAATTAGAAGAGGTAATTTCTAATTTCCATAAGATTCACTCAGAAAATTATTCTCTAATCGCAGATAAACAGTACAATGTTGCACGGAATTCCTGCGTAAAAAAACAAACTTACCAAATAAAATCCCGACAATGTGAACAAAATGTTGGTTGTCGTAAGAAAGTAGCCATAAATTTGTGGCCGTTAACTTGATGAACTCTCCTTCGCATCGCCCCTCGTCTTCTATTAAATCCTTGGCGTTCTTTGAATTCCCTAGGTTTGCCCCCATAGTCTAGAAAATCGCGTTATGATTTGTTTTTATTAATTTATACAGAGTAATGTGTAAAATAAAAATTATACAGGGTGTCCCGCATAAGAACCGACTCGGAGCAGGGTATAGGGAAGCATAAAATATGTTGTTTAACTCAACTTTAACTTAATACAAAGTTACATTCCTGAGAAGTTATAGGCCTTCAAAGTGGAGTTAGAAATTAAAAAATATTATCTCAGTAATACTCAAACTTGAAACAACTAAATTTGGTAAATTAAGTTGGGTTAAACAACATATTTTGGCCCCCCCACACGCCTTTCTCTGTGTTGGTATTTATGTGGGACACCCTGTATAGTAAAGTTATCCACTTACCGTTCGATGTCATTCTTAGATCTATTCTAATGTGCAGTCGTCCTTTGGGTTCTAGATCAACCTGCAATAAAACATATTGTTCATAATATAATCATGTTATTGGCTTATCGAAGTTTATTGGAATTAACGTAGTTTTAGAAATAATAGAGCTTGAAATTCCAAAACCAATTAGTAAATTGGTTTAGGGCGTTTTCACACGGTGCAATATATTGCAATATATTACTGGAATATTTATTGCAATTTATTTCTGCAATATATTGCACCGTGGGAAAACCTTCTTAGTCTAAAGCAAATAATGATTATTTATAGAAAAATAATTTAAAATATTTTTTTCCATTATGTTTATTAATGAGATAGTATTTGAATGTTTATGAAGAATCCCAAAAATTACGAATTTAAAATGAGCGCATCGATTGAATTTAACTAATTTGTTTTAAACCCTTTTGATAGAATTTTTTAATTATCCCACTGCATAGATGGTGAAAATAAATTACCTATTTTCTAGTAATGTGTATTTTTTAAACGAGCATCCAGTAAATTTTTGTATCATAAGAAATCCGAGTCCTACTGCATTTCAAAAACGTAAACATGTGTGACCTAATTTTTGCAAATAAAGATGTGAATTTTTGGTATTAATAAAATATAACGTGTATACCCAGGAGAACTGTGTTGATGTGGCTTTTTTACAGTGATTTGAAGTAGGTTAATGAGAATTGTAATTCTGGGAGAAACCCTCACATTTTGTGGTGTGGATAAAACTTGACCAAATATTGCACATACAGGAAATATGAATAATATCATAATCAGATTAAACAGATAAAAGTATAATATGTAAAACTAAATGCTTAAATAAATAATAAATGTACCATGTTTAAAAAAATTAAACATTAGCTAATGGCTAATAAATGGGAAACAAAATGAATTAAAAATGAGCCATAAAAATACTTAAAATGGTTTAAAACTTTATGAAAAAAAAGCATTTAAAATTACTACATATTTATCTACTCATACTATAATCCATCAATTTAATCAAGACTCCCTAAAAATTAATATTTCTAAAAACATATCAACGTCCTTGCTGTTGAATAGGATTCCTAAATAGTTTAAGCCAATTTCAAATTTGATTAAAGACATGCACAGTCCTTATCTTCCCGTTTTAATCAAACAATATACCAAGAGAAAAATCATTAAAACTTGATACAATCCAAAAAAAAGTTATAAACTGCATAAATGGCAATAACAAGACATTTTACTACAAATCGCGATATACAAGAGCGTTAAAAAGCAATCGCATCGCTCTGAAAATAATTTCGTAGGTGCGTGTGTTTACTGTTTACAAATCGAACAAGTACCGTGCGTAATATAGCGAATAATAAATGGGTAGTTAAAGGAAAGGAAAAGTCGAAAGAAACATACCCAAAAATCGGACTCGTCCTTTTCCCTAGTCAACAGATCCTCGAATGGAATGCAGACGTTCGCGACGAAGACGTCAGGAGGAATAGCAGCGTCATGGAACACCGTCAGGGTCAGCGCCTTGGCGTCTTTCACCTGGTGCTCGAAGTATTCGTTCCAAACGGGATCGAACGTCTTCTGCTTGCTGGTGGATTGGGCCACATGGGTGTCGTCCACGTCGATTGTTACGTACGGATCCAGGAGCTGTTCGTCGGGCTTCCCGAACGTGTAGCGCATGGAGCAGTCCGTCGGTCTTAGGCGCTTGGCCTCGCATAATTTTATACGAACGGTCCCCGTAAACATGGCACCCGACGCACTCGTTTGAATAGCCCACGTTCGCGGAACGATCTGATCCACGCCACAATCGAACTGTTTTTCACTTCGAAACCTACATAAGGACGTTGCGAATTAATAGAAAACGAGCGATGGAAATACAATGCAAAGTGAATGACAACTGGCGAAAATCGGATGATCTCGATTTTCTCTTGCACCTCTTCGGGGACCACGAATTCTAAGGCGGCGTAAAGCACCGCCTTTTGACCGGGTTATCAGTTCGTTCGCGAAAACTACGCGGAAAATTCGTTTTCTGTTACTAACTCGAGGTTTCCCGGACCATTTCCTCGAATCCTCACTGTAAAATTATGGATTTCCCATTTGTATTTGTTTTGCATTTTTCTCATAGATGGGTCTTAGAACTTGGAAGTCAAGTCAATTGTCAACATGTCAACGCAAAACGTAGAGTTTTAATGGTCTAGTATTAATAGAACAAACAGCCCAAATTACAAACGCCCGTAGCTGTACAAACTATTTATAATAGGCATTTCATGAGAATAAAAATTAAACTTTGGTTATTTTATTTTCACCAGAAAATCGAAAAAGATTATACTAATTTTAGAGCTTCCTTACCAACTCAAATACCTTAACATCGTTAAAAAATACTAATTAAACGATTGTTTTTCAAATTTGATTCTAATTAGAAACACATTTTTAATACATTTATAGAATTATCGTTTATCAAAGAAGGGATTAAATAGAATAAACTGCAATTTTTGATTTTATTATTAAATTACTGTACACTATTATTAAAGGTGACTTTATACTCTATACTAAAATATAAAAAAAATTAACATATTTTACTTATTCTAAAACTCAGTCCTCGAAGTTGTTTTAAAATTTACAATTGTTTTAAAAGTCTTGTAAGTAACTTTACACCTAATATAGGCAAATGTGCGAAAAATTTCTTCCTAGTAATAAAATCAAAAGAGGAAAAAGTACATAATGGAAAACATAAAACACTTGTACTAGCCGGAACCGTTGGAAGAATTCAATTTAGCCATGGGTAATTTTGATTGATTATGTATTCTTTTATTATATACCCTGTTTTCCACTTTGGTATAATATAATTTAGTTTCTAGAGAGAACATTATCTTCAACTATTCTCGCGTGGAAGTTTACTAATACATTCAAATACGCCTCCTTTTACCTGTAACAGGCGTAACAGTTATAGGACTAGATTTGCCACTTGAACCCGAATCATCGTTATTCGATTTTAAGCTTCCTCTAGTTGGCCTTTTGGCTGGCTTAGGAGTTTCTTCAAATTTGTTCTTCCCTCCTTTATCGTTCGATATGGAATTTCTACCCTTACCAACCGGTTTTTTCTCGGATTCCTTTTTAATTTCTTTCTTAGCCGCGGATCCTTTGGTATTGTCCTTTCCCTCCTTGCTGTCTCTTCTTTCTTTATTGTTTTTAATTGGCGTTTTTTCATCTTTTTTGGTTTCTTTCACGATTTTGGGCGTATCAGCGGAACCTTTGGCCTGTTGTTTCTTCTCTTCGTCCTTTTTGACTATCAAATTTCCGAATTCTGATTCTGGTAGTTTGAATTCCATTTCGTTATTCGGAAAAGGAATAGATTCGCATTCGTCTAACGCTTCGAGATTGTACATAGTTTCTAAATGGGTCCAGATTCTCTCCGAATCAACGTCCTTGTGAACGTTATCCATGAACTTATCACAAATAAAAGCCATTTGAAAATATTTGTTTACTCCTGAAATCGTTAATTGTTAATAAACAAACTCGACAAAATGAGGTTTTATAACCAAATTTACTGACCTACAGGCTTGTGTCCAACCATTGCGTCCAATAATTGCCCTTCATACACAACGTTCCACTCGAATTCTTCCATTTGGGAAAGGATATTTAAAGTTTTCTTCATTAATTAACAAAAATTTTGATTGAAAATACAAGCAAAAACACCTCCCTGTTAAAAGTTTTGATTTTTGACGTTTGACATTTTGGCATTTGAGAGACAAGAAGCCTTTGATATTATAGTTTTTCGGCAACTATCTGCTGCCAACATTACAATTTATTGAACTGTGGCTATCTCTTTGGTGCGTTGAAAAGTTAGAAAAACACGCTAAACTAATAACAAAAATGTTAATTGTTATTATAAAACAAAAACTTGAACAAAAATTGCATGATCAACCAGAGTGAAGTTAGCAATGTTATTTCTCAGTGTCAACGTCAACGTCATGTCAACATTTGTTATTTTTTCAATAACCTCAATAATCGTACTAATAATTTGAACAGTTTTTAATTTATTTCGAATTTAAGTAAATAATTTTTCGTTACTATCTTAAACATGGACGATTTCATTTGCCCGCGATGTAGAACATCGAAGTTCCAAAACCCCTCAATGAAGATGATGGTGAATGTTTGCGGTCACGGTTTGTGCGAGAGTTGCGTTGATTTGCTGTTTCTAAAAGGCTCTGGTTCATGCCCGGAATGCAGAATACCTCTGAGAAGAAACAATTTCAGAGTTCAGTTGTTCGAAGACTCTGCTGTCGAGAAGGAAGTGGATATACGCAAAAGAGTGTTGAGAGACTACAATAAGAGAGAAGAGGATTTTGCGACACTACAAGAGTACAATGATTATTTAGAAGAAGTAGAAACTATTATATTCAATTTAACTAATGATATTGATATAGTGAATACTAATAAACGTATTGAACAGTACAAACGTGATAACAAAGAACAGATATTAAAAAGCAAAGGTCGATTAGGTAGGGAAGAGTACGAAATGGAAGAAATGTTGGAATTCGAAAAGCAAAGAGAAGAAGAACGGAAGAAGGTAATTCAATTAGAGGAAGTCGAAATAAAGAAAAAGAAAATCCGAGAAAAAGAGGCGCTAATCGACGAATTAATGTTTTCCAATGCCGATGCCAAAAACATTCTAGACACGTTCGCCCAGCAAGCTCAACAAGAAAAGAAAGAAGAAGAAGAAGAGGAAGTTAGAAAAATCCCCGGAAAGGCTACTCAATTCTCCACCGGTATACAATTTGGCCGCCAAAGTCATTCCACCTTCTTACCCGTACCTACAGACGAAGGCCCCATATATGTTTATAAACCATTGGAATTCGACTCGGATGGACCGAAACCACCTAATGATATTGATATTGTAGAGAAGCATTTCTTGAATCACGTCCGATCGGAAACTGATACAGAAAGAGCTGGAGGTTACAAAGCTAATATAGCTTGCTTAAGAGCGTTACAGGACGCTATGATGGGATTGTTCCATTCCAAGAAATCGATTAAGTCATAAATTGTTTCATGTTATCGTTTTAATTTTGTAAAAAATAGAATAAATTGGTTTTCATTCATTACTAAAAAGGTATAGTTTATGTATTTTCTGATACTCTCCTACATTTTATTTACCTAGTATCAGGTACTTTTAGCATGAATGCTTTTTCTGGTGCATAAATATTGCATCAATTAGAAATAAAAATAACATTTAATGTTAAAACATTTATTAAATGGTAAGTAACATTCACTGGAACTTTCCCTTTTTTTGAATATTATAAATCTTAAGATTTATGGAATATAGCACCCTCAGATTTATCTGATTATTGTACTGATTTACAGTTGTAACTGGAGATAATGGCCTTTACGTGGTTTTACATCAACACACAGGTACAGGTTCCAAGTTTACCTTATTAGGGAATTAGATAACGACAATAAAATAACTATAATTAAAGCTGAGGATTTTAAAAGATCCGAAACTAGAACAGATATTACTAATGTCTTAACTGAATACAAAATTAAAAAATATATATGTATAACATTCCTTAAAATCACAAAAGTAGCTGTTATAAATGGATTTTTTTATTAATGTTAAAGCAAAAACGTAACACATAAAACGTTTTTTAGTTAACAACTTTTGGACCCAATAACTTTTCAACTCTTTTATTTTTATATGTTTTTTTTTATTTTAAGATATGTTCAAATCAAGATCCTCTTTACTCAAATGTTGGGAAATTAAAATGTTCAAAAATTAGCTTTTGTTGTCTCACAAATGAAAAAAAATAGTAAATTTTAATAGTTTCTAATAAAGTGAAAAACTACAACAATAATTTAAAAACCCAATCAATGAGTATCTACCGAATCTTTATATGATATAAAATTAATAGAGTTATAGAATTGTTGGGAGGTTATTCAATTTTTAACAAGATTATAACCGATTATTACAAAATAAGAATATATTTTATACTTGAAAAAATAACTTCTTTCTCCTTACTTTACAATAAACGTCGTAAAAAACCAACTTGGCATGTTAGAAATACAATAAAGACGTAGCGTTTCTCATTTCCAAATATTTTTCAAAAGATAAAGCCGCCTTTTAGCTGTTTTGATATGAATTTTTACAAAAGTGTAGATTGAATTACATCATTATTACATTAAGCGCTACAGTTTTATTCACAACAATTAACATACAAGGTTAATAAGCCATTCAGCAGCTCCTAATATGTATGTATAGTAGTATAATTCGTTTCGGGATGTAATAAAATATTCTGTATAATAATTAAGAGCCACTAAATATACCGTGTAAGAGAACACATGATTATATAAAAATTAATAATTGACTCCTTTCAATTTGGACAAAACGAATTTTATGAAATATAAATTATTTATTATCTAATCAAAAAATGGCAGTGATAAAAAAAATCTTAATGTATGAAAATCGCATTCAAATGAAAACTGTAGTACCCTTTATAGGGCAATAATGTTTACTAGCAATTAAACATGAAAACCAGTTTTCATTTAAATAGTGGAAAATAAAAAACTTACAACTTCATATTTAATTAAATCCAATGATCTCGATTTTGATATTTAGGCGAAATTTAGTATTTTTAACAATGTTCTCACAATAGTGAAGTATTGTCTTGAGCTTCCTTTCCTTATCAAACTCATAATGCCAGAATAGTACGTGTTAAAAAATTACTAAACCCCAATTTTGCTAAAAAATCGTTTGCCTATCACGTGCCGAAAATTACTATATTCTAAACTTAGATCAAAGTACAGGGTGTCCCAATGAAAAGTAGCCCCGGTTTTCGGTGAATTTAAAAGAGAAAATTTTGATAAAACACCCTTTATTGATAATGCATAATTTCCGTATCACTGTTGCAAAACTTATAATGAAATAAAACATATTTGAGGAAACCGCATGTTTTTATGATTAGGCGTTTAAAAATTATAAGCTCATTAAAGGGGCTACATTTCATTGGGACACCCTGTATTAAACAGTAAAGTAACATTCAGTGGACAGCGATACTCAAAGTCACAATTTGAAGCGTATTTCGATTGATCAAGTGATGCGTTTCGTTACAAAATAGTTTTATATTTCGTAGAATTGAAATAGTCTAGTCTAAAAAAATATAATTTATATAAAAATAAAATTGATGTTCTTTACAAATTCATATGTTTCATATACTTTGTTTATGTACAATAAAATTTCAAATGAAACGGTTTTATACAGTGTGAGTTAACGAAGAAATAACTAATTATGCTAGTTAATTTCTACAATCAATATTTTTGTGCGTAGCAAAGATTAGGTCTAATAAAATGAATGAATTTTGATTAATTACATATTTTCATTTTAATAATATTATGTGTTATGTTGTTGTTTAATAGAGCTTGAAAATGAATAAAAAATTACTCATGCTACTGCAAACAATTTTCTGTGAATAATTGCGAATAAAAATTACACAAAGGAAGTATTTACAACTAAAACCTTGACAAAGAGCGAGCAAATAATTGCATTTAATATATTTACGCTCTTAAATTACTTAAAAATGAGCATAATTTAAAACGTAATGAAATGGATTAAAAACTATTTAAAAGCCTACTAAATTAAATGGCACTTTCAGGAAACATTGTCGCTCTTAGTAATTCGAAAAAAATACTCATTAAAAACAATTTTCCCTTTGAGGAATACATAAATTCAAATTTGGATTATTTAGTTAATAATCCATCCATTTTCTATAAATACTCGTTACTGATAACAAGTATCAAAAATGATTTCCAACGATTATAAAGCTATAAATTTCAATAACTCTAGAGCGTTTTCACACGGTGTAATTTATTGCAATATTGCATTGCATTTTTATACAAGCGTTAATCAAAATTATCCCTGCAATGCAAATATTGCAGCATTAAATTGCGATGCGTATATCGTACATGTGAAAACGTTTTTACTCATAAAAAAACGTAACTTGCAATAAATTTTGATATACAGGGTGTTAATTAATTGAGTGCCGATACTTCAGAATACTGTAACACCATGTAGTTCGAAAACTAAGAGGTTTAGGACATTTATACTGATATAAATTTTTCTTCTTAATATCATCCAAATATTCACATCCTGAAGTATCAGCACTTAATTAATTAACACCCTGTATTAACCAACTATATTTCCAAATATGTAAACCGAAAAGTCCGTTAAGAACCACAAAAAAATTATGAAAAACCCGTTTAAAGGACACAACATTTCTTTTTATTTCTTTTGATGTAATTGGGCTTCAAAGGTGGCCGTTCGGAAAGTTGAAATTTTCGAACGACGCGGACCAATTCGTAGAAAGCGTTGTCGACATTCATCCTCATCTTGGCGCTACATTCAATGTAGGGAATTTTCAGCTGCCTGGCCAGTTGCTGGGCCTCCTCTTGCCAAACGGCCCTCTGATGCTCCAGATCAACCTATAACACACGAACGCATCCTTGAATATTTTCACGCACGACAGGAATAGATTTGTAAACATACAAATTATTACGAAATACTCATAAATCTAGCAAGAACTGGTTCATATAATAGCTATATGATTTACATTATTAACATTGTTCTAGTGGAATTCAGTCGTGTGTATAATATCCATTTTATGATGTTCGTTTAGTTAGTAGTATTTTAATTAAAAAAGTCCAAAAGACATTTCAATTAAACTAGATAGGATTTTTAAGAAGATGCATATTAATTTGGCAATGACAATTAACGAATTTAGCATACTTAACATAATATACAGGGTGTCCCTTAATGAACTTAATGAACGTGAACTTAATACGAAATTACAATCCTGAGAAGTTATAGGCCTTCAAAGTGGAGTTACAAATTAAAAAAAATAATAAGTTATGAGTGTACTAAGAGCATTTATTAATAGTAAGGAGAAATCAATTAATATATAATATATAAGGGCTCATCAGGGATGATGCTCCCATAAAATGTTACCTGATGGACGATTTAAAAAATTATTAGTTCATTTCATGATTTATTTTTGTTTAGTTTGAGATGAATAAAGCGATTACGCGATTAAAGGAAGTTTCCTAAATAGACACTTACCTTGTTTCCTACCATTAACATAGGAAATTCATCCCGATCTTTGACTCTCAATATTTGTCTATGGAATTTGTAAATTTCTTCAAAACTAGATTTTTCTGTAACCGAAAATACTAATAGAAATCCTTCTCCAGACCGCATATATTGTTCTCGCATTGCACTAAATTCCTCTTGTCCTGCAGTGTCTAAAACTGAAGAAACATATTCCTACTATTAATAATCTAATCAAAATATTAAATTTATCATGTTAAATATATTTGTATTCGTGTTATCCAATTGTATTTTTTTATCTACTATAAACAATAATAAATTATTAATGAAGAATTTTATCAACTTACTGTCTAATTTTGCAGGTATATCGTCTATAACACATTGCTTTGTATAGGAATCTTCTATCGTAGGATCGTAATCAGTTACAAAATAACTCTGAAATGAAAAATTTATGTTACCGTGTAGGTATTCCACAAGGTTATGAACTAAATTTATCTGTTTGAACCAAATGGTCAATGTATATCCAATATGAACTGATTTTTGCTATTATTCCAAAGTGTTTTGCTCAAAGATATATCGGGATTAAACAAACGAATACCTGGATAAATTGTAAAGTTATGGCAGACTTTCCAACACCACCACCTCCGACAATCACTAATTTATACGTTTGATGATTCGGCGCTCGGTCTCTATCATTAATTTTCGACATGATTTACCAAAAATTAATCGTTTTTATTTACTATTACTAGCGAAATGTGCAACAAGAAAAATAAGTAGATCTAGTTACACCTACTAATGAAGAATGAAGTTAGCCATGATTTAGCCATAAACAATGTCACTTGTCAGTGCTACCAATTGACGTAACTAAAAGTGCAAACATCACTAACGTCACATTTTGGAAAAACACTTTTTTTTCAAAATAATAACAATTCATTATGAAATTTACCTTTAGTTATGGAGGATAAAAGAATGTGTTTTCCGAAAACAAGTTTGTATTGTCATATTACATAATTAAAAAAAAAGAAGAAGATTATGTAACTTGACAGCTGATTTTAAAGACGCGGCAACGTCGTAAATTCGTAACTCCGTTTATTCACAGTTTGTTTTTGTAATATTTATTTAAATATTTATATAATGACGAATATGAATATTAAAACCAGTTTTGATATGGCGATTTGAATGATTTTCGCAACTACCAAAGCAAACTGGTATAAAAATCGAATGGAACTCATCGAACGCGCATTGCGCAAGTTCGAACCGAGATCCGAGCAAGCGGTTACCGAATCACCGCTTTCGTGCTTTTTCATTCAAAGGGACGCACACAAAAAAGAGATGGTTGTCATGTGTCAGTATACCGTGAGAGGCGACGTTGGTTCGAGCCAGTCCGAGTTGTAGTAAACACTACAAAACTAGACTATATTTTAACAAAACAACAAACACGGCGTGTGTTTTGTGCAAGTGTTTCGGCCCCCCTGGGGTCCTACATGGATATGGCCAAATATTACCTTAGCACGGACCACCAATTGTAAGTACCCGTTTCTGTAAATTTTCTATATCTTGTTCATTGTTTAATATTTACGAGTCCACAGGCACAGATCAAAACATGAAACTAGCTCGGGTACTTATACAATTGTCTCCTGTTACTTAATATTTACGGAAAAATCGTAATTTTCTAAGCGGTATTACAGCTTTTAAATAAATAAACAATGAATTAAGTAGTTTTTAACCTGAAGAATTGTTCTAACGTTCAATTCTTTAATACTTATAGCCTTTATTTGCGTAGAAGTAATACTAATCTTAATAATAATACGAAATTAATTCTATACATTCCAGCTAGTTTAATTATGCGTTGTATAATGTTACACTAGCATGTACTTAACCGCTTACGCATTAATTTAATTATTAACTAATGTTAGTATTTTATTTATCATGGGTACTTTGTTAATTGTAATTTCATTTATACATTTAAACTATCACTACAAACCGAAGGTACCTACTCTTATATTTTTTGGTTTGGTGCATCTGGGTAGTTCCCGCCTATTGCAGAAATCGATCTTTATTTTAATTAGGAGCCCTGTAAAAAGTAATGCTTGCAAATAATACTATAGTGCGTTTAATATTATGAAATTATTTAAAAAAATCTGTGGATATTTCGGTTTTGATAAAATTACCAATGGTATTTTATATTCTAGCTGTATGAGCTATCTAATGTGCATTCACTGGTTAATTAAGCGATGATGTAATAATGCAATCTTTAAACTTAAGTTGACTTAAGTTGATATGCAATGTTTATTTCTGCGATGCTTTATATTACTTGAATAAAAAAAATATATTGGGTGTCCCGAATAAGTACCGACACAGAGCACGGGCCTGTAGGGGAGCCTAAAATATGTTGTTTAAGTAAGTTGGGTTAACTTATTACAAAGTTACACATTCCTGAGAAGTTATAGGCCTTAAAAATGGAGTTACAAATAAAAAAGTAGTATACTAAGAGCATTAATCGATAGTTAGACGAGATCAAATTGATCTATTTTAAAGGGCTCATCATTCAAAAAGTTAATGTTGGGTTAAGCAACATATTTTAGGCTTCCCTACATGCTGATCTGCTCTGCGTCGGTTCTTATGCTACAGATTTTTTTGCCTTATGGATGATTTAAAAATTATTAGTTCATTTCATAAGTATATAATTTCGTTTTAAATTATTTTTGTTCTTTTTGGTTTTTAAAATTTTTGTCGTTTTGATGAAAAACGATAAAATTTAAAGTCATGTACACTATCAATGTTACTTCTTTAAAAATCGTCGATAATTCAAAAGTTGGCTGTATTAAGTTAAGTTGGATTAAACAACATATTTTGGTTCATATGTCCTTGCTCTGTGTCGGTTGTTATGCGGAACACCCTGTATTATAGAATTTAATAAATAAGTACACGAAGAATTGCATAATTTTTACATCATTTGGGACATTCTGTATTACCGCCCCGTTCGATAATACTTTGAAATTGCATTGAATGTATTAGGGTATTGTTTTGTAATTTTACATTGCACATTTTAAGTGGACACCTGGTATATCATTCCAAATCTTTAAAATCCAATTCTTTGACCCGCTCGTGGACGATTTTTTTATCTTTAATATGTTAATTTTAAGATTCATTAAAAACTTATTGGAGCAAGACCGAAACACCTGTTAATTTTTGATCCTTTAGCGTTATTAAACAAATATTCTTTTATGAACTACTAGCTGATATAATCTACCAATCTCAGTAACAAAATCATTATACACATTGTATTTTTCAATACAGACGGATCTATATCTATAGTTTCAATGCAATAACAAAATTATTCAATTCTTAGATAAACGGCGCGTGACGCATTTTTTCCGGCATTTTTTTTGAATAATCAAGGTTGTCCTGCAGACGGAATCCTCTTATATCATTTTGATCTCTATACCAAAGGACCAAAGATTGAAAATTATGTAAAGTAAAATTAGAGCAGAGCACATTTGACTTTATCTAGAATAATCACTCTGCGTGCCATATACAATTTCACCCAACCCCTTAACTTTATATGCTATCTGGTCGCTTATTGGTAGAGAGGAAAAAAAAGTACTTTTTACATGTGTGAAGTGTGTGTGAGGGGTCATGCGGGCATTGGCAGGTGTCCCTGTGGATCCCCTCTATCCAGCAGATGGTCCTCGTCGAGCCGAGTTTTTGATCGATAACTGAGCAGCTACACATATCGTGCTTTCCTACACGATCTGTATAAATGACATAACTCGCCGGCGAGGCTATAACAGATTATCGGTAAATATGTCGGCACTTCCTTGTTGTGTTCAAGGATGAATTTTTATGTATGAAAAAATATCTATCTAGTATCTCTACATTATTTTGCATTCTCATCTTGTTATGGTATTTAATTGTTTTCCTCCTTAGCATCATAGGTTTTGACATCAATGTGGATGAGTTATGTAGTTTATGAAGCAGTTGTTATGCAGTTTTGGGTTATCTTAATTTTCATTGTTTTGTATAAGTTCTTATCTTTTCTGGCTTCCGTAATAATACGTTTAAATTAAGGGAAAACACATAAAAATCGTTTTCGCATTCATTCATTCATTTGGCTTATAAAAACTATTAAGACATACTAAACATTCTTTATGAATTGTAGTATCTAGGTAATAAATTAACATATGCTTATATCTAATATCAATTTAAATTATTTATAGTTAATTTTCTAACTCGATTTTCTGGAAGTCTAATAAATTGGATCGTACCCTTTTACAGCGAAATTAACAATTCCATTCGGAACAATTTTATTATATTACTATTCAGAAAAAAATGTACACTTCGCTGTTAGCACTGGCTTATTTACAATTGAATCAATTTAGTATTTGCCTAAAATCGATAAGGATGTTGTAAATTGGAAGTAAAAATTGTATTTTTATCTCGACTAAAGCAAATAAATTATGGTAGGTATTAGTCACACTTATTCAATACAAGTTTTGATGCCCGGACCATAAAAATTACTCGAATTCGACTACAATTTAATGATTACTATTTTGTTAGATTACAAAATTGTGGGATATGTTGGGATATATTTTATTTCATTTTATTATGTTGAGAAGACTTTAATTCGAATGCGGTATCGGATAGACCTTTCCCAGCGTGGGTCTACGTCTATTTTGACCTCGATTGTGACACGCCTCCTAGGATTGCAGCTTACCATATTATCCCTTGCTTTTTTAGGGGTATTTAGGGTGAGACTTGCATAGTTTAGGTTCTTATCTTACGCAAACAACTAGGTATAAAAAACTTTCCCGAAGCGGAAGACACACAGGTATATTTAATGCGTAAGATCTAGAACCTATACTGATATTTTATTCGATTGTAAGAATGCCAAGTACTCTTAATACATTACTTCAAGAAAAGTAACTTTCGTTATAAAGATATATTTTAGCAGGTGCAAAAATTAGTTCCGCTTTATATAAGTAACCAGACATCAGACATCATTTAGTAGAAATTTGCTAAAATATAAATTCCATGTTAAAAAAATACAGCAGAACAGCTATTATTATTTTCTATAAATAAATGTAGTCCGGTTCTTATCAGCAGAAAATAGCTTGCAAAAATTGATACAGTTACCTAAGAGGAAGACTTTGTTACGTTTGCACATTTTCTGTTAAATGTACACTGTTGAAAAATTGTGTATCCGTTGAAAAAATTAAAGTAAAATTATATCTCGACAATCTTATTCTTGCGTTCTCAAGACAATAACCAAGGGCTCGCATTAATGGGAAACGCGGTTGAATGCTTTTCGAGTACTCCTGTAAACCCTTCTAATTATTTTAGAGGTTTCCTACGATTGTTGTGAAGGATTAATTTCGTATTTTAACCGGATGCGGTCTACATTTTTGTTACGATCTGATATTAGTTACTCCAAATAATTTATATAGCGGCGAAATTAAAGCACTCTCCGTACCTTCACTACCTTCATCCTGTTCGGAAAGGAATTGTCTTTTATGAAGGAAGTAGGAAATTATTGAAGGAAACTCGTGATGTTAATTTCGTTTTTTTCCGACAAGTTATTCTACACGTAACTATTTTTGTACAAGTAATTGTTGTACTTATTGTAAAAATAATGGCAAATGTTTTAATTACTCCTATTTGCCGAATGGTAATAATGTTTTTTTACTGTTTAGTTGGAGTGTGTAATTAGTAACGTTCGAGGAAAATAAATTGGCTAAGTTATCACTATAATTTCCTTTAGCGTTGTTGCTATTTAAAACTCTGCTTGATAAAAAAGTTCGTCGTATTTATTAGGAAGATATGTCGAAATTTCCTGCGCTCAATAACAAAAATAAGCCCTCCCATAACAATTTTGTGCTGTATTTTTTTGTCAAAGCTCCAAATTTTATTCTATTTTTCTGTTGCATTATTGATTTGTTCCGAAAATTCTAATAACATAGTTTAGAAAATTTAAAAATGAATTCAATAATGCTACCATATGCTCCAAATGCTACATATAAATTAATTCAACAGTAACACCCCGAGTTTATCGCGCCATCCACCCAGCCGTTGTCTAGCATCGTTCAAGATGTTAAGAAAACCGTGAAGTAGGGTATCGATGAATCTACTAAAAATACAAGAAACGAAATGAAGGAAAGTAAAGGCAAAAAGCGCGTGCCATTGGTAGACAGCTGCCGCTCTATACGGTGCTATGGCTACAAGAAGGAACAACACCCCTCTTGGCTTTTGTCTACCGCCAGACAATCGCGATATATAAAAGTATAAGAAAGAGAACGACTGGAGGAAAATTAGGTACAATGGATCCGGGGTTTCGGAAATAAATGTTCGAGGATACAGGCCTGTATATTTACGTAGACGGCTACGACGAATATAAACGCCATACAATTGCAAATTTACGAGACGTCGGTGACGTTAGAGTGACAGTCAGCTGGTTTCGGGAAGGACCAAGTTTACCGCTATTTCTAGACTGGCGGGATTGAGTCATTTCAATGTGCAGACTTTAGAAAAGAGCAGGGTACTTTCAACTCGTTTGGTTAATTATTTTGATGTTTACCACTTGTCCATTTGGTGATCAAACCAATCTGGTTTATTCGAAGGTGGTTTTCTCTTCTACAGCTTCACTTTCTAGACAGGTTTGCATGCTGATACTAGAAAAGATCAATGACAGATTATTTCATCGTTTCTTTATGAAAAATAACACCTTATAATTCTTAATATTCTTATTCAAATCCATTTGGTTTATTAGATGGCGTTTTATATGAGTAAGAGCAAATTTGTTTGCAATATGGTCAATTCTATGAGTTGAACGAAGAAAGATTATTAAAATAACAGTGGTTAGGGTGGGAAAGTTGCAATCCCACAATATCACTCTTTCTTTTTCCTTTATATGAGACCAATGGATGTTGTTTTTGTTGCACTCATAGATAATGTATTGCGTACATATTTACACTTATCTGTATATTCTAGTCGTAATGAATTATTAATTTATCCTATTGTTGCTTTCTTTAATATTTCTCTAAGGAACTAGACAAGAAGCTCTCAAAGATATTTCAAAGAAACTTCCATCTCCTGATATTTAAATTTTGCTATTGATTTAGCTTGTACATGTTATCGCACTAAATATTCTAATGTTGGCACTACATTTTACAAATAAATGAAAATAACGTTTTTTTAATTACTCTATAAAGCAGTTTCATCAAGCACAATTAATTTGTGCATCCAATTTTTCCCGCGCTTGTTAATTAAACCAACGTTCGTTTTTACTATAAATTACAAATTGATCCTGGCCAATGTCAAGGACAAAACGTGCGTTATATAAGGTGTAAGGCATCAATTTAATTTCATTTTCACGAGGCGCTAAATTTAGATCCGCGTATCGTGAATTAAATTATATCCATATTGTACAACCCGTTTGATCCCCACGCCCCTGTAATTCCGAATTAACCAATCTAAACAACTAAATTGCATAGTTATCTCGAGCCGCTTTGTAAAAAATTCCCACAAGCATCTAAGCATTATCATTTGCAAACTCGTTCCCCTACTTGCACTTTGTAGAAAACTACGACAAACTTCGGCGTTTTAAGCCTAGATTTCCCACGAAAAAACAGGACAGAAATTCTAATCTATCGCACATACAGGTAAGTCCCTAGTTAAAATATTTAATCATTATTTCAATGGCTGTCGGTCCCCTTTTCGGAAAAGGGGTTCAAACTCACCCTACTGTCTAATAGAAAGGTGTCTATAATAGAGAGGGGTTTTTGATATCAGATTCTCACTACTCCTACGAATATAAACAATTGTAAAATATGCATTTTTTACAGTATTAGTTTTCTTATTGGTGTATCCTACCCAAAAAACCCAGCTTGATTATAATTTTTTTTTGTGATTGTAGATTTTATAATAATTATATGAAAAAATTGTAGGTAATTACTTGGTTCTTCCCTATTGTGGGAAGCATATGGGGTCTTTGAATCCTCTGCTGCTAGGAAAGGCACGTGTTCGTAGTAAGTTCTACGACGGCATGTGTCTTGAGTGAGCACCTGTCTGGTCGAGGGATGTGGGAGCTCATTCTCATGTCTTTTATTACGTTTTTTTCATTCTTTTTCTATTCCTGGACGTTGAACTAGCCCGAGTACTGTTAGTTTGGGATTAATGAACTAAATGCATGAGAACGGTGCACCTGATACTGAAATATTGCATTCGTAAAATGCATATAATTTAGCAAATGGGATAGATAGGTAGACTTTTGTTTGTGAAACAGGTGGTGTGATTATTATTAAGGAAATTGGATTGGGATTAAAATTAGATGATAGTAAAGTGTGATAAATAAGGAGGGAAATAAATTAAAGTCAGGAATTGTTTACTTGCCATTTTAATATTTTATCGCTCTTTCCGAAAAAAACAACATATTTCCTTATTCGATAATTTGTTGAGTGTATTATTAAAATTATGTACGAGTATTTATTCGTAAAATACATTCATTAAATAATCCCATCTTCCAAATTGACCGGTTTCTAAACATAAATAAAATTAGAAAATTCAAATTGTAGTTGTTCCCTGAAGACCGACTGTTGCTTGGTGATTATTCAAGTATGAACATGAACTGGCAGACATATGTTGTTTATACTGCGCTTCTTACCGCCTTTTTCGACTTACTGGATTGATCAATTCGAATCATACCACACCACATGGCTCGTTAATTCTTCGATAATTATTTTTCAACAGCCGATTTTAAACGAACTAATTTACTTTGCGCCTATAAATGTTTAGTGGAGAAATTTGTGCATAAATAAAAAAAAATGTGTGCTACGAAATAAATTCGGGGATCCTTTGTCGGGGGTATTGCAACGAGCAGATGCAGAATGGAGGGCGAAACTCTGGACACAAACTCCCCCTAACACATAAGGGTGGTTTGCGAAACAAAACATTGATGTACATACAAGGGTGCTGATAGAACATTACGTTTGTTCTTGTGACTTGCCGGTTTATTAGAAAAATAAATTACATACTATTTTTAATTAAAATTAAAAGAAACCTAATTTGATAGCATAATATGCGCATTACAGATATTGCATATCGATAGAAACAAAAGTTTTTCTTGTTTTAATGGGTCATGGTAACATACGATAAGAATGGTTTTGATAAGTTCAGCTGCTTTAATTCAAAATATACACATACAAAAATTAATTTCTTTATTCCTTGAAGCGGATTAATTCCTCACAACCGTCTGAATATTTATAGAATTATGAAGGAAGGTGAAATCCAGCGATAAACTGTAACATAATATTCGCAATCTTTTATGCTAGGATGACTGACGACTCGTGTCGCCAATTTGAGAACTTAAAGTGTCGTTTGTTCCCACGCGGTCTAATCATACGTCGCGTTTAGGTATTTCCTACAACTGCACATAATTCTGGAATAATTGCCGTGGGGCCCTTGCTCTTCGCCATTCGTCGAAAGGGACGCACCTTATAATGCGGCCGAGAAAGAGACGGCAAAAAAGGGCCCAGGTGCAACTGATGTTGTGTAATATTATACAAAAAAAGTTAATAATTTTAATGCGAATCGATTCGATTTTCTATGGGGACGACTAGACATTTTGTATTTCATGGAAATTAAAGGTTTATTGAATTATGTAGGTATCTTTTTGGGAAATCTTTAAATTTGAATATTTAACACTATAGGTAATTTAATACCAGCTACCGTTTTGTAAAGTATTTCTGGAAGGAAAACTTGAATTGAAAGATATATACAAAAATATATCACAAACCCCATGGTGGCTTCATTAAAAGTTTCAATATCACCCCTAATTTTTTGTAGGTATTGAAATAAGATATCTTGTGAATTTTCCCTACAAAATTTAAAATATTTGCCTTTTATAAATACAGTTTTTTGTATTAAACCGATATCATGTTATGGTATGAAAGTATTAAATTTCTCGAGTTAACATATTGCTGAGTGTAATATATTGTTTCAGTATAAAGAGAGAAGCCGAAGAGTCTGAAGTAGAATTAAGCGGGGAAGAAGATTCTGATGAATCCGGTGGTCCAGAAAGCAGTTCTAGGTATAGGAAATCGATAAATAAGGGACGATGGAGTAAAGAAGAAGTAAGTACAATTTCCTGCAGTAAATAGAAGAAGTATATACACCTGCAGCGTATTTTAAATTCTTTTTTTTTAATATTACAGGATACTAAATTGAAGCAATTAGTCGAAGAATATCAAGATAAATGGGAATTAGTTGCCGAGCATTTTCCTGACCGGTCGGACGTTCAATGTCAACAAAGATGGACAAAAGTCGTCAATCCTGATTTGGTAAAAGGACCATGGACAAAAGAGGTATTCTTTTATACATTATTTATTTTTACATTACATGTACAGGGTGTTATTTAATTGAGTGCCGATATGTCAGGATGTGAATATTTTGGATGATTTTAAACAGAAAAGTTTATTTCAATATGTCGTAAACCTCTTAATTTTCGAGGTACAGTTTTAGAAAAAAATAACTTTTCTATCATAACTTTCTTATTTAGGTTATTAGGACATATAACTTCTTCTTAAAATCATCCAAATATTCACATCCTGAAATATAGCCACTCAAAAAATTAACACTGTATAATGTTAGGAAAATGATAGTTATGCGAGCATTCATAAAAATAGATGATAACATTATTTTGGAAAAACTTTTGATTTGGCAATTTGATGGTTTCAATTTTTTTTTGGTATTTTTTGTGGTTTTTCTATTTACTAAATTTTGAAGATTTATTTTCATTATAATGACCTCTTGACTTGTTTTAATTAGTATATGCCTAAACAAGTTTTTTTGTACACATAAAAAAATAATTTAATTCAAAAGTTAACCAAAATTAATAGATTAGATATACCTACAATAAATCGGAATTACCCACGGAAATATTATTTAAAAATTCGAATTTTCTATTCGATTCTCATTAAAATATTTCACGGATTTTACGTTTGGAATAAATTGCCGAATAAAAAGAATATATCGATTCGAAATTATAATTTTCGACATGAATGGCACGGCACGTGTAACCTCCGGTTCCAATCTCCTGTTACCGCGTCGGAAGATATCGATCGGGTTTGTCGAATTTCGATAAGTCTAGTTTTATCGGCGTGGTATAAGACTACCCGGTAAGGAAAAAATACGTTTATAAATAGCATCGTACATTTTTATGCAAATTCAACGATTAATAGTCCACCTGGTTTCCGGTGAATGAAAACCTCTTTGAGCAATACACTCGCATCTATCGAATAGACAAAAATGTTCAATAGATGAATTTAGACGATAATAGCTACCTTTACATGAAAAACGCATCAATGGCCCGTACCTTGGAGAGTATATTTAGTAGTCTACCGGATGCTCTTATGGCAACCTTTCGTTTTCTACTTGTTATTATTCGGAAAGAAAATTTTTCACGATTTGAATAGAATAATTTTTTAAAGGGGTGTTCGATTTACTATAAATTATGCCAACACTTGCACCAATATTCGTTGAAATCGGTTATACAATCATAATGAGATTAATTATTATTGAGAACATCTAATTAAATTACACTAGTTTACAAATTTGACACTTTTTTTAGTGCATCACATTTAATCAACTTTTTTTTAATATATTTGGGCGTGCTAGAACCATAAAAAATTCAACACGTCCAGTTTCTTTAATTTGTCCAACATGGTCATCATTCTACAGCGTTCTAAAAGGTTTTAAATAGTTATAAATGATTCTGGAGCGATCTAACTGGTTATAGACAGTTCTAAATGATCCTAAAGCATTCTAAATGATTATGGAGCGTTCTAAGTGGTTCTACACAGTTCTAAATGATTCTGCATCGTTCTACATGGTTCTAGACTGATTTAAATGATTCTGAAGCGTTCTGAATGGTTCTAGACAGTTCTAAATGGTGTGCTCTAAGTTCTTTGCACAAAACCTTGTAAACTAGTGTTGTTATTCTTCTATTAATTAGTAATATTTTTTTACTACAGTCATAATGAGTCTAACTAATTAATTATTATAACTATACTACATGTTTTTTAATTTTTATATTCAGTCACGTATTTGTTTAAATATTGGTTCGTGTCTCAACAATATCGTTCTGAAATCCACTCGCTTGCATTTAGATGCTGCGTTCATACAATTGCACGAGTACAATTTTATTGTGCATTACCGACGAGCTTTAATTCCTTTGAAAGGTCAAAGCCCTTCGGACCCGCATTCAAATGACGAAAAATTCTATAGATGGGAATGAGCGGTGGTAGTTTTCGCCATAGAAAAGATGATAGTAGGATCGAAGCCCTTTCTAAATAGTTTTTTAAGTGCACAGGAGCGGATCTAAGAAGGACCTCAACATATTTGTTCGTTTTATATGCAAATTTATTTTATTTTATTCCTAAGAGCGCTTTTAAAAAATGGTTCACATTTCTTCTGTACTCGAATATATTTTTGAATTTTTTTAATTGCTTTGGTTAAGATTTGGGAAATGGGATTTAAAGGTCTTAATGTGATTGTAAAAATATGTAATGGCTTTTAGCAAATGCAAATTAATTAAATACAACTTTTGTTCACTGATGGTGACAATAAAGCTTTGTAACAGCTTAAATCGCTTTTGTTCCGAAAGAGTAATTTTTATTAAAGACAATACCGAGTAGTACATGCAAGTAGAAGGTAATAATCAGCCATGCATATATTTATTCTCATGCAATTTACCTAATCTTCCCTCCTCATCTTACCCTCATACTTTTTACCTAGCGAAGCATGCACTTTTAGACAATGACGCGAAGAAACCCTTTGTGTTAAAGTCTCCCTAAATGAAAAAGCGAATAAAGGATCCAAGGGTTTTTAACCTTTTTCGCAGAGCCGATTCTAACACATTTTTAAACTATATTTTTGTTGGAGTCACAAATACATATTTTTTACGACAAGAAACTATGATGGTAGATGATAAATTTGTAATCATTGAGTCTTGTAACTAATATTTACTTGATGGTAATTTGTCGAGATACGTTGAAATTGAAACTGGGAGTATTTATTTACTTAAGTATATTTGAGTAACATGAATCTTTTGCAAATATTAGTATTTTACTATATTAGTTTTTCTCATTAAACATTAGTTGGTGTACTCACATTCGTTAGAAACTTTTCCTGCATAAACCTAAAAATGTTCTGTAAAATTCCAAATTCATTCGTTGATTCTGTAACCTGAACTAAAAATAGGTACTAAAAAACCTTTTTCACATTATATAACATACCGATCGTTATATGAATGACCGTTGTATAACATAACAGAAGTTCAACCTTGGGTTATTCCTCAATATTCGTCATATACAGCGTTTGTTTGCCGTATCTCCGAGGAATTTTACCGCCAAAATAAGTTGCTTGACGAGAATGAAAATTCTTACTAAATTATGTTATGAATTGCACGTATTGCTTATTTCACCAACTACATAACTTTCTAATTATATTTCTAATTTAATTTATCTTAAATGTTCCTTATTACACGTAAAAGGTGTTCTTCATTATCATTTATAGACGGTTCTTGCTCTTTGCTAAACGGCATTGAGTAAATACAAAAAAGATCGTTTGGGAATTATTTTTACCTCCAGATAAGGTACTGTTAACTATCATATTATTTAATTGCATCTGTTTTATGATAGATTAAATAAGTAAGTTCTTATTGCCTCGATTGTTGTATAACTCAAGAAGTCTCTTGTCTGAGGTACTGGTGAAGGGATAAATACAAAACTTTAATAACTAATAAAATAATGCTAGGTGCTTTTTCCTTTATAAAAAAATACAGAATGCTCAAGTTTACTCAATATTTTTTTACGTTTTCAATGTCGCGTTGCGTTCGCTTCTGTTTTTACTCGACACGGTTCGATCAGGCGACCATATGGTTCAATTTGTGATACATCCCAGTATCTCACATAAAGCACACTTCCGGCCGGTAAACGCCTTGTGGGAATTCGGCATTCGACCAAAACACTCGAAGGTCCGAATCCCAAAAAAGCCATGCAGTTCGAGTCATTTGATGGCAAATATTTTCGAGCAACTGCTCATTTTTTTCCGAACAATACGGCAGGGAATTGCCGTGGAACCACTCACCTGCTACACAACGATGTTAATATTATTTAAATAAATGCTCAGCATGTGCTTAGCCGGCTCCCCCGCTATATTTAGATATTTCGAATATCTCGTTAGGATCACGCACTGTCCGTGTTTTCTGGTTAAATTATTCATTGTAATTAAGTGTCCGGAATCTAGCGCGATTTTGAGTTCGTTAAAAAATACATTCTAATATTACTAGTATACCTTAATGATTTAATAATTATAGTTCTTCAACAAAATCTAGGAAGTGGTAAAACTTGTCCAATTCTTGACATTGTTTTATTACACTTATATTTACAAGACCTATTTAGAATATGAATATACCAGTTATAAGAACTTAATTAAAGCAAACATAAGCCGTATATCTTATTTATTTACACAACGCGATGCATCTGTTTGCAATGATTAATCAAATAAACAATAAAACACGCCATGATCCGTTAACATCGCGCTTGCAGGAGGACGAGAAGGTGATAGAGCTGGTGAACAAATACGGCGCGAAAAAATGGACGCTAATCGCGCGCCACCTCAGAGGCAGGATAGGGAAGCAGTGCCGCGAGCGGTGGCACAACCACTTGAATCCGAAGATAAAGAAGAGCGCCTGGACCGAACAGGAGGACGAAATCATCTACCAGGCGCACCAAGTGCTGGGCAATCAATGGGCGAGGATAGCGAAACTGTTGCCCGGCAGGACCGACAACGCCATCAAGAACCATTGGAACTCGACGATGCGCAGGAAATACGAGACGGAGCACCGGGAGAACGGCGAATCGAGGCGAGGACGGCATCGGAAGAGCGTCGCCAGGCAAGGCGATGCCAACTTCTATTCCCATTACGGACAGCAGAGGTCGCAGGCCTCGCAAGTTAGCTCCGGCGAAAATGTACCTGGGTTTAAAAGAGAAAATGTAAGTTTTTTTTTTCGTTTATTGCACTAATATCCACCTGAAGGATCTATTCTTCTTCTTGTAATAGGGCCTAGTCCTATTTAGTCCGTTCCATTTAGCCTCCTTCGGCGTTCTTCCTGTGACGTTGAGCTCCAGCTTTCATACCATCTTTTGGGTGGTCTCTCTACCAATCTTCGCGAGTTTGGTTTTTGCGACTTGGCCCACTTTACCCATCTTTCATCTGGCATGCGTTCCACAAACTCTCTCCAGCTCTTCTTGTATGTTCTAACCCATATTGCCTCATCCTGTATTTCTAGTTATTCTCTGATATTCTGGCTTTTTATACTATCCCTGATGGAAACCCCACTTGATGGTTCTTGGTATTTACATTTCTTGGCTTGGTCAGCTATTCTTCTCCACTCTCGTCAATCATTTGCTTTTTCCCGCCACCTTTGGAGATCCGCCTACCTCAGATCATTTTCTGCCTCCTCCAGCCATCTTTTTTACGTTCTCATTTCCAAGATCCGTTTACTAGTTCCTCTTTCATCCTGCCTCTGAACCAAACCAACCACCTTATCCATTAGGTAAACATATCTTTAATTCAAATAGTTTCCCCTTAGCTCCTCTAGCTCTTTCTTACGTCTCTTTTTCATCTTCATCTGTAATTTTATTGTGTTCATCTGTAGACGAGTAAGTTGATGTATGATTCTCTAATATCGTGATATGTTTCGTAGGATTGGACGGTGGAAATGTACGATCACGGCAGCAGCCAATCGAGCAACGGGGCGCTTTCGAACGGCGCCCCGACGCCCAGCCCGACGTCCCAAAACCTCCCGAACGCCTACGAGCGAACGACGACGTCTCCGCCGCAAATGGCGCAAAATTCCAAAGATCCGGTTCTGTACAATTTCGTGAGCGTCTACGGGAACCAGCCGTCGCCGGTGAAACTGACGCCGATGAACGACGACGCCCTGTCGGACTTCGACATAGGTTTTTACAATTCGCCCGGCATAAGCCCTTTGAAAAATGGTAGGCATCAATCCAAAGCAAGTGAGTTGTCTCGAGCCTAAACGGAGTAGTTCGGAATGTGTTTTAATGGTGATATTTGTCGCAGTGTTAATCAACAACAACTTCGGCGCCTCCCGCGCCTCGACGCCTCCCATCCTGCGGCGGGGAAGGGCGCGAAGGCGGACGGAGAGCTCGGAGAACCAAGACGTCAATATCGTGACGAATCGGATCGAGGACATCGATTTCGGCGGTCCGGGCAAACCGTCGTTTTTCAGCCCGTTGCGGAACGGCGTGTCGCCGATCAAGCAGCTACCGTTCAGTCCGTCGCAGTTCCTGAACAGCCCCAACATTTCCTTCGATCACACGGCTAGTTCGACGCCGAAGGTGGCGCAAAACGGGGTCGTTTCGACGCCCGTCAAGGACAGGACCAAGTTTGTAAGTACTTTTGATGGATTGGACTCGAATCATTAGAGTATAATCCATAACGGGAGATAGTTCGTTTTCTTTGAAATGTCTTAATGCATTGGTTTTTTTACTGGAACTGAATACCTTTTTAAAACAATATACAGGGTGTCCCACGACGAGTTAAAACTATCTGTATATAGGAAACTACTTATGCGATTAAAATAATATTTGGTATGTATATGTTATGCAATAAGACGAACCTCCGGATATAGCGAAAGTAGGCATCAACTTTGTTATTTCAAATGGAACACCATTTATATTAATATATTTTCGAAATCTACGGAAAATTTTAGTGTACTTCTGTCTAAAACACTTTTGAACCAAATTTTTGAAAAATTTGACCGATGCAGACCCTTATAGATTGTTTTTTTTACGGGGATCCCCTTAAAGATGTGGAAACGGTTTCTGGGGGGGAGCTACTAGCAAGGTCAAAGGTATTTGAATCTGTGTTAAAAAAAACCTTATTTTATACATCGTGTGTATCAAAATGTGAAAAGTTGAACTTCAAAAATTTCAAATTTCTTCATTTTTTTAAATGGAACCACCAATTTTTTTTCTATTTTAATGAAATTAGTGGTCAAAAATAAGGGAAGTTCATGTTTACTTCCTTACCTATACCTAAACCTAATAGTTTTGAAGATATTTAAAATTTTACATTAAACTTACTTTTCTGCCTTATTCTTAAATAACTCGGTTTTATAAGTTGGCCGTACAAGTACCAAAATTACCAATCAATTAATCAAGAAGAATTTAATGATAGAAAATTATAGAAAACTGTAAATTATACTGAAAATACTGAAAAATTTTATACTGAAATACTGAAAAATAAGAGGTTTAGGAGACATATCGATATAAACTTTTCTTCTTAAAATCGCCCAAATATCCACATCCTGAGGCATCGGCACTCAATTAATTAACACCCTGTAAAATTTCCTTTACCAGGAACGAGATTACAGCCCGTTGAACACGCCCCGCGGCATTCCCGCCATCGCCAAATCCTCCGAACCGATAGCGTCCTGTTCGACCTCCGATATAACGTCTACTCCCACGAAACGGCTGCCCAACGATACGCCTCGAACGCCCACGCCCTTCAAGAAGGCCCTGGCGGACCTCGAGAAGAAATCGGGCCCCATCAAGAACCTGCCCGACACGCCGTCGTCTCGGCTCGAAGACATCACCGAGATCATGAAGAAGGACCAGGACAGCTCCCACTACGACACCGACACCAGTACGATGGTCACTGTAAGTTTTGTCCGACGATGTTCGCGTTCGTTACTAACTGTTTATTATTAGGTGGTTAAACCAAAATTTCGATTGATAATTTTACTCGCTGTTAGTGCCTAGTTTGCTCGATTTTCTTGTTGATTCTAGGTTCGCTCTGTTGATTTATATACAGGTACGATGAATGAATGAGCGGTTTATAATATACTTTGTATATATCTTTTATAACATAACTCGTTTAAGGGAACAATTTGTTTGCATTTGAGCTTAACCCCCCGTATTCAGAAGTTTTTTATAATCAAATGGTATCGTAACCAACGATTATATATTTCCGAATTCTAAACACGGCAACGTTGCTTATTTGAATCCTAAACAAGATGAAAGTGAGGTTAATTTTTTGTCATTCTTCTGTCATTTAGAATTCTCCAGAATCATCTAGAACAATTTAGAACTCTCCAGACTCGTTTAGAGCGCTCTAGAATCATTTCGAACTGCCTAAAACAATCCAGAACGCCCCATTATTATTTCAACGTTGCCACGTTTAAAATTCGGATATATATAATCGTTGGTTACAAAACCATTTGGTTATAAAAAAAACGGGGGTTAGTGTTCTGGACATTGTGCAACTGCTCTTTCACTTTTTTTATAGCATTTCATTAAGTGTAGGCGAGAGAGAAGGTGCACAAGAACCCAAATTTTAAACGTCTCGACTGGTGCAATCAAAGCTGTATAATATTAGGCATCAGGGATAGTTGTGAATTCGTTACAATATTATTTTTGTTCATAGAACGAAAGTGGCTATATATCCGGAAATGTGACGGGAAAGCGGAAGAGTCCAACTTCTTCCGCGGGCGGTAAGGAGAACGTCCTTCCTAACAAGAGGGTTCGGAAAGCTTTAGCCCCCTCATGGGCATCGTCCTCCTCTCAAATGAGTTCTACGGATATCTCTTTCGCAATTGAAACTCCTGTAAGTAAAATCGAATGCATGTTTTTATGTGCAAAATTTAATTTCCGAACAGTAGAAGTTGATTAGCGATTGTACGCGTTTCGCCTGGCCCTTGACGGGAACCAAGTTCTCCCGAAAATGGCGGTGAAAGCGGTGTGGTAGAAATGATTGAACAAGTTCTATTTTACTTTCAGAGTAAATCATTGGGTGAGGACACTTCAATTTTATTTTCTACTCCATCGTCAATAATGAAAGACTCTTTGGGAGTGACAGGATTGATGGACTATCCCCCGCAAGTGGGATCCTCCAAGGTAGTTGGATGGTTTCATTTTGAAGATAGTAATTTCCTGTCCTAAATCCTTCGTCCTTTACTGTCGTATCCTTCTACAAAAAAAAACACAACTTCTCACCTTTTTGCTCTTCTCCTTTTTGTTAAATGCATTTTAGTAGTTCGGTATTGGGCTCTCTAAAAATCGTCTCTCTTTCTTCACACTTTCCTTCAGGCTGCTCTGATTTATGCATGAAACGAATCTATAGAAATTTCCGAAGGGATAATTGAAGTAGGTTTTAAACTAACGTAGGATTTAAATAATAAAAAATCAAAAAAAATTATGCATACATGCGAATGAAGAAGGGTCGGTTGAAGTCGTGATTAGTACAAATTGTAGAGGTTTCCTTCCCGCTGATTGTAGTTTTTTTGTGAATGATGAAAGTAAGGTGGTATGCGTGCACTATCGAAATAATACGATTTATATTCTTCTTATTTATTATGTACTTATTTAGCTCTCCAATTATATGCCATAATTTGTACATGAACAAACATATTTTTGCAAAATTAGGGCAAGTAGGTACGGTAACCACATTAAAAATGGTCGTGTATACAGAAAAAAAGTGTTGTTTAAAATGTACTCTAAGTTATTTTTACATTTCTTCTGTCTCGATCAGTAATTGTGCTAAATATCGCCTTCAGTTTTTCTTTCTATAATTCACAATTAACTTGCATAATGCATAAAATGGTTTTAAAAATTATGCACTTTGTGTCAATTCTTATCAAATTGTATTATAGAAACTGAACAATGCTATCTTAACGGTAATACAGTGTGTTAGCTAACATATTGTCTAACACCCTGTATATTTAAAAAAGAATATAAAACAAATATTACTGTGAGATCATTACTCTTACATTAAATTCTGTTTGTCTCTTTATCTCGCTCTGAATTAAATTTAATTATACTAAAAGGTTGTGGATATTAACAAAACATTACTAAAAATCATAATTATTTATCGCGACTCGCGACTATTTTGTTTATTTATGGCCAATTCACCGATAAGAATATTCTTAATAATTATGATTTGTTTTTTGAATAAAAGCAGCAATTCTTGAACACTGTTCGATACTTCTTACAGTTGGTGCAAAACAAATATCAATACAAGTCGCTACTGTCGTCATACTTGCCAAGCATTGTGCCCAACTTTTTAAAATAAATACATAATTTTATATTACAGGTGCTCCTAATTATCAATTAGTTCTTGTCATTTTGCCATTTGACAATTTTAGAAAATTCTTAGATTTTCTAAACTCTATAAAAGTTCGGCAACACTGCCTACTGTAACGTAGTAAACTATAAGTGACGTGCATTGATATTTGTTTTGCACCAACTGTATGTTCGAATTTCCGAGTAACCTTACTTGTTTTTTAATATTAACAAAAGTAGTATTTTTTTAATACCGAGAATTATAATATTAGCTTGCTTATTTGTGTTTAATTGTAAATGTTCATGCGTACCTATTTCATAATCTGGTCTAGTCTCTTCGATACAAATGATGAAACACGTCAAAACCAAAGTTTCCATAAACTCACCTTTCCTTTCTACCTTCTGCAGCTTATGCCAACGCACAAAAAACGCAAGTATACTCTTAATGTGCTTGTTTTTTTATTTAAATATCTTTTTTTTAATTATGCAAGAACGTCGTAATATATATTTTTGTTATTTGTGTTGTTAACAGATTTATTGTTTTATATTGCATTCTATTGCTCGACTAAACGAATCTTATTAAATTAATTAGTCAATACGTCTAGTTGGCAAAGCCTTTATTTATTTGATATTGTGACTGAGTCAGCATTTCTTAAAAGTTCTTGAGTCTCAGATTCGTAAAATTTAGGTGTTAAGGTTATTTATTTTTAGTCGTATAAGAAGTTACATCGATCTTACATTTATTGGTAGTATGTAAATATTTTCTTCGGAAGGGTCCCCAAATATAATTTCGACAGCTAAATCAATCGTTACTGTTGTTCCAATAAAGATGCAAAATTATTTGCAAAACAATTATATTCATTCGTTTATTTGATTCATTCGTATATTTCAAACATTTTAGTAACATCAATCATTGCCCTAATTCCATTAAAATAGTTTACATCGTTCCCTATTAGTTACTAGTTTGTCTGGAGCAGTAGAATGTTTTTCACCGAAGCCAAATTTTTGCACAGGCTACGTTTGTTGTTTTTTTATTTTATTATGTGTAGTATATAGCACTTTATTATCATAAGTATTAAGTAGTTTTTTTTTGTTGCACATGATTTTACAATCTGTTCTTGCACTAGTAATAAGTTACCATTAAAAAAGATGCTTATCTTTTTATAATTATTAGCCGAGAAAACATTTCATTCATGCCTATTTAATTTTTTTACTTCGTAATTTTAATGCAGAACGGGAAATTCTCGCTCGTTTCGTTCGGTTTAACGCTTCTTTTTATACCAATATTTCAGGTAGCGATCAAGGAAGAGTGTTTACCGTCTGATATTAAAATTATTCCACCTTTTTTGAGGCCTAAAGAGTAGATTTGTTCTTTCAAAGGTATTAAACTGCGTTTGCGCAAAATTATTCTCATAACTCATTGAATTGGAGGATTATAATTTAAAAGGATTGCTCACTTCGCACTTTTGCATGTTGATTAAAATTGGAGTCTTCTCGTTCACATGTGAATTGGTAATTTTACATTTTTAAGCTCAACTGTTTGGAAGACTCCAAAGTTACTATTAACAGTTATCTTAAGTGAACAATCCTAGTCACAAAGTACCGCGCAAGCGTGCACGATTCCAGACCGATTCGGTACAATAATTGTTGGAACAAAAGCATCTGCTCGAACATGAAACCGAAGTGTTTTCTCCGCGCGTACACCGGGGGTTTTCACGCGAGGCTTGGATTGTAGTTTGTTGTGTGTGGTGGTATATTGTAGCATATTGTCCTTGTCCCGGCAGCGCCCGCTTCCCGTCAGTGCCCCAACAAATCGAGATCCTTCAGGACAGCGCAGTTCGATCGCCAAACGGATCACCTTCGAGGAACAGGGCCCTATCGCTCCAAAGGTGAGCCCACTGACTTGCTCTTGCTCCGGCAGCGCCTAGAGCAAATGGTACGCGCGAAATCGCCCCGTTCTAAATGCTTTTTGTCGTGGTTTCGTGTACCATTTGAGCGGAGAAACGGCGACACTGTACAGAGTGTTCGAAACGAATAGATTTGTAATTATTGTGAATATACTTGCGGTCACTGAGAATATTAAATTTTAGATTTGTTTGGTTTAACCACCGGTATAATTCACGTGGGTGTTGAATTGTGTTTGTGTACTAATAATTTGTACGGGTGATTTTATAATATTGGCGAAAATCTTTGAGTAGCTGGAGAATGTACAGGTTATGCTCTATTATGTTGAACGATTTTTCATTTTGGTATTTTGCATCAGGATGGATAGAATGTTCTCCAAAACTCTTTCTTAAAGATGTGGAGAAGATTCAAGGGCCAATTCAAAACCAAAATAAGAGCGTTTTTACACGGTTCAATATATTGCAATATACTGTGCATAAAAAGTACAATGCAATATTGCAATATATTGCTGCACTCAAACTCATTACCTAGAGAGCGCTATTCACCCAAAGATTTTTGCCAAATTTACAAAACTCACCCTGTACTCTGAACAAAATTGTTTTGAATGTAAAATTTAATATTTTATGATTTAAACACTTGGAATTTCAATTTCGTGATTTTCATACTATGCTTTGGCTTGGGTTTTGTGCTTTTTTTCACGTTTCAACTTTTGCACAAAATTAAATCATCCTTTTGCAATGTATTAATTAAATTGCAAACTATAAACTATAAATACAAACTATACAGGGTGTCCCAATGAAAAGTAACCCCTTTAATGAGCTTATAATTTATAAACGCCTAATCATAAAAACATGTGGTTTTCTAAAATACGTTTTATTTCATTATAAGTTTTGCAACAGTGCTACAGAAATTATGCATTACCGATACAGGGTGTTTCATCAAAATCTCTTTTTTTTAATTCACAATAACCATTTTTTTAATGGAACACCCGTATATACAAAGGTATTTTGAAAGATGTACTCTTATTCTACTTTTTCCAAAAATGTTTTATTTGTATATATTATTCTACAAAAGAAGATGTCCTATTTCTTAAAATTTGGTTAATGCGTTTAAAAGCGTTTAAAAATTATTAGCTCACTAAAGGGGCTACTTCTCATTGGGACACCCTGTATTTAAAGTTCACCTCTAATCATAGAGTTTTTGAAGAATCGATTCAACGAGTATTTTAAAACGATTTTTAAAGTGTAGTTATAGGAATGTAAATTGTCCGTTTTCTGTTTATTAAAGATTTATTTGTTGCAGCTTGATGCTCAGTGGATTAGGGTCGCGTGTGGTCGGACTCAAGATCAACTGGATCTTACAGAACAAGCGCACAAGTTTCTGAACACATCGAGTTTGAAACCGCGCTCGTTGAACTTTTGAAAAAAAAGAGGAAAAATCCATTGTACATAAATCGCCGCATTCGTTATTTGAATGTAATTTTCGAGAAAATTGTGTAGTGCAAATAGTTTGTTTTTACTTATATAAATTTGTTACGAGTAAGTTTTATTTAATAATTTTAAGAGAGAAAATTCTATAAATAATATAATATACATTTTTGCACCAGCATATAGTACTAATATAATATTATTTCATTTTTAACTTAACGGTTTCGATTCAGTATTTTTTTTTTGTAATAATTGTAGTAAAAATCTAATTGTGTTATGTGTTTTGTAAAGATTGTTCATTTTAATGTCCATATTTAGTGGTATACAATTTTAAAGTAATTGTTTGTATCGAGCTTCATGTTTATAGAAAAAAAATATCCGAGTTTTAAATTTTAAATTATTTTTTACATCACTACTGTAAATCCATTAAAATTGTTCTGTCTTACGATTTTTTTTATTTTCTATCCCAATTTAATACCTGCTTCTTATAGCGACACTAATTACACTATTATAGTTTACAAATTTTACACTTTTTTGTGTAAAATGACATCAACTGAATAAATTTATTGATAACATCAATAAATTTTTCAATATATTTTGAATAAAAATCACGTCTAGTTTCTTTAATTTGTCCAACAGCCTTTCTAAATGGTTCCAGACAGTTTTAAATGATTCTGGAGCGCTCTAAATGGTTCTAGACAGTCCTAAATGGTTATAAAACCTTCAAAAGTAGTGTTATTAACATTGAATACAATAATATTATTTTAGGTTTCTTTTGGAAAATTTCAGCTATTTAGTTCTATAGGTTTCAGATAAACAACAAACATACATTGTACAAATCTATACATTTTTATTATTTTTAAGAAGTAACATTAACATTGCGTAAACTATTTTAGTACATCAGCAAAAATTTCCTCGCATTTATTCCCATTGTTAAGCGAATTTTTCCAATCCTCTTTGTTCCTCTTGTAGGTAGAAAAATTGATTTTTTGAGAAATGATCTTACCAAAATCAGAGTTGACCCAACTGCCGTCTTTGTGCGATAGTTCGTCCATAATTAGCAGTTTGCATTTCATGTTCGCGGCATGCCACAGGGCTTCGAAGCTCCTCGAACCGTGTTTCCCAAAGGCCAAGTCCCTGTAAGCGCCCATCATCTTCCTAACCAACCGCTCCTTGCTCTTCTCACCGACAAATGTTCCTTTAACGTACGAATCCGCTATGTGACTCCCCATCACGTTGGAAAATAAATTTAACAAAACCGTTTGGTCTAAATTCAAAATAGCATTTACTACTTTAATCGGTTTATTGTAATCCAGGATCTTCTGTAGTATTAGAGTACCGTGTAAATTTAACTTTTCCTTTTGGAGATTTTCGTTGGATTTCTTGGCATTCTCCTCGAAAGCCACGAATCTGCTTAGACATAGCACAAAAGCGTTTTGTCTTTCTTCCGGTTCGAAGCAATCGAATGCTTTCATTAAATTCTGAACGAAACTTCCTTGTTTCGTGGAATGTCGTTTACAAGCTTCGGCCAGTGCTAGTATAATTCCCGAATGACCGACTTCGATTATTCGTTTAAAATGCTCCGCTAGCTCGTCAAAAGTCGCTTCGAAATCTTCTTTGACGCTACAGTATTGAATTAATCTTTGTACTGCGAAATTAGTGCTTCGTGTGGTTGATAATTTCTCTAAATTTCCTGCGAAGCAAGCCTTATAAAGTTTCGAAAACACCTTCTCACTGGAAATTTGCAAAGCTGTTTCCATTAAAAGTATGATAGGCTGCGAACCGAATGCCGGAGGTAGCGATTTCGAATCCTCCTCTGTAGTAAATACCTCCGTTAACATTTTCTTTAAATACGTTTTTAGCAATTTTGAGTCTACTTTTTTCAGGCACTTTAATAACTCTTGCAAAAAGCCGGATGTTAAATCCGTTATACATAACTCATTAAACTGCGGCCAAGAGATAATCCTTTGACCATATTCTTTAACAATTTCAACAAACTCATCGGGTAATTCTTTTTTAACATCGGTCTTCTCCGTATTTAACTTCCCGCTGGGTATTTGGAGTAAATTTATCAAGCACGTTCTTATGATGTGATTTCCGTACGTGTCCCAAATAAAGTCTTCCAAATTGTTCAGCAAAAATTTACTAACTTTCATAGCGAAGTCTTTGTAGTAATTCCTCAAGTCGTTGTCTTGTTTATCGTCTAACGCTCTGGAGCAACTTTGTACGACAAGGGACTCCAAGACGTGGCTGGCGAACCGGTCGCTACACAATTGTCTCAAGTCGTCCCCGAAAGCCGCGATGAACTTTTTCATAACTTCATCGTTTGCGAAAGGCAGCAAGGTTTCGATTACTCTACAACCCACTTGGTTGCAACTGCAATGGACTTCTTTCGCGTCTGTTTGTTCGAACACGTTGTTGGCGAAGATGATTTTGTCCTCATCGGATTCGAAGCCTTCTTTGAACGATTCCAATATTCGCACAAAGTAGTGGTAGGTGTCTTCTTCCAGCTGAGATCCTCTGCCGTACTGGCCTTTTTTGCCGTATTTGCGGGCGTTTTTTACGAAAGACTTCTTCCGTTTTCTGTTAGGTCTATTATTAGTATTAGAGTTAGTAGAATTCGAATCCATTTTCTCGTTATTAGTAAAATCGACTAATTTTGGATAATAAATTTTGTAGGTTATGTTTGTTGACATAAATGACATACCAGCACGTGCCTGTCAACATTGACGTGTTACGTCAGTAAACAAATAATTTCTTTTATCCTTGTTTGAGACGTTGTAGAAGAAAATGACAGAGCGTTGTAGAAAAATTTATTTGTTACCAATATTTAGTGGATTCTAATGAAATGTCCCTAGTATTGTCAACATCAACAGATTTTTCAAGGTTAGGTGAAAAACTGCGTACGTGTTATTTGTTTATGTTAAAACAGCTTATTTTATATATAAATTTAAATAACATATCGACCATTGAAGTAAGAAGCCGCATTCGGTCCACCATCTGGTACAAGTATTCGTTGTTTTTCAGAGGAAAATGTCCAGTCCAAAGCAAGATTCTGTTCTCAAAGCGGGCCACCCTCCAGCAGGTAAACATATTTTTATAATGCGCATTTAAAAATTGATCGAAATAACTTAATATTTACAAATTTACATTCGTGCCATTTTGTGTGAATTAATGTTACTTAAATGTGCGGTTCCATTAAAAACCGTTGTTTTTTAATATTTCTTACAAAATTTCTTTTTCGCAGTAATTTATAAAAATTAATACGCAATATTTGTTCTTGTAAAATTCATATTTTAAACAACAAATTATATTTAATATATGTTGGAGTTTATAAAATAAACATTTTGGGTTAAGTGGGTACAAATGTTAATTTCCATATCTTTTTATGCAACTTTGTTAAATTTATCGCAAACAATTTGGCAATCCCAATAAAAAATTTGTTACACCATGCTGAAATTAGCTGTTGCAAATACGAATTGTAAATAATTCTTACAGTTCAGAATTGCATCTTATTATAGATTATCAAATTTTATAATTAGTACAATAATAATTTTTCCACTGCTTAAATTGAATAAACTATTTATAATTATATCAAGGCAGTTTTAAGTAGCATAATTTGGAAAAATATAAACATATAAATAAATAAAGAGTGATAAACTGTATAACAAAACCAATAAATAATAAAACTTGGTGGTCACAAATTGTACAGGGTGTCCCGCATAAGAACTGATACAGAGGCCGATTAATCGCATAGAGGCAGAATTAATCGATAATTATTAGGATAGATCAATTGATGTATTTTAAAGAGTCCATCAGGGATGATGCTTCGTTAAAATGTTACAGGATTTTCTTACCTGATGGATGAAATTATTAGTTCATTTCATAGGTAATTTCAATTTAAAACTATTTTATTCTTTGCCGTTTTGATGAAAAACGCTAAAAAATAAACTCATGTACACGATCAATGTTACTTAAAATCGTCGATAATTCAAAAGTTGGCTGTATTAATTTAAAGTTGGAGGTTAAACAACAATCCTTTAGACTCCCCTACACGCCCCTACCCTGTGTCGGTTCTTATGCGGGACACCCTGTATGTAGAAAAATCGTTTAAAAGGATAGCGAATTTTTGATTGTCAACATTCTTAATAGAAATGCTGCATAGCATGGGACTTTCTTTTTACGAAATATTTCTTATAGTAAAAGCCGGGGGAATGAGAATAACCCAGCACAAAACGAGGAAAGATTCAGGAGGTATATCCGAAGATGTCACAGGAATTACGGTGTCTGGTAGCCCGCCAAAAACTACCACCGTGTCGGGGGCGACGGTAAAAGGTCACGCCGATTTTCCTGCGGAGGCAGTGCAAAGTTTCCACAAGGAAAAACCGGCGGCCAACCATCCAAACAAGCCTATGACTCACATCCAACAGCCCAGGAAATAATCGTTTGCCAAATATTTTCTTGCAAGCCAACTTAAGTAGAATTGTCGATGCATTTTTTTGTCTATGTTTTTAAAGATTATTAGAACTTAGATGAAATTTTCTGATTTTTTATTAGTTTTAAAAGCACTGTATTTGTGCGTTTAGGTACCGGTAATTAAGAAAATTTTATGTAAGTTGTTAAGATCTGTTGAATTTTTCATTATTGTACGGTTTTAGTGTTTGTCTCGAGTTTTAGTTGAATGTAGATACATTTTACTTAAAACTTTGTAGAGTAATATGCGGTTTAAATGGCGTAATTGGCTGTTTTAATTGTTGGTTTCACTAGTATTAGGATTGAGATTCCTAGCATTTACATTAAAAATATATATTCATATTATGTATTGTACAAAATTAAGATTGTTTAAAAAATAATAAAAAAATGCCATATGTTAATATGGTGCTTGTACTAATGAGAAAAATGCACCGGTTAATTTAAGAATTTAAATTTTTTGTTATATTTCTATAAGAATGTTAAAAACGATATTGTTGTATTTTATTGTCGCTTCTATTTCACTTAAACAAAACGCTTTATTAAAAAAAATGGTTTTTATATATGGTTTGGGTTTGAAATTTAAAATAATGTACGTTCAAAAGAATTTATTTCATTTAAAATAAAAAATAAATCATACATTTATAGCATCGTTTTGTTCCATTTAACAGGCCTTTTTTCCATAAGCTCCTTTCTAGTCAACGAACTCAAGTGTGCTGCTGCGACATAATCTCTAAAATATGCGATTTATTTTAAAGACAATCCCGATAATTTACTTCTAATTTTCATTTTATATTCAATAAATCTTAATTTTACTTGTATAATGAATCCAAGTAAAACACTTAGAAGATTTATAAATATTATTAATAATCATTTGTGGGATTATTTTTTAGAGATTTTACTTTTACACTACTACCGAGTACTATTTGATGATGTTCCCAATTATTGTTTGAAATAGAAGGAAGTACTTATCTATTATTTATTAATGATTAACTCGTCAAGGTTTTGCAAATAAATTAAATTAATCTTGTAAAATAACCGAGAAAGCGTATAAATTAGTACCCGTGAGTTAGTTTTAATAATAGTAGCAACTAAAATCTATTTATATTTTGATATTGTGTTTACCTGAATTCGTCGTAATTTTTAGAAGTAACAACAGCCTTTATCTTGGCGTCGTTTCGGATCCAATACAATTTGTCGTCGTTAATGGACGATTGGAGATCCTTGTAGAGATTTTTCAGATCAGACGAATTCGATGACATGTTTATGTAACGTTTGTAATTTTCGTTTGATCAATAACAGCTGGTTGCTGTAGTAAACTCACGAAGAAACCTCTATCACACTTATCAATAAAAGAGTACCCTACCCTACTGCATCTGATTTAGTATACGGTCTACCCAAGTATTTATTACAAAGTAAGTATAACAGCAAGATTTTGAAAATTTTCCCTCCAGTAAGCAAAAGAAAAAAATTTGACTGGTATTGTGTTATGTATAAAACAACATGTGGGTAATTTAATTTACCGATAATTGGGGAAGTAGGTACCAGTATTTATTTAAAATGGATTAAAATCCCCATATTAATCACCATTATTTAAAGAAAATTGAATATACTTTTCGAGTAAAACCAAAATTATGAATATACAGGGCGTGTAAACGAAGGGGCCTTCCTTTATCCCATAATTTTTACTCACCCAGCGCAATTAAAACTAAATAGATTTTAAATTTTATTGTAAACATGATTACTAAATACAATATTATAATTGGACGCGAATTACATCCTAAAATTATGAAGTTCTATTACTAAATCTAAATATACTATAAAAGGTACAATTATTAATATACCTACACATTCGATGGAAAAATTTAGACAATTTTTTTTTCAAAATAAAACATTTTTTAATTTTCTAATAATTATGGAACTATTTTTTCTTTAAAATAACGTTTAACTAAAAGTTAACATAAAATATGATATTGTAGTGCAAAAACTTCAAATTTTAAATTGCATGCCAATTTTTGTTGAGATTTACATTAGGACAACAGTAACGAATTTATTATATTTTCGCCAAATTCAAATTCATTAGTCATTAAACCGCAGACAATATTTCAAAATATTCGTTACCTTTTTATTATCAATTATTGCACTTAATAAACTGAACAGAAAAGAATTGAATGAAGTAAACATCCATATTACATTATCCACACGAATGCCATAAGACTATAAGACTTAAGAGTGCATTAAAATATGTATTAAAAATGTACATGAAAGATGACTGCAATGATGAAATATTGTCATGAATTACGAGGAAAGTTTGCAGTTTGCAGTTTGCAGAAATCTTTTAAAAAATATAGAAAGATAAAAAAATTTATAAATAATTCATTAAAAATTATTATTGCATCTTCGATTTAATTATAAATACGACAGACAACACACTGTCCACTAGATAGACTGCACCGTTTATAACGCACAAGGCTCCTAACGCCAAGCCCACCTATAAATAATATTCAAATAAATTATTTAGTTAATACTTCAATAAGGCACAATTTATTTCGACAGAAAAAATCGGACGCATGTAAATTGGGCGCGAATACGACAGTAGAGTAGAACATGAGTAGAGTAGACTAGAGTAAAATAGAATAGAATAGAGTAGAGTAGAGTAGGGTATATTTCTGTGCCCAATTTATTGCAGTAGAAAATTAAAAAGTGTTCAGAACGGATTCTACACCCACAACTTATTAAGTCGGGTGCTAATGTTGAATTAGGTGATTTTTTTCTGTCTGGAAACTCTTGTCCCAATGAAATACCCCATATTGTTTGATTAACTTACCTGTCGCTCGGAATCAACGCTCGAGTATTTATATTCTGACAAATAACCGAGCCAGTAGTGAAGTGCTGTTGCTCCAACGGCCACCCACATGAATACACCGACTATATTCATTAAAATATCGGTGAAAGATCTGAAATGTTACAAATTCTTTAATTGTTCAGAACTTTAAACAAAAAAAAAATAAGTTAGTAATGTGACAAGATCTTATCTAGAGTTGAAAATATTGACCTAGACCTATGTATTACCTACAAGAACTGTATATTATTAGGTGTTAAAAATGGCGAAGGAACAAGTCTAAATATTCCACCATTTTCTTTAGTATGTTATATAGTATTGGGATCGTAGATTTACTTACGTTTTGTGATCACCGCTGGCGAAACACAGGCTTATAAGAGATACGATAGTGTAGATCATGTAGCCGACAAAGATTCCAGATGCCACAATTTCCGAATCAGGATTTTTTTCTTCGTTTAAGTTCCATGTTCCTCCTACTCCTAAGAAGTAGCCCTGGTAACCGGTCCTGTATAGTATTATGCATATCAAGTTTATTACCTGAGAAAAAAATCATAAATTACGAGAGATTCTTATGAATGAAAAATTCTTAATGAAATGGGTAAAGTATTTGATAAAGTAAAAATCTGCGGGTGTTTCAATTGTAATTGCATTAAGAAAAGAGTACCTAAAACTGGGTAGTTCCTTAAGTTTTTTGATAGTTTTAATAGATTTTAGGGAATTAAAAAAATAAATATAAAATTCTATTACGTAGAAAATCGTATGTTAATTCTTGGTTATCGCTTGATCGATGGAATTTACATAACTTATAAGCATTCAATATATTTAGTACTTTCTCAATTTTATTATTCAACGTGATAAAAACGGTCTCTAATATTCCTGCCTGTATTTCATCATTTTAAGATCATTTTTATTTGTACCAACAAATAGAATACACTTTTATCATCTATACCTAATCAGATATCTTTTATCTTCTTTATTGACATTACTCATACACATATATCTTTAAATCATTTAATGCTGTTCTTTATCATTTTCAAATGTTACAGAAATAATAAATATTTGTCAACGAAACATTGAGAAACGTTTGATTAATAATCCCACTAAATAAGAGTTATACCAAAAAAATGAACCAAAAATTTATTATTTTATAGAAGTAACTACCGTCTACAAATAAGTAAATTCATTTTGTTTGTTTCATTATACTGAAGAAAAGAATTATTATACAGGATGTTCAAGAACTCGTTTCACAAAAGAAAACTGCATATTCTTGCGTTCATTTTATGCCAATTTGACAAAAATACGCAATTTTCTTTTGAAAAATGTGTTTGTGAACATCCTGTATAGTTCTTTAAATATGTTTTATGTATGAGTCATTCTCTGTTGTACCTTATTTACCAGTTATTTGACTTTACTTCTAGACCAGTAACATATATTAAGAAGCTTTGGAAGATTTCTTGCACCTCTTAAAAGCTTTTTCTTAATAGAAGATGTATTGTATTTTGGGTTTTCCACTGGAGGAAAAGACCCATCATTTGAATTTCTGAATAAAATTACAATTTTGAAAATTTACTATCTTTATTCTCTAAAGTTTCTTTCCTATAAACGAGATCTATATAAGTATTTAAATTAGACAACTGCATTCATATTATACATATGGGTACTTCAAAATGGCTAAAAGCATGCATGAATCATAAACTACAACTAGGCCATCGATACATGCGCATGAGAATAATTGGAGGCACACGCCCTAGTACTTCAAAAATTTTGGAATTAATGAAAAAATTAAAGTAAATACAACTTACCAACTTCAATATTTTAAGTACGATGGTACCCACTGTCTCTATACTTGTCATTTTTACGTATGGTCACACTTTTGAGCTGATGTTTCTCTAGAAGAATTCTCTATTAGAATAATAACTAATAACGTATTTTTGCTTGTATCAAATGATAAATGAGGTGAGACAATATAGATAATGATATTTATCTCGATAGATAAGATTCAGCTCATAAAAATTCTAGGTAGGTACAGGTATAATTACTCGCACCATCACTGAAAGTAATAAATTTCATGACAAACTGAGCAAATAAAATTTATCACCGTTTATATCTTCAATTCCACAGAATCTTGGGCGTTATTACAGGATATCAAAAATCTCGTAGTAAATTTAGAACGAAGTAAAAAAATCACTATATCACAAAAAACGAATGAGTAACAGGTTAAAGTTTGTATTTCAGCCGTATCATATTGTCTAAATATTTTTATTTGATAGGAGGTACTGTACTATTGCGAAACAATGATAAGATATACTTAAAAAATCCATAGCTACCTATAGTTTAAACAAAATTTTAGAAGCAAATTCGTTTTGCTTCTTAAATCTGACTATACAGTTAAGTGCAAATTTGTACGCAATATGGTATACATATGGGTGCATCAAAGACAATTTCCATTATTCTCATATAAAGGAAAAAGAAAGAGTGAAAATTCGGGATTGCAACTTTGTTTAATTCATAGTCCTTTGGCAATGTTTAATTAATCTCTTTCGTTTCTGAGACAAAACAATTCTATTTACTGATTACAAAGATCTTATTTCTGATGTAGATTTGCTCTTTTTACATGTATGTATAACCTTATGACCTCATTTGTTAAGTGTAAACATTAATAATTAAAATACATAAGTGAAACACAGGGTCTACAATTCATTATAGCGACTATTTCATTATCCCCCTGTATACTGAAGCAGTTAAAGATTTTTCTGGATCTTTCAAAATTAGTTAATCTTTAACATTCAATGTCTGGGCATATTCTACGAGGTGATCCAAGATCCAACAATATTAGGAATATGATTAATGCACATTATAATTTATAACAATGCATAAAAATTCAATAAGTAAATTTATTCAGTCTATTTATTTGTTCAGTTTTGAAATCTTGATTTTGTATATCATTGTATTTTGTACAAGTAATTCATATTATTTAGAGTTGGAAAAACTAGTTTGCATTTTTCCTTTCTTGGTATTTGAATTTTTCTGTCTTCTGGTAAATTCTTCTTGTTATGCTGTGACAGCTGTGAAGATAGCAACAGTTGATAATATCTGAAATATAAAACAGCATCATAATTATTACATAAGAAGATATTTCAAATTGTTTTTATTTCTTATTATTTTACTACAATCTTCAACACTTCAACTAATTGAATAGAAAAATTATTTTTGTACTGTATTATTTTTTAAATAAAACATAGGTTAGTCAAATGTCAAAATTAAATGTCATGGAACATTATTTTGACATTTTACCAACAAGACGGCAACATAAAAACAATACATTTACTTTTTACAAATATTGCAAATATATTTACTAAAAAAAATATAAGAGAGCAGTTTTTTATAAGTAGTTAATAGAATTTTGATTTCCATAAACTTTTGTCTAATAAAAATCGTTAATAATACAAATATTTCTAAAAAAAAATGGAAATTGAAACACTTATTGTTGCCAACTAGAAATTCAAAATTCCCTTAAAAATAAAAATCAACATTAAATTTATACACACCATCACACCATACATGCAATCAGAAAAAAATATCGAATTGAACGTAAAAACCGCAGAAAGACGATTCCTTAGTGATTTTCGCATTATTGATCATCACCGGATGAATATTCAACCATTTTAATGATTGTTCGCGGATGTATTTGGATCACGTTTTATTTTTTAGTTAATCAAGCACGGAAACAAATTCTATGAACTCTTCGGATTCAATAACTGACTCAGACGAAGCTTCGAGGTACGTGCGTTATATTCGTAAATGTATTAAAAACATTCAATAATGTTTTTGCAAAAACTGTTTGATTGGACCTTTTGAGGTTATGTTTTTTATGTCAATTTTGAATGTCATCATAAGAATTATTTCTTTGTTTATTTTTGTTCGAGTTATTCGAAATAACTTTTAATAAAAATTGTATTGAAATGTTGAAGGACTGACCCGGAAGCGTCGTCAAGTGCTTTCGACAACGAAACGAAGTCTACAGACAATAAGGACGAAGTTATGAAACGAGCTGCTGCGAAGAAACTCATCGAAAGGTACTTTTATCAACTGACTGATGGTTGTGGAAATCCCCAATGCGATAATAAATACTGTGCATCCAATGGAGAGGTATACACATTCGTTATAATTTTTCTTTGAAATATTATTGTAAATTTATTTCACCAAGTCCTAGACAGCAACGATAAAATTCATACGACACACTGAATAGTTAGGCAATTAGTAATAATCAGTCGTACATTTTTGCGCTATCTTTAGTTCAGAATTCCTAGTAGATAGATGTCATTAAAATTCGTTTTCAGATGAGCCCGTTAACTCCCGATGAAGCTGCCGCAAAGGCCATACAATTGTTCTCTCAGGAAGCTCGACTTTGCGAAATCCATCCCAACAAAATAGCCAGGAAACAGGGAAATATTATTAACAATACAAACGGTTCCTCTAACGAGGTTACATGTAAAACGAGTCAAACAACAAATGAATCGGAATCGCAGAGCAATTATTCGAGTAAAGATAGTTTAAAATGTAATAGTGGTGAGTTAAGTTTCGAGATTTTTGCGTGTGGTGTTTCTTATCGAGGTTTATGAATTTTAGCACCAGTACCGACATTTTTAACAGAACAAGCACTGTACGATATAATAGACGAATGCGAGGCAAATAACAGTTATTCACCGTTAATTCGAACGTTAGGCGAAATTTTTAGTAGTATCGAGAACCTTTCAAAGAGTTTTCCTCAAGAAGCAAAATCACCCAGCCAAGCATACAGCTTGGACGATGCAGGTAAGTTACTGTTTAACACAGCTTATAATTTAGGATCCTGATCCTTCTTGTTTGAGAACAATTGCTTATAGAACGATGATGGTTTGAGAATATTTGTTTTGATTCGGAAAAGCGTGGAGACCTTGGACAGCAGCCAATACTTTGTTTCAATGAAACATTTCAATAATCATTTACTGGCAAAGCTCCAAGGTTTTTTTTTGTTTGTTAAGCGAAAACGCAAAAAATATACACGCATTTATTGGATTTTACGCATCGTTGAACCCATCATTTGTTTACATTTTTTTGCGAACAAACTTTCCCGAATACATTGAACTGTAATTGTAATGTTGCAGATATAAAAGCTTTAAAGAAAGAAGAAGTGCGGACGTTGGAGGGCGAGAAGGACAAAGATGAAGACAGTTCGGCGGATTCTATTAAAAGTTCTCTGCCGCTGGTCGATGTACCTTCGGTGCGAAGGGCTTTTACAGCGCTATTTAAACTAAAAAAATCGATTTTTGAAAACGCCCTGGTAAACGCCTTGGTCACTTTAGCGGGAAATTTACAAATGGAATTGCCCACGAGAAAGGAGAGAGGAGTGAATGATGACATCGTAAACGTTCTGTTGATCGTTTTCGAGATTCCAGGCCTTTGTGAGTTCCCGTACGCCCGTAATTCCGAAATACCTTAACGTATATTAATCGGCCGCAGGTTCCGGGGATTTACTGGAAACGGCTTTGCCAGCGATATGCCGGGCCGCGCAAGGCCTTCCCATAGAAGTCCAAGCGAATTTGGCCAGGCAATGGTCGGAAGTGGCCCGATCCAGTATTAGGATTATTTTAATGAACCTTCAGCAACTGATCACCTATTGCATATTACGCGCAATGATGACGTTGATGCCGGATTTTTGTTTGCAAGATGAAAATGTCATTACTTCTGCTACAAAACTAATGAAGGTAACAAGAACGATTAGTGCTTTGTATAATAATTGTGCACTTTGTTAAAGGGTGTTAATTAATTGAGTGCTGATACTTCAGGATGTGAATATTTGGATGATTTTAAGAAGAAAAAATTATATCAATATGTATATGTCCTAAACCTCTTAGTTTTCGAGCTACAAGGTGTTAAAGTTAAAAATAATAACTTTTTTATCACAATTTTCTAATTATTCCAGATATTTCTATGAAATTTTGTACACACTTTTTAATTATTAATGAGCATTTTTTGAGGCGAAAGATTTTTAAAATTTTAATCAGTGACTAAGGGGTTTGAACTGAATATGTTTGCAGAAAAAATGGTAAGTCACTGCTTTTTCTAAAAACCAAAATTTTAAAATCCTCATTTATTTTGTAGCAAATTCGGTCCGAAGACTTACTTTCGTATGACGCACCATTTTCGCGTAAAAAAATAAAAACCAAAACAATTTTTTCCCAAGTTCATTAAAAAACTAACCACCAAAAAATTATGACATAAAACCGTTTAAAGAACACAACATTTCTTTTATATTAGTCTTCTATTTCTATATTTCTTTCATTAAATTCTTCTATTCCTTTCTTCAAATTATTTCATTCATTTCTTCTACATTACCTTGTGAAAACGCTCGGAGAGCTACCAAGCAACTTCTTATTGAAGAAATTTGGGTATATTTTACATTTTTTACAATAATAAACTCAAAGAAACTCTTCTGTAAAATTTAACAAAACCGCCATACGTATTAAGTTACGGTATCTAATCACAGATACGTTAATATAAATGTTTTTTTTTTAGATTTTGTACTACGCCAATTTGTTGGCCGGCGTATTAGAATCGCCCGAGCTGAGATGCCATACTCTGTCCGATTCGACGGACGGTTTGTTGATAAAACCCAAAAATTCGCTGCCTTCTGATCTGTTGGCCGACGAATTGGGCGTTCATGTGCTGGATTGCAGAACGCCCTACATACCGTTTTCGGAATTTTACCACGAACCCCTTAGCGAAGCCGTCGAAATGGATAGGGACTTTGCTAACTATAAAAGTGAAACAGGTATTCGTATGAACCCATGTACGTCCCCTATTTACCCTTCCAACGGCGAATTGCATGTACTGCTACTAGTCAGGAAAAGTGCTGCATATTTCCTAAATTTGAAGTCTACACTGGCCCAAATGGCCCAATTATGCACGCTATATCTATTAGAGAATTGGAAAAACTCATGTAGACTTGACATTTAGAAAATATGCAGTATATTTCCTGATTGATACCAGTAAAATGCAATGTATAGTAGCCTATGTGTAGTATTAATTTATGTACTTACTAAACTGTTTGATTAGCGAAAACTCATCGATGCCATTTATATTTTTAGGTAAATTCAGTTTTATGCATTACCCCTTCATCCTTACACCTGCCACAAAGACGATGGGATTGTATTTCGACAACAGGATACGAATGTACTCGGAGAGGAGAATCAGTTTCCTGCAAGCCGTCACCGGTTTGCCGTCGCAGCCTTTTTTGAAATTGAAAGTCAGGAGGGATCATATCATCGACGATGCTTTGGTCGAAGTACGAAAAAAGTTTATTAGCCCGGTCAAATTAGGCACATAACGGGAAACATTTCGGAAATTGTGAAATTTGGCGCATACTATATTATCCACTATTTCCTTTTTTTAATAAGTGATTAAATAATGTATGTATAACTGAGGCAACTTTCAGATCTCCGAAATGTTACCCCTATTTTGGCTAATTTGAACAATGTACACCAGATGCATTGTAAACGTCTCGTTTAATTTTAGCTGGAAATGATATCGATGGACAATCCGAGCGATTTGAAAAAGCAATTGGTCGTCGAATTCGAAGGGGAACAAGGCATCGACGAAGGCGGAGTGTCTAAAGAATTTTTCCAATTGGTCATCGAAGAAATATTCAATCCGGATTACGCGATGTTCGTCATCCAACCGGAATCCCAAACGACTTGGTTCAATCCCACCAGCTTCGAGAGCGACGCTCAATTCAAGCTCATCGGGGTGGTTTTGGGATTGGCCATATACAATAACGTCATTTTGGCTGTAAATTTCCCAATGGTGCTATATAGAAAATTGATGGGAAGACGGGGCAGTTTCGAGGATTTGCAGGATTGGAATCCTGTAAGTGTAATCGCTGCGGGTTTTTCGGAATGAAACATTATAATTTCGTTTTCCCGAAGGTGCTGTATAATAGTTTAAAACAACTTTTGGATTATGAAGAACCGAATTTCGAAGATGTGTTCATGCTCACTTTTAGGATAAGTTACCAGGACGTTTTTGGTTCCACGATCAGCTACGACTTGAAGCACGACGGAGACAAGATACTTGTAACGCAGGAAAATAAATATGTAAGTTGCTCAAATTGACCATTTTTGAATTTTATTCATTCATCGGCCATCTCGTGTCCATTTTTTGGAAGTAGACCTCCCTCGTGTTTTCCAATTACTTCTTCAAGTTATCGATCCCTAACTTTTATTTCGAAATAATTTGGTCTTCTGGTACGCGTAATTTTTGAAATTAATTTAGTAAATAATCCATATTTTGATTTTTTAGGAGTTCGTAGACATGTACGCCGATTTTTTATTAAATAAATCTGTGGAAAAGCAATTTTCAGCATTTTATAGAGGCTTTCAAATGGTAGTAGACGAATCACCACTCGAACTGCTTTTCCGTCCCGAGGAAATCGAGCTGTTAATTTGTGGAAGTAAAGTAAGTCCATTTTCAAACGATAAATTACCAAGTACAGTCGGTGCAAAACAAATATCAATGCACGTCACCTATAATTTACTGCGTCACAAATAGGCAGCTTTGCCGAACTAGAGTTTACAAAATCTAAGAATTTCCTAAAACTGTCAAATGGCAAAATGAGAAGAACAAAAATTGAAAATTAGGGGTACCTGTTTCACGTTGATAAAAGGCGGACGTATTCAGGGGCTCATATTTAATAGTGCAAGTCAAAAAAATAGTGTACAATTGACCCTTAAAAGAGTACATAGTAAAATTTCTGAGAAAACTTCTGAATCTTAATTATTTAGAGCTCAAATTTGTGTCACAATGCTTGGCAAGTATGACGACAGTAGTGACGTGCATTGATATTTGTTTTGCACCAACAATATCTTTATTCTATTGGAATTATCGAATTTTCTGTCGTGTTATTTCAGAACTTCGACTTTGATGAATTGGAACTATCGACCGAATACGATGGAGGCTATTCAAACGAAACGCAGATCATCAAAGATTTTTGGTCGGTGGTTCACGCTCTGTCGATGGAGGATAAAAGGAAGCTCCTTCAGTTCACGACGGGTTCCGATAGAGTCCCTGTGGGCGGATTGAGCAAATTGAAACTAGTCGTGGCCAAAAACGGCCCGGACTCCGACAGATTGCCCACCGCTCACACGTGTTTTAACGTTCTTTTGCTACCGGAGTATTCTTCTAAAGAAAAACTCAAAGATCGGCTGGTCAAAGCGATTAACTATTCAAAGGGTTTTGGCATGTTATAAAACACACCGCTGTATTTTTTTGTGATTAAGTAGAGTATATTCAGTTACTAATAAATGTAATATTTGTTTTCAATATAATTGTAGAGCCCAGTCAAATAATTTTATGTTTATTATTTGTGCTCTTTTTTTTGTAATTGTGTATTTAGGAATAATTTAAATTGCAAAAAACAGGGATAAGTACTGTAAAATGTACTGTACTTATTACATAAAAAAAATGTTTGTCTTTGACAAACATTTAAGGTCTACTTATCAGTTTTCAAATTGTACATAGATTTGCTCTAATAAAGGTACTGTAACTAAATTCTAAACACGATTTAATAATAGTAGCTCTAACACAGCAAAATTCGTTACATTTCAGTACCTTTCTTGTACCAAAACTCATGTATCAGAATGTTTTTATTTTATTTATGCACTCGCTGTGATCCATAGATCAATCGAAACGAAAACTAACCACCTGGTTCATTTTCATTTCTTTAAAATTTTGATTTCCAATACAAGTTCCAAAAAAAGTTCGAGTTTTCTTAAACCTACAGCAAAGTAAGCTCTCTCAGTGGTGGTTACACTAATTAATTAAGTAACATTAGAATCGTTAAAGTGTATAATTGTATATAAAGATTACTACAAAATAAATTTACTATTAGAATATAACATAAAAAAATTATGTCGGAGCTATTCTAATTACTAAATCAATGCATATGTGTACGATGCGTATAAAAATTAATTTAACGATACTTTTATAATACATATGTAAGCGAATACAACGGAATGAAACGATGCGTTATTTCTTTATAACCTCGGTAAATAAATAGTTATGAAGCACAACAAAATTAGTTTCGAAAATCTTATTAATGAGAAGTAATAAATAAATTTGCAAACTTACGATTTTTGAAAGAGTGGCGTCTTTAAGAAATTTGCTCACACATAAATACAAAACTGTTAAAAACTCTGTTGTATTTATGCAAAGTCGTTAGGAAGGTTATATTATATAAAAGATTATCATTTTAAGATTACTTCAAATCTTAAATATCTATACTAATTAATTAAGAATACGAATACTGCATTTAAATATGTATGGAAGGTAGAAAGGGAAAACTTTCAAAAAATTGTAAGTTTTATAAAAGAAACTTTGGTATTGATGAATGCAAAAGTGACTAATCGTAAATACTAATGTTACAATATTTATAACAAAATGAATCACAAGATATTTAATGTTATAAACTTAACGTTTACATTTTTATATTTCATCTTAGCGCTATAAAAATGTCAGTCGTATAATATGAAATTATAGATCTTGGTAAATTTACGAATTTGAATGAATAGATATGAATATATTCAAGTGATACGGATATAGAGTTATTAAAATTCTACGATTTATATAAAAAAAGCTAAGAAACATTGGCCTTTTGCTGAGCAAAAGTCATTACAACCGCTATATAAATGCTTTATTCTCAAAAAATATTAATTTTAATCCTTGGCATTCACATTTCACACAAGCACCTTTTTTCTTACTATCAGACTTATTTCAAATTCAATTCGATCACAACACCTGTCTCCGTGCAGGTACAATTGCAAGTTGTATTTTCAACACTTAAAGGTTTAAAATTAATAAATCCATTCTATTCACAAAACCAATTAAAAGTTCGAAACATTTATAAAATGCCGATTTTTTATAGTTTACATCAACCTCGCTTCTCAATCAATAAGCAATGCTTTTTCAAATACTTTAAATTTCAAACAAATTTATAAAGTTAAATACATAATTAACATAAACCACCAATATTTAGAAACAATCCTTATTAAAAATTTAGTATGCTAGATTCTCGTATTTATGATATGCTGTAGATAATATTAACAAATATTTCAAAAAAATAAGAAGAAAATTGATTAATCTTGTAAGAATCAAAAGAAAACGAAATAAAGCTTAAAGCAGCTTTTAAAAATATCCAAAAAAATAAAATATCAAACTCAAAATCGTGATTATCACTAATCTAATAAAAAAAACTAATAATGAAAGAGATGATAAATGACTATTAAACTAATTATAAATATAGGCATTTTTTAAAACCATTCCTCGAAGAAGAATTGTTATTTACTAAATTAACAATGTTGATAATATTAATACAATTTTGTTTAAATTAAAAAATAAGTATTCAGTGAAAAATTTTGTGCGTAAGTATTAGTTAAAATTTGAGAATACATAAAATGTTTAATGAATGACGAAACTTAATAAATAATATATTAAATGAAAATATATTAAATTCATGACCACTATTATAAAATGGTCTTAAACATGTAAACAACGTAAAATTAAAAAAAAAATTCGTAACGGATCATGTTATCCCCTTTACCAAACTGATCTAACAAATTACCCTTATGTTCGCCATCCGGAAATAAATCGGATTATGGATGGAAATCTAGCTCTCTAATCTAGGGGATGATTACGGGATGCCTAATACTCTCCTCAATGCTAAATCCACAACATTCGGTCCAAAATAATAATTATACGAACAGGAAACCGTCCTTAGACAATGGATACAACTGTTATCTGCTCAAATTCACCAAAGAATACCATTCGCTGGTTTCCTCTCGCAAATCCAGCGTGCCCAATTCCAATTCCACACCGCCCATGAATTCATTCTCTTGCAATGTCTCGTAACTCCACACCGTCGCTTGGATGCGCCTCAATTTTATTATCTCCAATGCCATGCGGTACTCGAGCTAAACATATCGTCAAATTACAATCGTGAGATAGTTCATGTTACAAAACTTACCATTTCCATGAAACTGGGATGGCAATTCTTTTTCACCACCTTCGTTTTTCGCTTGGTGTTCTTCTGGGGATCGGGCAATAGGTAGACTTTCACGTAGGTGGAGGGCTCCTGGCCGTTGGTAGATCGAGGCAATCCCCTGGCGTGATGCACCATCACGCTGAATACGCCTTTCCTGTATTGCAAAGACAATTTCAATTGCCCTTTGAGCCGACCGGAATCCAATTGGAAATCCCGATCTAAAATTAAAAAAAAGATATATCATATACAATGCATCGTATCTAAGGATTAACGGAATTAATTCAGAAGTAATCGATCGTTTTGTTGAGGTAAACGAGATAAAGGTATGATATAAATAGTATAATTCGAGTGCAAATTTAAATAATTCAGCTCGCGAAAAATTATTTGGTTTTATTTACCTCTATCTTTCTTGGAAAATTCCTCGGAAAATTGTTGATCCCTTAGTAGCGGGTGGAAAAACGTATAAACTAAATCGGAATGAGCTATTTCGTGAGCGCACAAGAATAGAGATTTAACGAAGAGGCTGATTTCGTTAAAGCGTTTTTGAGCCACCTGTTTAATGTTTGAGCGACCCATATGAAGACCAGTGGATAAACTGAAACAATAAAATTCTATTCATAACAGAGTTTTGGTTATGGAAAATTCAGAAGGCGATGTGATAACATTTTTCCTCTATAAAATTTTGACTATTTTCCTCCAGTATACAGGGTGTTTCTGAAATAAGTGGTAAAACTTTGGGAGTAAGTAGAGAACCTCAAAATATGACAAAAACTTAAATTTCAGATACACCCTGTATTTTTATTTATAGTATTCTTCTTCCTTATGTATTGTTCAACACAATGACCAGTATTCTCCCTACTTTTTACGCCAATCATTTAAAGAATCTCTTTAACTTGACAGTTGTACATTTTTGTTAAGGAATAACTGATTGTCATTGTTTATCTTAAAGAAACTCTTTAAACGATTGATTAGCGTTAAAAATAAGCTGTAAATGTGGGCCAATGCATTTAAAGTGAATAAATTATAACGCTTTAAAGAATACAATTAATATGTAATCTCATCGAATCCTATAATAGCTGATAAGGCTACACAAAATTTTGTATTGTTTATGAATGTAATCTTCGAAATAGATAATAATCCGTCGATAGCGATTATAGCGATAATAATTTGTAATCGTTCGAGTAATTCGTCACCTTCTTTGCAGGAAATCGATGTAGCGATATTAATTCGGTAAGGAGAAATGGGTTTGTTCAGTGGTTTTAGGGCAAAATTTACCCGCGATGCTCCGCCTAAAAAGAGCAAAAAAACATTGCAAACCGGAGTGGTGGCTTTAAACATTAAGTTCACATCGGAATTCGACTTGCCTAATAGTAAGTAAAAACTTATTTAACGTATTCATTCAATAAATATGTTTATTTTCATTTATTTAAATTAAGTTCTTTACATGGTAGTAGGTAAAGTAGAGTTTATTCTCAAATCTACAAAGGTTTTTATAAAAAATAGATTCTAAGGAATATAATCTATATCTGATATAAATCTAATAGTATATGTAATTGCATACTAAAGTACTATAAGTATAATAATAATTGTAAAGAAGTATTTTTAAAAAGTGTTCAAAAGGTGTTTGATTAAGTTATACAGGGTGTATCTATTTAACACCGAAAAAATTTAAGGTGATTTTGTGATGAAATTTAAGGTGGGTACCACCGTGTAAAAAAGCTCTTAGAATATTGTGCAATAAATTTTTTCCTATAAAATCTACCTGTACATGATTTTTTTTAAATTACCGAACGGAACTTAGGTACTTTCTGTACACAACTAGTATTTCATAATTGCTAAATGAGAGAAATAACTGTTAAAAAACAGAATTGTAAGTGGTCTTATCATTTATTTGCAAGGCAAAAAAATATCCCGATCACTAGTGTTACTATTTATTATTTTCGTATTTTCAGGTTCCTCTCCCACAAGCAATGGAACCAAACCAACGACATACCGCATACCACTAGCCCGATCGGAAACATTCGAATCCAACAGAAGAAATTTACTAGAAAAACTAAAAAGCAAATCCCTAACAAACATTTCGCCATCCGAAAGCAAAGAGCCCGAACTCCCAACGACGGCCCCCAAGAAATCGTCTCTAAAAAAGACGCAAAGTTTCCAACAACCGCGAGTTTCCACCGAAGAGCCCAATTCGACGTACGTGGAGCCGAATTCGCCCGTCAAAAAATCGAATAGCGCCCGAGAAATCAGCAGAACATCTCAAGAGGACGAATATAATTACACCTACACGGACCCATCTGATGGATCGCATACTTACGAAAAAATCTTCTACAACGAAGACCCTTCTCCTCTGATAATGATGACTCAACACGAACCCGAAATCCGCTCGCCTGATTTCGATCGATTCGAGCAATCCAAACCGGTACACGATCCGGAAATACTCCACAACAACACCGAGGATTTCGATTTTAAATCCGAACCGGTACACGTTCCGGAGATAGTTCACAACAACGACGAGGATTTCGATTTCAAAATCAACGTCGTGCAACACGACAGGAATTACACGTCGGAGGACGAGTTGTCTTACGTCGAAGACGAGTCACCTTACGCGGAGGACGAGCAACCGCCGAGCTTCGTAGGCTACAGTAGCCAAGCTGCTAATATATTCTTCGGCGGAGGGGCGGACGTGCCGCCGGCCGCGAGACCGAGGAGGAATAAACTTCAAATTAGAAGCGATAGTTACGAGGAAATGGATTGCTGAACATTCGATCGGAGTAAATTGAAGATTGATATTTTTAGTGCGTTGGAATTTATTGAAGGATTCTAATTGTAAGCTGATTTTGGTGCAGTAGAGAAGGTGAAATTAAGTTCAAATTAATGTTTTTTTTTATTTATCATATACAGGGTGTATGATAAACCTGTACCTTGAAAGTGCAGTTAATGAAGTTAATTAAGTAACAAATTAAAAAAAATATCTCAGGAATACTGAAACTTAACAAATTTGGTATAGGTTGCGAGTGTGCTAAGAGCATTAACCGATAGTTATGGGAGATCAATTGATTTATTTCAAATTGTTCATCAGGGATGATGTTTCTTTAAAATATTACAGGTTTTTTATCTGATGAATGATTTTAAAAATTTATTAGTTAATTTCATAGGCATTTTCATTAAAAATTTTTGTTATTCTCTTCCTTTTTTAAAATTTTTTATCGTTTCGATTAAAAACGCTAAAAATAAAGTCATGTACTCTATCAATGTTACTTAAAATCGTCGATAATTCAAAGGTTGGCTGAATTAATTTAAAGTTGAAGGTTAAACAAGATATTTTAGGCTCCCTTACACGTCCCTGCTCTTATGAGGGACACCCTGTATTTGTTTTTTTATTTTGTAAATTATTGATATTATTACAAATTGCTTAGGATGTAAAATTATTCTATGCAACTTACCTGTGTAATTTGGCGAGCGGAAAATAAATGCACAATTTCTGATGTAGTTCACAAAATTCCTTGTACGTCCTCTGAATCTCCATGTGCTGGTTTTGGTCCTTCCTATACACCCTCAGAATATACACGTAGTACTTGTCAGGGTTGTATCTTTTTTTATAATTCACTACCTCGACGTGAACTAATTGCCCGTCAGTGGTTAAACTGAAAAACAATATCTTAATTGCACGAAAATTACAAAAAAAAACCATCTTATCGATTGTCGATTTCGATTTCCACTACTTACCTATAAGTCTTTGGTACGAACGACAACAGTGATCCCTCATTGTTGTCAGCGGAGAACTTGAGCTGGGCTAAATTGTGCAAGAAGAAATTGAATTGGGTAAATCTAGTTTTTAGAGATTCTTCGATGAGGCGCGTAAAGTAAGCGGCTGCTTCGGGATTGGAGAGTTCCGGTAAGAGGGCTTTGTGCATGTAGCCGATGGATTCCGGAGTGATTCTGCATATTCCCGATGAAGTAATCTGGAAAATGAAATAAAGAAGGATCGGATTGAATCAGATTGAAAACAGACGTACGGGGTGTCCCCCATAAGAGTTTATAGGGAGCTCAAAACATGTTGTTTAACACAACTTAACTTAATGCAAACTTATATTCCTGAGAAGTTTGAGGCCTTAAGAGAGGTTAAAAACATTAAAAAAATATTAAAAAGATTAAAAAAAAGATTAAAAAATATTATCTCAACTAAACTAAATTTGGTATACGTTATGAGTGTACTAAGAGCATTAATCGATAGTTAGGAGAGATCAATTTAAATGATTTAAAGGGTTTTTCAAGGATGATGCTCCCTTAAAATGTTACAAAACTTTTTTATTTGATGAATGATTTAAAAAATTATTAGTTCATTTCATAGGTAATTTCATTTAATTTTTTTTTATTCTTTTCGTTTTTTAAAATTATTTATCGTTTCGATGAAAAACGCTAAAAACAAAGTCATGTACTCTATCAATGTTACTTCTTAAAATTGTCGATAATTCAAAAGTTGGCTGTATTCATTTAAAGCTGGAGGTTGAACAACACACTTCTCTACACTCCTACGCTCTGTGTCGATTCTTTCGCGGGACACCCTGTACATTCAATCGACAAGTTTAACACAATGCTAAATTATTATTAACTCACCAAAAATAAAAATAAATTTCTGTTATTTCTAATAATATTAAAGGCTTGGCAACACAAATCGACGAATTGGTGAAATTTCTCCGTTGGTCTGTCACCACCGTTTATAACGTACGCCATATCGGAGGTTAAAACGAAAGGAGCTCGGTCTCTAAAAAAATAAAACCACTTTAAAATTGCATTTTTGCGTTAAAAATAAAAAACCTCTACGACCTTTTGAAATTTCCAAACATCTGCGCGTCGCCCAAAAACTTCCCGAAATCGATATGGAACAGATGCCCTGAGGTTTTTAACATAATATTATCGTTGTGCCTGTCGCCGATACCCAAAATGTAAGTTATCACACAGTAACCAGCGCACGAAGCTAAAATATAACAAATTAAAAAAAACTATATAATTTTCATTAAAAAGTATAGAACAAACCAGCCTGAGTCAATCAAACTATTTACATTTGAGCAAACTTTAAGTGGAATTGTGATATTTTACTGAATCTGATTGAGTCTTGAAATAATACAAACCTGTGAAATTTTGCACAGCCCTCGTATATTCCAATTCAGAAGGATTATGCTTAGCTAACCATTCCGCGATCGGCTTGTCTTTAAACGAACCAGTCAAACCATGTTCTACTTGAATTTTTCTCAATGTGTCCGCTTTAGTCACCATTTCAATCATACCTAATGCATATAAAATGTAAAATATAACTAACTTTCTTCGATTAACCTACAAGGTGTCCCGCATAAGAACCGACACAGAGCAGAGGTGTGCAGGGAAAATAATATGTTTTTAGGGCCTAAAATATGTTGTTTATACAGCCAACTTTTGAATTATCGACGATTTTAAGTAACGTCGATAGTGTATAATACTTTATTTTTTAGCGTTTTTCATCAAAACGACAAAGAATTTTAAAAAACAAAAAGAATAAAAAAAGTTTTAAAATGAAAATACCTATGAAATGAACTAATAATTTTTTAAATCACCCATCGGGTATGAAAAACCTGTAACATTTTAACGAAGCTTCATCCGAGATGAACCCTTTAAAATACATCAATTGATCTCTCCTTATTATCGATTAATACTCTTAGTACACTCATAAAGTTGAGTTAAACAACATATTTTGGGCTCCCCTACACGCTCCTGCCCCTGCTGGACACCCTGTATATTGCTACTAAGTACCCTTTTTCCTCGATGTCGGTACGCAAGTAAAGGAAACCATCCTCAAATCCAAGCCCTTGCTCAACCACAATTTGTCCATCAACCTGATCATTTGCAACGTCAACATATCCTGCTGCAAATCGTCGCCCACTTTGTATATAGCCGCTCTGATCGAACTGTCCTCCATGAGGAAATTGATTTTCAACGGTAACGTATTGGAAGGGAAATACGAACAAGACTGGATATCGACGCCGACGACGCGGAGCGTCGGCGACAACGGTAAACTAGTAGGCGTCTCGTTTAGATCTTTGTGGATTTGTCCCAAGGCGTTGTGGAGGACGGTCAAGCGATGAGATTCTTTGGTTTTTTGGACTTCTTCGGCTATGTCGTTCAATTTCTGGAAGGCAATAACGTATAATATGCTACAATTATGCTGTTGCATTAAATTCTACCTTCACTAAAGATTGCTGGTATAAAAAGCAGTCGCCTAAAGATTTGCCGCATATAGCTAACAACGCCCTTAATAATAATTTCAGTCTTCTGTGGTGCCTGAATTCACTCACACCGATCTCCGCCAGGTCCTTGTTCCGTACTTCCGAAGAAAAATTCTGCAAATAATAACTTACTTATCCATTCGACGGTAAATTAAAACCCGTACCTGAGGCGAATCGCCCGGCAAACTGTGGCACAACAACCAGAAGAGGTAATGGGCGAACCTCGGCGACCTCAAGGCCTTGTCCAACAGGAACTGGGCCAGCGGGGAGTTCTCGTACGTTTCGTGTCTCAGAGCGACGACCAATTGCGGCAAATAATCCACCAGCTCGTCGTCGCCGAGGCCCCTTATCCATCTGATCGCCATTTTCCTGACCTCCAGGTCCGGGTAGACCGGAAGCAGCAGCTCCAACGCCTGTATCGGTTTCAGTTCCTTCCACGTGTGCACCATGCCGTGGAGATCGGGAAGTTGCACGTATTCCCAACTGTGCGCCGCTAGCAATACTTTCGGCAGCGCCGCCGGGAGGTGGTACAAGTAGTGTCGTTTTTCCCATAGAATCTAAACGCACGCAGAATTGTTATAAGAGCGTTTTAAATGGATAAAGTACCAGTAAAAAGAGTTACAAATTAGGCCTGGTATGGAATTCGGAAGATTACTTAAAGAGTTAGTAACTTGTAAATTGGGTAGTACTGGATAATAATTCTTTAAGTATTGACATTTGGACAAAAGTATATAAGGCGTTTTCGATTTAAAATTGACCGAGGAATACCCTCCTAAAACAATAAGCTACGTCTATCGAGTCACGGGACACCCTGCATAAATTTGTATAAGGAGCTCTTCCCATATACATAAAGATAGAATCGAGTTAGAGTGACTGGTTGGCGACAGAAATTAAAAATGCTTTTCTAGGGCATACAGAGGTACATAGACGTAAAAAAAATCGCAAATCGACCTCTTTTCGCTAGCTAAATTCGTTTTTTTTTTCGTAAATCGAAAATAAAAGTAAAATTTTTGACAGATATCTAGATGAATTATTTGATGGACGTTGTCCCGTTAATTTGGTTTAAACGGAACTACACCGAAATGAGAGACTTTTCCGTTATTTAGACAATTTCGTCGCTTTTAATGGACGAGAATAAAAGAAATTGCAATAATTTGCAAAAATATATGTTTCTTGGTCATTTGTACTTACCAAAAACGGAGAAACGATCAAATTAATTTTAAAAAACCTACACTAATGACAGCGGCGAAGAACAAACTTCGAACTGTCAAAGTTGTCATTTCCGTTACTATGGGATACGTTGACATATAATTTGATGTACATGGGGTTTTTCATTAATGAAATCAGAAAAATTGATATACGGGGTGGTTTCTTATCTTAAATGAAAAAATATGTAAATTTAAATTAAAATATAGTACAGGGCGATTCGTTTTTAAGGAAACGTTAATATGTTATAATAAACCCATATAGTGAATAACTGTATGAAATACCTCTCTAATTTCAGGAGAAAATCTGTACAACAAATCCTGATCGCAAGCGTCCACTAACAATTGCTGGGTTTCGTTATCCAAACTCAAGAAATCCCCCTTCGTTATGTTGTTGTATAAATCCGTCGACATGGAAGGGAACTGGATTTTAGTCGGTGTAACGATTTCCACGCCGATCACCGAATGATCAGGATCAGGATGGATCCCATTGGCGGGCGCCGGCCCGTAGATGTGATCGTTAATATAATTCGACTCCTTCGGCCATATCGATAGCAACAAACTGCCTTGTATCATTGTACTAAAAAAGCGTTGGTTAGAAAATTATACAGTGTGTTAATAATTTGAGTGCCGATATTTCAGGATGTGAATATTTAGATTGTTTTAAGAAGAAAAGTTTATAACAATATATGCCCTAAACCTCTTAGTTTTCGAGCTACAGGGTGTTACAGTTATGAAAACACAAAGTAAAAAAATTACTTTTCTATTGCAATTTTCTTATTACTCCAGATATTTTTTTGAAATTTTGTACACACTTTTAAATTATTAACGAGCATTTTTTGGGTAGCTCGAAAACTAAGAGGTTTAGGAGATATATTGATATAAACTTTTCTTCTTAAAACCATCAATTAACTCAATTAATTAACACCCTGTATAATAGTAATAAATCGAAATCGCCGCACCTATCGTAGTTAAAAAATTGAACCGCGGCCCATCCGATTTCTTCTTCCTTATAGGTAGGAGCGCTGGAATTTTTATTCTCCTCGCTGTCGGAGGTCACCAATGTTCGACCGAAGATTTGCAAGACCAAACGAGATTCTCGAGCCAGGCTGTTTATGGGCACGTCCTCGAATTCTAACCTGCGTAATGGACTCACCGATTAATCGAACAAGTTTTATAGAGCGATAAATCGCGCCTACCAACAGTCGAAAATAATTCGAGACGGCCAATATTTGTCCCTTTCTAATTTCTTCGTCGGTTGAGTGCACAAGGACCTGCCGATTTTCCTCGTACCGTGGTAGATTTGCGCTGCTATGGTGTACTCCTCGTGCTCCCAATCGAACGACGGTCTGTATATTGCGCAAACGCGTATCACTACGGAGTCTACTATATCGTGGACGTATCGCATAGCTAAAAAAATTTAAGCCTTCTTAAAAATTCTATTATTTTGGGTTATCAAGTTAAGAAAATTTTGCGGAATAGGAATTGTAGAACTTATTGGCAATGTTATTGATGATAGACAAGTCTTGATGTACTTATGAAACTATCCAGTGCAAGATTGTTCAGTCTGATTCTGGTATTCGACTGATATAGAAGCTTTTTTATAGTACTGTTTTTGTAACTAGTGTAGGGGTGCATTGTGACTATAAAACATTAATCACAATGCACCCCTACTACAGTTGGTGCAAAACAAGTATCAATGCACGTCACCTATAATTTACTACGTCACAAGTAGGCAGTGTTGCCGAACTTTTATAGAGTTTACAAAATCTAAGAATTTTCTAAAATTGTCAAATGAAAATATGACAATAACAAATTGAAAATTAGAGGTGCCCGTTTCACGTTTCTAAACGGCGGACGTATTTAGGGGCTCACTATAATTACTCATAAAATTCCTTCATCATCTGAAATATATTTAACAGTGCGAGTAAAAAATTTAGTGTACAATTGACCCTTAAAAGAGTACATAGTGAAATTTCTGAGAAAACTTCGGAATCTGAATTATTTAGGGCTCAAATTTGTGTCACTATGCTTGGCAAGTATGACGACAGTAGTGACGTGCATTGATATTTGTTTTGCACCAACTGTACCTAAAAATACGCCGAGTTTCCAGACCTGTATGTATCACAATTTAACAAAAGCATCGTTTTTGTTTCGAGAGCCTCCTTAAAAAAATACTTACATTCTGTAGATGAAGAATTTTTAACTTCAAAATTAACGCAAAACGCCTGAGAATACATTTCTATCAAATTCTGCACGGCGAATCGAATTTTGTTGCAATTGTTGTTTACTAATTCCGAAAAAGATGTGCCCTACAGAAAATATAGAAATAAATAAACTTATTATGTCCCCAATTAATCTGAAACTTACATTCGATGGTAGAAAGTTCCGACAGGCCTCGTCCAAGGCGTCGACGGTCACCATAATGTCCAGCGTGCACAAATCTCCCATTAAATTAACGATGCATTTCACCGATTGGATGACTTTCAATGGTTGAACGGCCGGCATAATTGACGAGTTACTGCTTCTTTCCATTTGAAGTACAGCGTCTTCGAGTTTTTTCATTTCGCTTTCAAGCGTTTCTGAAAATGAAATCTGGTTATAAACGCGCATTGCTGTGAAGGTCGTTCAATTCCCTTTATACATTTATTTATTATCATCTAAAATGAAAATCTAACCATCCGTACCCTAACTATGAATTTTTTATAACCAGGAAACTTCTTGATCGCTATGCAGGGTGTTAATTAATTGAGTGCCGATACTTCAGGATGTGAATATTTGGATGATTTTATGAAGAAAAGTTTATATCAATGTATGTCCTAATCCTAAACCTTTTAGTTTTCGAGCTACAGGGTGTTAAAATTTTAGAAACTTTTCTTCTTAAAATCTTCCAAATATTCACATCCTGAAGTATCGGCATTCAATTAATTAACACCCTATATTTTGAATTCGAAGCACCGTTTTTAAAAACAATTTTATTGTTACACAATGTATCGAACCATTGAAGTTTGGAAGCTTGATGACGGGTAAAGTTAAATTAACAAATCTAGAATGCTAAATTCAAATAAAACGATTACACATTATAAAATACGAAAAACAAAAAAATAATGTAATAAGGATTTTCTGGATATCTCCTGGATTCGACCGGACGTTCCTTATCTACGTTGAGTGAAAGAATTATACAATTCCAATTATATCTTTCATTCACTTTATCAATCATTTCATTATCTATGAAACCTTGCATTTCTCCACACGTAACTGCGGTGTATTTATCAGCAAGCGCATGTTTCCCCCTTCGCCCTACAACTTTCGAAAAACCTTACCGTTACCGGTACCGATTGTTTTTTAGTGCGAATTGTATTGTGTTGTTTATAACGTTGGGGTTAAATAGATTTTTTATTGTTTTAGTTCTTAGTGTTCCTCTAAGTTTGGTTAGTTCTTATGCTACGCGTTCAATGGGATTATTAATAAACAATTACAAGAACTTCGTTATTTTTCAACAACAAGATAGGTGAGCTAATATTTCTTTCGCTAATATTTTGTCGATTCTAACCTATGGTGAAAGCGATCTATCGCGCGGTCGGAGGGGTTTCAACTTTCAACCGATGTACAGGACAGCAGTTATTTAAAATATTTTTAACGTTTCAAATTTTGTTTATTATAATTTTCTTAGAAAAACAAAATCTGCGAATCGGTCTCAAACCATGTGAACTACCACCCCTAGAATTTAGTGAGATAAGTTCGAGAACACCCTGTATTGATAAAAACTTTTCTTCCTAAAATCAACCAAATTTTCACATTCTGAAGTATCGGTACTCAATTAATTAACACCCTGTATAGTCCCATATAAGAGGTTTGTTCCAACTTTACGGTTGCTGTTTACGGTTCTTGTATAGTGCCTGTATCGGTTTATGAACGATATATATTGCGCATGCTCAGGTTTGAATGGTTTTGAAATCGGAAAGAAGTTGACTCTTTTAAAACTGTTAATCCCACGGTCGTATAATAAGAGATAGGTCGGGCAACTCATGTTCAAAATGTGTTGCGGATGATGTGACTCTCGACAGACGGCGCTAGTATAGGGTAGTGTTGTTCAATTGTACGTTTATAACGCCAATTTTCCTTCATTCCACTATTTTGCCTTACAAATATCATTTTTATTTAATTTAATTTGACGATAATTTCATGTACCGAAGTGTATTGAGAACCCTACACGACACTAGCGTTCCTAGCGGATTTTCCGTGAACCTTTAAACCAAAGTCACAATAACACTTCCTATAATACAAAATAATCAGAGTGTCCAGACCTACTAAATAATACACGGCCGTGGTTGATACTGTATGACAATTTGAAGTTTAGATGGTTAGGCTAACCCACGGTCGTATTTTTCTAAGATCTGGAAACAACCTATGCTTATGCATTAGAGAATGTATTCCGTTATTTGAAGGCTCTTTGAGCTTCACTTTTGCGCCGCACCGTGGCGAACGATCAAAGAACCAACTTATCACAGCCAATCAGCGTCGCGCTACATATAAATCGCGGTTGTCAGACGACAGTTCAAGCTGTCAAAACTTCAAAAAATTGTGAATCGATTGACCGTACAGAAACTGTTTTGGAACAACTCATTTTTTAGTTGGAACGAATTATGAATCAACTCGTAATCGTCCAGATTAAGTTGGAACGCTTGGATCGTAACGCGCATGCGGTGTACCGTTACTGAATAGTATTGCAACGAGTCAAAAATCACCTAATAATATATTTAACTCTTCGTAGGAAATCCGAATGGCCATATCGTTCGGTACGATATTCTCGAATTTCAACGTTTCATCGTCGTTATCATCGGCAACCTGCAATCACACAATGTAAATTTCGTAACGAAGAACGGATGGTAAGCAACCCACCGTCCTGGCGAAGGATTTATCCTTCTTAGAATCGGGAATCAGGATTAAAACGACGTCCTCGTCGAGCTTAATGCAGTCGTGAACGTACTCGTATTCGCTGAGGAACGTCGTCGGTACCAAGTACTCGTTGCTGCCCCAAATTTTTAGAGTGTATTGAGTGTTGGCCGGCGCGTCGAGGCCGTAGGTCAATTGCAAAGTAACGTGTTCTACGCTAGAATTAACTGCAAAAAAATATATTCGGTTTAATCGCGATTTAGATGGAGAGTACTACAAAGCTTACCGTCACAAGTAAAAATGTTCGGTTTGTTGAAATTCGCTCCCTCGAAGTCGGGATGGACTTGCAATTTTATACTCAATCCTTCGCTGTATTCATATGTTACCATTGGACTTATGACTAATCCCATATTTGTGTCTGGGTCGTTATACTTGTATTGCTCTAAAATTTACATTAGTATAGTCTTTAAAAAAATAATTTTAGTGGTTGTATGACAATTGTTAAAGTTCAATTAATACGTAGGATGTTTCAAAATTGATGAGAAAAAATTCAAGAACATATTTGGAGTAATAAAAAAATTATGATAGAAAAGTTATTTTTTCTCTAACTGTAACACCCTATAGTTCGAAAACTAGGAGGTTTAGGACATACATTGATAAAAACTTTTCTTCTTAAAATCATCCAAACATTCAAATCCTGAAGTATCGGTACTCAATTAATTACCTCCCTGTTTATCTTCCTCCCCAAAGGAATGATCACTCCATAAAACACCCACCTTAATTTTTATCATGAATTGGCTCATAAATTTATTCGTATCAACATTGAAACGACTTTATTACTTGTAAACTTACTTCTTAAATTGTACACCATATTATAAAAACTCTTTAAATCCGGATCTCTATTCAACGACCTGTTATTTATTTTATCTATAATATTTACTAAGTTTCTCTAAAACAACGACAGGAATTAATCAGAGTTTCTTCATTACGATGGTGAATTCTCTTTACCTTTGGACATTTAAAGCTTTTCCGGTCTATGGTAGACATCCGAGATAATCCGGGTGACATCGGAGTGGCACCATCAGATTTATTCACTGTCGCGTAAATAGGATCTGATAAGCTGTTGTTTCCTGAACCAGTGTAAATAAAATCGTAAGGATCATATTCTTCGTAAACGCTGTTACAAACTGACATCGTATCGTCAACTAAAAAGCGAAAAAAAGAAACAATAAGATTACATAATCGAAATTCCCAAATTCTCGAGGAATTTTTTTTCTTACCCGAACAATCCGGACTAATTGCTCTGGAACTTACGGAACTATAGAATGATTCTGATAGCGGATCAAATTCCTGCAAAATACTGACTCTCACATTGTCGTTGTTATCTGCGTGTGCTAAGTCTATTAGATTGTGCGAGTTAAACGGCTTTTCTTTGACGACTTTTTCGCTATCTGACTTTACGCAAGATACGGAGGAATATGAAGATAATTTCGACGATAGCGATGAACTTTTAGGAACGATCGGAGGCGGAGGCTTCGGTCTTTGATTTTTTGGAGGTAAAGCCGGAGGTTCCTAAAAAGTTCACATGCATTTTCTCAAACTTATTACTTCGTATTTGCAATGAATCGAACACGTTCGACTCTACTTTTATTAGTAGGTCATTATTTTATACGGAAAGCAATGTATTTGGAGTCGTTTTATCAGCCGATAAGATGAATTAATTAAACCAAATTACTTACTTATCTACTGATATATCGCATGTGTTAAGTTAACGAATATATTAGATAAACAATCGATATGCAACTCACTTTTTAATACATGAAAATATGAAAAAGCGTTGCAATATAACTCAAATAACTGAAAAATTTTTATTAAACTATTCAAGGTCGCTTTATTCGCGATAAAAATAATACAGCATACGAGGAACCTTCGAAAAGTAATTAAAACATAAATGCTGAACAATCCAATAACAACATTGTTTAGAATGCAAGTGTACATAAAACGGGATTTGAACACGAGCAAATTTCTGCTCAAGAATGAAAATACTTAAAAAATTAATCAGAATAAATTGCTTTCAATGTTATGAGTATTCTTTCCAGGTTTTTAAGATACACAATTGAAATAAACAGGATGTTTTTTAATAACATGCTAATACTGAAAGGAGTGTTTCTTGGACCTATTTAAAAAAAAACTCCATATGATCATTCTGACCATCCAAGCAGTGGCGTATCACTTTTACCCTCAAAAATATTTGGCCTTAGTCCAGTACGGACGCCTCTGTTAAAAATAAAAAAAATGTTTTTTAGGTAAAAACGCTCTTTAAATGCATAAACGCCGTACATCAAATAACATAAAAATATTTAAAGTGGTATGGAAATGACGGCAAAAAATTAATTTTTTTCTTCAAACTTAAACACCTTATGTCTCAAAAGTTAAGACGTTTAGGACATAGGTTCTAAATGAGCCCAAGACAATTGGTCCAAAAATCACCCCATTCAGAATTAGCATGTTATTAAAAAACACCCTGTATAGGCTATGTGTTTGATAAAGGCAACTTCCTCTATAGACACTAATAAAAGAAACAGAATGAGTGATATTGTGTCATTGCAAGTTTCCCACTCTAACAACTGTTATTTTAATAAACTTTCATTGTTCAACTCATAGAAATTACATGCAAACAGAAATGAATCAAGGTGTATGCATGTTTTTCACATAAGGCATGAATGTTTTTGTGGGTTCAATTGTTGCAACAACCTCGTAAATAAACATATTTGCAATGAGTACTAATTCCTCTGATAAAACTTAACGAACAACACAAACAACAACTATTTTTAGTTTCAGTTTCTTTACACTCGAGGCGTTCAATTAAACACGCATTACCCTTCGTAAACAACACAAGAATCATACCTCAGATTTCGAATTTGCGGTCCCAATGCTCGACGCCGGGCTCGCAAAACCTTGACAACTACTGTTCGGAATGCTCATAGTTCTATTTGGAGTCCGCAAACCAGTAGACAGTGAACCGGAAGAGGTAATACTGCTCGGCTTCCCTACATTGACGGTAGTCCACGGCATTCTTTGACTAATCGGAGTGGAAACGTTGCTCAGAACAAACTGAGGCGACGAGAGGGAGTACTGGTAACGACCACCGATCGGATTACCAACGTTCTGTGCTAAAATGTTCGATTGAAATGGAATTGAAGGAGACGTCATCGATACATTCGGCCAATATTTGAAATGGGTGGATTGGTGTTGAGGCATCGACGGTGTTAACACGAGTTGTTGATTGTAACTGCAGTTAAAATAACAACATTAAAGGTACGTTTAAAAAATAATATCGTTGTATAGAGATTGTTTATGAAGAATACTTACTTTTGTTGTTTGCAGAAGTCGATGATGTCGCTAGAAGGGGAACTGTTTGGCGGAGGGCTCGAGAAACTAATCAAATCGGGAGGATCATTGTCGCTGGAAGTACTGTTTTTACGCTGAGACGGGGGCGGTGGGGCCAATAGAGCGTTCGTAGAGCTAGACTGGAGTCCAGGTCGTGGACGAGATTTACTAACGTGTCTATCGAATCTTGGAGTAGAATCGGTTTCGTTCATCGAGGCTGCCCTTGTAACTGTATATAATTTATTATTATGCTTCGTTATTAGTTTAGTGGTAGAATTTAATTTACCTGATGTTGTTTTTGGTCTATTGGAGACATTCGAAGTGGTCGCAGATCTGTTCAGTTCCTGTAGCTTCTTCGATTTGTTGAACTGTTCTAATGCCAAGGACTCCAAACTCAAAGCTTGGGCTCTTTCTAATTCCTCTTGGAATTGTTTTTCGTAATCAGCCATTTTTAAATTCTACTAAACAAGCAAAGTGCTAGCAATTAACTCTATTTCACCGAAAATAATCGTTTGTCTAGGCAAAAATAAACATTACCCAGCAATATTAGGAAAAATAAAACGCACTTGAATTGTTTTCTGTTTTTAAACGAAGCCCGTACTTACTCATTATATATTTTTTTGTGATTGTGATTACGTAGTCATGTTGGAGTAACAAATTTATCTGCGAAAAGCAAATTAATTAAAAATTAATATAAAAAATTACACAGATGTCAAATTAACAACAACTTAACCTCAATTGAAAACGTCAAAAATTGAGGATACAGGGAATAGAGGTGGACGACTACCGTTGTTTTTTGAGGTGGACGTTTGACATTAGGTAACGGGTCTACATAGTGTCAGGTATTTGGACAAATTATTTTTAGAAAAATTATGTTTATACGAAACTTTAATAAAAGTATTTAGTACTGACTACATTTTTGCACACAAAGCCAGCCGCCACTGAGTCATAAATATGAGAAGAAAGATAAATAAACGATTCATCGCCTCGCCTAGCGCTCGAAAATTGAATAGTGGGGTCCCCGGGTCTGCGATAAAGATATTTGCGACTATATCCGCAAAATTCTCGCTAGATCTGTTTATGTAGAAATATAAATATAGTTCCTGTTCTTATCATTATGAGGAAGTCTTGTCAACAACACACTTAGTCTATATTTTATTCAATTTCGTCAAAAAAATCATGAAATTTTTTCAAAAAGTCCACAAAATTTTTATGAATAACATAATTATAATTTCCTAATTAAGGAATTTCTACTATAAGATATAGAATATCTTCGGTACTGTTCATTTTTATACAGAACATATGGTCTATAGTCTACATTGATCTTATAAAACATCCTATATATAGGATATTGTAATGTATAGGGTATTATACAGGTAAGGGCAAATTGGTTTGCAATGTGGTCAATTTTATGAGTTGAACAAAGAAAGATTATTAATATAGTAGTGGTTAGAGTGAGAAAGTTGAAATCCCACAATATTGCCCTTTATTTTTCCTTTATACATGTATATAGACTTATAGAGACCTTTATACATGCATGGAAGTTGTTTTTGTTACACTTATAGTCTATATTGCAAACAGTTTTTCATCTACCTGTATGAAAATCATGAGTACATAATTGTAATTTTTGTAGAGCAATTTATTAATACAACAATATAATTATGTTTTAAGCACAATAGTACTGTTTACGTAACACATGTAACATTAAGGAAGTTGATGCAATTATGCTTTATAGGTATTTTGATTAGGCAGTAACAAATTCAATCAAAATCCAATTCTTGCAACAATCACTCAAAAGCTCACGTCAAACTGCTATTCCAAAACCCAAAAAAATGACAAATTTACATATTTACAAACACTTTTTGTACTTCACAGTCACATACAAATGACCTCTGAGGAATTTTACGATTCTTTAGACGAAAATTCGGACAATGAAATCTGTAACAACTCGAAGAAACAATTCAGCTCGACCCACAAAATCGATGACGGCCGCAATAAGGTCGAGCCCGTGCCGTTCTACAAAGGCCACCTAACGCTCAGCCGCTTGGACCTGAACCAAGCCCAATCGCAACGCAACGAGCTCATGAAGAAACTCTCCAAAACCAAATCGAAGTTGAAATTGACGGTGGCCTCCTTGCCCAGGCCGAAGAAGTCCTACTTGGACATGTTCTACGATAAAACGGGCGTCAACAAGTACGATGACGACGGCTGCATCGAGTGCGACTCGTCCAGACCCACCTGCTCGAGCTCCTCGCCCAAGAGCTTCAGAACCTGCGACGGAGACCTCGAGTGCGATAATGTATACGATCTAGATCTCAAAAGCAATTCGGAAGTCAGGTTGGTTCAGTATACCGTTATTGGACCAGTATCAAGCAGAAGGGAATCGTACTTGTTGTAGAAGTTGGTTCAATATTTCTTGGAGGGTTCTTTAAGACTCTGCTAAACAAATTAATAAGATTTACTTTTTTGCACTTTTTAGTGTATGACGTAAAATCAACTTTTTTAATATATATATTTTGGTGAACTTATTCCAAAAATATGTCGTCAAAAAAATTCAACACGTCAGGTTTTCTTTAAATCGTCCAGCATATCCCTTCTAAATGGTTCTGGAGCGGTCTATTTGGTTCTAAATGTTTCTGGAACTTTCTAAATAGTTCTATAGACAGATTTAAATGGTTATAGATAGATCTAAATGATTTTAGAGCCTTCTACATAGTTGTAGAGTTCTAAATATTTCTGGAGTGTTCTGAATTTGTTCTAGACAGTTCTAAATGTTTCTGGAGCTTTCTAAATGATTCTAGACAGTTCTAAATGATTTGGAAGCGTTCTAAATGGTTCCTGATATAGTTCTAAATGTTAATGGAGCCTTGTCTTGAATGGTTCTAGAGTTCTAAATGCTTCTAGAGCGTTTTAAATGGTTCTAGACTAGATAGTTCTAAATACAGTTCTAAAAATTAATCGCTCCCATTACATTAAAGCTCTTTTTGCACAAAACCTAGAGTGTTATTAATTGACAAGTGTAATTTGGTTTTTAGTTCAGATTTTATGAAATCGAAGTCGCCGAAATGCGTTCCAAATTTGAACCTGCGAAGTGATAGCCCCAAAAACGGCGGTAAATTTTCCAGTAAATCAGAGAAGCGGTTAGATACCGGAACGACAAATCACGTGAACAGTAAATCGATGCTTCCTTTACCGAAGTCGATAAAACCAGTAGAATTGAAAAAGGAGAAGAGCGATGCGAACGTGTCGAAGGTTTGTAATTTCCTAGCGGAAAATATGTTATAAACTTGCTGTTTTTTGATTCCAGATGGACTTGTGGAAAAAACGGCAATTATACGGTAGAAAAGTAAGCCAAACTAATAGAATCCAAATGATGGAAAAAGAAGCTTTGCAATTGTTGGTAGACGATAAAAAAGTGAAGATGAAGCCAAAAAATACTGCGAAATCGTCTAATAGCCACACATCAGTCAATGGCGCTGGGTGTTCTTCGAAAGTGTCCATACACAAACCTTAATTTGTACTTATCACTTAAAGTAATTTATTTAATAAATATATCTATATACCAATTTTATCTATAATTATGTGTATTTATTAGGGGCATTTATTTTTAATCAATTTACTAAATATTTCTGTATTTTTTGCCAATTATACGATGATTATTTTGAAGTGATATTAATCAAATTCCTATTACCATTCTTATTCTATAATTATTTCACTATACTTTTCAACAATCCTATCAAAAGGACTGATGCTTTTACACATACTCATATTGACTATCCTTTTAATCCTATTGCAACATAAAAAAGTCGCTGAAGCAGGATTCTTTTTTGTCCCTAACTGAAAGTTCGGCGAAACTTTCTTAGCGAGTGTAAGTTCCCGCTCGATCTAAGCACCTTATCGATCCTTTGAATTATTCTGCAACCTGCAGGATCGCGAGCGCGTTATCCTCGTCAGTGTATGCAGGTCCTTGCGCAGGGTAGGGTGTGTTTTGTTCGCAGTACAAGGGTGATAGGTTATGGTCGGGAAAATGTACAGTCGTGGATGTGTTGGGATGGCGGAGTTCAGAGGGATGGGAAGTAAAGGTATGTAGGTAGATGAGATCGGAAAATTAAATTAAATAGATACATTTTGTCATAAGAAAATTTTGGTAGGAAAAGAAGTAATTAATTTTGCAAAATCGTTAGGAGTAAGGAAGGACTGTTGGTTAGCTTTGTATGTTTTTCTGTAGATATTTCTTAATATTGTTGCAAAAATTGCAAGTAAATATTAAAGAGTTTAGTAGGAAAAGTGATTAAAAAATGAATTCACATTTCATAAATGCAGAAACAAACTTCAGTTGTATGAATTAGTTTGCTCTCACGAAAGTTGCATAAGATGTTATAAAATTGTACACTATCCAGTACTTTGCGTGATAAAGTTACCTTGATAGGAACTTTAAAAACCCATATTTCCAAATACCGCATTCAAGTATTTAACAGAGCCAAAATTATGGCTAAAAATTTACTTCAAAATATTTCGTGAATCAAAAATATTCCTCAAAATCCCTTTGATTTCAATCATTTCCTAATGTACAATTCAGATTTAATACGTACTATATTACATCAATATTATGTTGCATTCATTATGCTGTCATTGAACTATCATTACGCTAAAGGTGTTTGGTATGCAATTTGAATGGGAAATGCTTTTACTACCGGTTACGTAATCGAATTAAGGAACGAAACGAACTCTCATATGCAAGCACATTGTCATGGACTTTACTTTGCCTTCACGGTTACGTCTTAGACTGGACTTTCACGCATTCAAGTTCGTATAATTATGCACCCAAAAAAATTTAATGTACCTAAACCTAAGTTAATATACGTTCATTTGTAAGTAAATTATCTATCTGCAATTGCATATGTAATACTACTTATATTTAAAACAAAAAGAAACGATTGTTTGAATTTATGCTAATGATACCGATGATTTTGAGCGCTGCAAGAATTACAGGTGCTCACACTACAGAAATTTTTATTTTATGATAACATGCAAGGAAACATGTTTCAATTCGTATAAGTAAAAAATTTAATAAAATATAAAAATACATTTAATTTATTATTTGTCATGTTAAAGCTATTTTCCTTTGTATATTAATTATAAATTCATTAATTTTGACGGTAAGTGCATTTACATTCGAATTTTATTAGGATATAGTTTTAGAGCTTTAATTTACTTTTACATTCACATTTAATTGCCTTTGGTTCAAGAGTTGGCTGCAAAAAACCTAACTAATCGATATCAGATTGAAATATTTTTGAAATATTAGCACTAACAGTGAAAATAACTATAATATGGTGAATGAATTGTGATTTAAATTATGATGATCCATTAGAACTATTTTAAAGAGTAGGAACTCAACCGAGATATAATTATTAATAGGGACACTTGGACTGGGTTACTGTGAATACTAATTTTTGAAAAGTCTTTCATTATGCTGTTCAATCAGATAGGTTTTTCCTAATATCTCTAGTACTATATGAGCAACTATATAGTATTTGTTCAAAGTTCACCTAGAAGTAGCACTTCGGGTCAAAAGGCTTATAAAAATGGACATTTATCTTGTCAAATTATTCACGGAGGCAATAAATTTTATTTCGAATGATTTTGCGAAGATTCTTTTGCCACATAAAACCACAATAACCACATAAAACAAAAATTTGTGTAAGCAAAAGCGCCTTGAAAATGAAATCGATTAATTAGGAACTAAGCTGATAGATCATTTTTATAATATCGATTCGTAAGTCGTTATTTCGTAAGTAAATGATTGATACAAAATGAGATTTGTCTATTTTTAGCAATGATTATCTCGAAAATTCAATCGAATGGTCACTCACCTGCCCAAACTTTTACTTAGTAGACTAAATTATTAATTTTAATTTTGACTATTTTCAAATGGGCTCACTCTAGGACAAGTTACAAAATCGTAAATTTGCATTTTAATAGAAAAATTCATTTCACCAAAGCATATGAAAGTAATTGTTTGAATTTATTTTAGGTGGAAAATTTTAAATTATATAGGGCGTTATAATGCTCTGACAAAATGTCTCTTATTTCTGAGAAATGGTAATAAAAATTACTAGTCGCTAAAAAATTATGTTGTCTTCTGGAAACACAAATTAAATATATACCTAAAAAATACTTTCTTAAAACTATTTCTTATAATAAAAAGTGCCTCCTAATGTTGGATCACCTTGTAAAATAATTTAAGTTCATCGACGGTAAAATGAATTAAAATTTATTCCGCTTTAAATGCATAATCTGTAAAACGGAAACCACACATTTGGTTATTTTATGTTCAAATTGTAACGGTCAATAACTTCAATTTTTATTCCGATTACAATTCGTAAAGCGAAAGTAAAGTGTAAAGCACATGTTGTCATCATCAAGATGTTAGTTGACCAGGTAGTAAATATTCATTCTAATGGTATCAGATAAATGATATCAAAGTGTATTTAGTTGCCTAAATTCAGGTATTCTGTGGTACTATTTTGTTTCTTAATTTATATATATCATATTTTAAAAACTATGATAATGATCCATTTGTACATTTACCATAAACAAGTTGACAGTATTTACTCCTTTCCATTTCTTTCATTCATACAGGAGTGAATTGATAGTTTTACATAATTTCTACGACTCGTAAATTGTAAGAATATCAAGGACTAATGTGATTAATTTTCAATCGATTTATATTACGTAAAAATAGATTTATTATTTATTTCATCCTTGCAAATTTCAACTAACTATCATAATTACATAATTTGATCAAGTGACAGTTTCTAGCAAAAAAACTAATCTATATACCTAACTATTATGATATCAAATCATTTCCGTAAGTTTATAACATTTTTTTAGAGTTAATTTCATCAAAATATAGTAAATTATCGAAGGATCAATTTCGAATTTATAATAGAACGGTTTATAATTTCGTTATGAGGTATTTTCTACTTTTTATACACCGTAATTATCTAAACATCTCTGATTATACGTGCCGAAAAAAATGATGCTGGCTGGCCGATCCGCGTTACGAGCTGGCGAGAGAAAGTCGCATATTTTGGGCTGTAAATCAGGTTCCGTTGTCGATAAAAAAAATCGAGGTAGTCTCAAATTTGGGGGCTCAATTATTTGAAATGAACGGAACATTATGCACGGCGCCTCGGGGAATACCAGTCCGAATTGTTGATATGATCCTACTTCTCAACGGAAATAACGTTATACTGGTGAATGAATATTAATGAAAAAGAATTCCGATTTTGTTGTGTTCGAAATACAGGTTAACGTGTTGAAAATTTTTGAACTACTTTTTGAAGTTTTCAATTGTTTCTTGTAATGTTGTGAGGTTTTCTACCCCAAATAAATCGATAATGGAGAAATTATTAGTTTGAAAACGAATTTTGTAATATCAAGATTGCCTATTACAAGTAACATATGTAAAACAAATATTTCTAACATTAATTACAAAACGACAGATATATGAAATATCGTTTAAATTTCACGAGTAGAAGATTTAGATAAGTCAATCCTAAAATTATGTTACTACACACATTACGAAATTGTCGAATTCATTTTGATAAAAAAAAGCTAATAAATGTTAAATATAACCGATATGTAAATTGGAGCAAAAATTTCCATGTTGAGGATGTAATTCTCGTCAAAACTATTTTTGAAATAATAAATGTTTGATTAAAAAGGCAAGCCCCCAAATATTACGAAATGCATCCTATACGAGTATACCTACTTTTGGTCTATTTTGAGTGCATTTTATACGTAATATACGAAATTCTATAAAATTTTATATAAATACTTACTCTATTACTTTTTTATTATTTATTTAATTTTACTTATTTAAGAAACATTTATTTTATCCAATTAGTGATTAATTTGATTTGTCTAAATGAATATATTAGTGAATATGAAAGTCCAATACACGGTAATTTGAGAGGTCTACTAAATTCGACAGATTAAAATTATCTGAAATTCAGTAAAAGTTTCAAACCTACAACATACATATGCATTAACTTAATAAAAGCAATTATGTAGATCCTATTTAATTCGTTTAAATTTAGTTTTGCTAAAACCCATCGTTACTTTTATTATCATTAAACATCGTGCTTGCGGTTTTGAACAAATAAAAATATGAAAAATCATTATTTTAATAAAGAAAGAAACTACATTAGAACACCACTAAGATCCCCATAATTTTTGAAATGCACTTAATAAATAGTCAATTTTTAATATTTGACATATGAAAATTTTGAATTTATTTGAATTAATTTTCCAATTTTATTCAATTTTCCAAACCAACTTGAGGAAAGTTGAGATTTTTTTTGTAATTTCTGTTCGCTTCAGATTTTCTATTGAGTTTAGGTTCTCATTTTTACAAACATTATTAATTAGTCCTAATGAAAACGTCTTGTTTTTGTTGAATAGCGGACGCCGTAATTGAAGTTAATTTCTAATGAATGAACAGAAAAAACGTCACTCACACAGATACTTGCGTACGATTAATAACAGTCAATCAATTTGTGCAGTTTTTAACTAAACTTCAAATAATTTGCTACTTTGTGATTAAAAAATAAATGCCAATAATCTTTTTACTGACACAACATTCATGCCGCCGGTGTATTATTAAAATTGTGAAAGCTACTCGATACTAAGAAATTTTAAATTCTGGAAAGTGCGAATTTCATACAATCTATTCTAATAGTTATTTTATAAGAAATAATTATCATTACTTAATTAAAATAGTATTGTGAAACCATCAGTGGCAACGATACTCTAATAAATTTAATTCATTGTTTGCTAAAGTTAACGAGTCGTTAAAAATTTATTTCCATAATTTGGTTAATTCTTTGCCAAACCCGTGTCATTTTTGCAAGTTTAATAGTTCTTAATACCAACACTGCATATATACTAATATGTTAAATTTAACAGGATTAGTTTGAGTTATAATTATAGTTTGAAAGAATTCTTTAAATTTAATCACAATCTCGATATCAAATAATTCTTGTTCCTTCAATTACTTGATTACTCAACAAGT